TTGACTACCTGGTTTATAATATGTCGTATAGTTAAAGAAAAAAAGCGATACGGAAGATGTTCTTCATTATCAGGGGAAGAAAGAGCCAGGAAAAAGAACTGGCCATCTAAATTATCAGAGAAAGCTTGTTTATATGTTTCTGAGTTTTTTTTTGGTGATGTACGGTAATTGGTACATACGCTTGACACGACTTATTCATCGAATAGCTTTCAGGTTTTTTAAGGATACATAACAATGACAATTCTCTGACTGCATGTACCCAAAATAAGGGCAAATCAAAGCAGATTAATGGCACAATAATTGCAGTTACGAACATGAAAATTCAGGTGTCTTATGTAAAACCATATTCTGAAGCAGCTTCACCAGTGAGCATCTATCACTTACACGCCATTATTCTCTTCTTCAGAGGATGTTGGCTGCTAATATATTATAATTCCTAAAATTAGCAATCAACTTTTTGATCGCAAAGGCAAAAGGACGTGTAGTAACAAACCATAAATAATATACATATGGGTACATTTATATGTTACGTAGATAATCTATGTACATGCTTGAATTCTCCTACCAAAAATCAAACGTACGGTGCTAGGTAATGGGATTCAACAAGGTATATTATATACATACACCATGCAATGATTGCTAGACACATGTATGTACAAGAGTCGGATCGATAAGTTGCTAGCATCACACAATTGTATCGCTGTAGTTGTTGCTGTTGCTGCTTATTGCACTAGGTCAAAAACTGTACTGGAAGAGGTTCGGGCAATGTTTGTCACATTGATCGCAATGCCAAGATTCTCGGACGGTACCGAAATCATGCTATCACCACTACATGCACAGTCGCTTACGCTTTGATAAGGAACAATTAGTAGCAGTACTGTATATATATGGTTAAGAGGCTGATACTGGATATACAAGTTACACCATACACAGCATATTCGAATAGCTAAATACAGTTCTATTTGTTCACTAGTAGAATATCTATACAATGAAAAAAATCTCACTAATATTCATTGTTTTCCATCATACAAAGGTTTTAGTCTTTTATCACGTATGATAGTAGTATTTAGCAAAGACTGTCTTTATATGCTTGAAAGACAAAAGAAGACAAAAGAAGAAGTTATGCATCATCGATCATAAACTACGCTTTTATTGCATGCGACTTTGTAGTTGGCTAAGTCAAATAAACTGCCAGTGTTACTGCTACTCAGTTAAAGATGAGCTTAGAGTCGCCGTCCTTAACGTGGACAAGGACCTTGTAGCCAGTGTCTTTGGCCTTGTAATAACCGGCCTTCAAGTTGTGTCTGTACTTTTTGATATGAACATCGGTAGGCTCAGGTGCATGCACCAAGGGTTCACCACGGAAAACAGTGTGGACCAAAAAGTTGCCCTCGAAACCATCAGCAGGCAAGTGGGCTTGAGCAAAACCGTGAAGCGCAGTAACTGCAATCTTGGCGGATTCACCAGTGGTGACAGCCGAAATATCGGACGAGCCCTTAAGAACAGAGGCAGATAAGGTATCAGAAACAGCGTACTCACCACGAATGTGGCCAGACAAGACACCGAGCTTGGCCTTTTGGACATTAAGAGACTATTGTATGAATTGCGCGATTGTGTTAAAAATAATGCATACTCATATATTTATTAAAAGATACGCTGTTGTATTATATGAAAATCTGTACTTACGGCAAAGTTGATGTAACCACGGCCAACGCCAGCACTGAATTTGGCAAAGTCGATGGTCTTCAAGCTAGGGCAGCTGTCGATCTGACCATTGCGGACACGGAGATCAAAGTCTTCGAATTCTTCGAGATCGGCAGGGAAAACGACATGAATTTCATATTTGGCGCAAAGCTCAGTGGTGTTGTGAGGAGGGGGACCGTGAGGTGGCTGTCCTTCCATAGGTGGTTCCATGGGCTCCCTACCATGTGAACGAGGTCCATGAGGCAAGCGACGCTTCATTTCAACGACATATTGACCCTCATGATCGAAAGCAGAGATGGTTGTGGCCTTGATGGCGTGCTCGCTACCATGGAGGACAGTAACATTGACTTTGATGTCGCTGCCTTCTTCACCAGACTTGGAGAAGAACACCTTGCCGCTGTCAGGGAAGCCGCTGCCGACATACAATGCCGCACGCTTGAATTGTTCGGGCGAAAAGGTGAACACGTTCGAGGTTGCTTCCAATTCGTCTTCAGAGCTGCAGAAATGGGGATGAGGAGGTGATCCGGAAGGTGGGGGTCGAACTGCCATTCCGTGGTGGCCCATGCTGTGGTGATGCGGGGGTGGAGGTGGTGGAGGAGGTGAAAGAGATCCAGGACGGTGCATACGATCGTGCTTGGGCACAGGGCCACAAGGGCAGCCTTCTGGTGGTGGTGGATATGGAGTAACGAACCTCTCAACGCGCTTAACGTCGTTAACGTTGTCGTCATTATGGTGTTGCTTGTGATGGCGATGATGATGCTTCTTTGGTCTCTCGGGCTGTTCGCGGAGTTCTTTGATGGCGCAGCATTCAGGAGCGAGCTTGACGGGTGTTGGAGGAAGGTGACGGTCGCCGCGATGGCCGCGTTCACCAAAGGCAGCATTCAAGCCGCCCATAAACTCGGAAGCTTCTCTACCATACTCAAAGCCGGCGAGATCTTCCTGGGGAATGCTCAAATGACCCTTGCCATGAGGGATGTCAAATGGCGAAACTGCAATGTGAGCTACGGGAGGTTCGGCCTGAAAATTGAAATTTTTAATGAGCAAACATGACAGTGGTTTCAATATATATATATAGTGGTATCATTAAAGTTTAGTACCAACAAAGCAGGCAAGATAACTTTAATGGTCGCAAGAGCAAGAAGCATCGCACCAACACAGATCTTGAAGGCACGACGAGCTATTATATTGAAGAGTTAGATAGACTGCTATATCGTAGGTGTACATGTCTTGACTTGGCATTTAGGCCAGGGTTACCTTTCTTGCGGCAGCGTTCTTTGCGAGCGCTACAACCGTTGCAAGAAGCAGGTTGCTGGATAATAATTGCTGGCGGAGGAGGAGGGGGAGGAGGAGGAAAGTTGTCCGTGGTCGGGATGGCGACGTACTCGCCCTTCTTTTCAGACATGGTTGCAAAAGAAAGAAAGGAAGAAAATTAAAGCGTCAATAAATTTAACTGATAAAAGCAGCTATCCGCTCATTTTCCTTGCCAAGACCCGGTATGTCCCCGCCACTCAGAGCTTTGTAGAACCATCACGTCTTTAACACGCTGCCTGAAGCGAGAAGGTAGCACCAAATGTCTATTCTTGGGCATTTGCATTTTAAAGTGCTTTTGCAGCAGTCAACAGCAGCAAACCTGTAATTGAGCGTTGAGCACCAACGCGTGCGCACATCTCTTCTCACACAACTATTTTTTCAACAATAGAGCGGACAATTATTCTCCCTTTTCCGCTTTTCCGTTTCTATGCGTCAACGTCTCTTTTGACAACAATCTAGAACCATGAATATCGCCAGTAGAAAATTACGAATTTTATGTCTCCATGGCATGGCTCAGAACTCCATTCTGTTTGAGAAAAAGACTGCAGGGTTTCTCCAAGATTTAAAGGATCGTGCTGAATTTGGTGAGAAATCTGCTTATGAATCACATAAAAGAAAAGGAAAACTGGCAGTAGCTGCCTGAATGAAAAGAATGCGTACTAACTGGAAGGGCGAGAAATGAAGTCTATGTGCGTGGACCTCACAGGGTGCTTGATCCTGAACTCGTATCCCTTGTAGAAAGAGCTACAGTCGTAGGCGAACAAGTTTCGGAAGGTAGTAATTAACCAATCAAGGGCGGCATAAGAAAAAAAAATGCAGAGCATTCTGACAGCAACCACTAACTTTGTAACTTAGAAATGCGGCCTTTTGCATGGTGGTTCCTTCCTCGGTCCAAACCCCTTACCGAAGAAGGATTCTTTTATGGATTCAAAGAGAGCGTTGAACACATCAAGCAGGTTCTTTTAGAAAAGGTAAACGCCAATAGCTCACCAGTGTCATCATCATGGTATGTGTGACATCAATGACGGCTGACGACGGCAGATACGATATTAGGGACCATTCGACGGAATCATCGGTTTCTCACAAGGTAGGCTGATCAGAGTGGACGACTGTACAAGATGGAAATGCTAAATAGCATGCAATATAATAGGCGCATGTTTTACCGGGTGCTTAGCACACATGCTGGACAAGCGAGACTTCTTGATCCCGGCGGACTTTCCGCATCCTCCATTACAGTTCGTGGTGATGGTGGGCGGATTCATTCTTACAGTGCAGCCAGCAACTGAGTCGAAATTGTTCTCAGCATCTGCCACGCGGAAGGTTGAAACGCCGAGCATGCATATTATCGGAGAGCTTGACACAATCATCCTGCCGGAGCGTAGTGATGCCCTGGCTGATGCATTCAAGAATCCGTTCATATTTCGTCATGCAGGAGGGTAAGTTTTGTAAATGGCACCTTCAGAAGAAGTAAAGACCGAGAGATCAAAAGGAACAAATACGTAAGGCGTTGATCCCCATAAAGAGTTTAACCCGCCCTTTTGTGTTATTTATGAAATACCCCTGTCATCTCTACATTTTCACCGAAACGTGGTTGCTAGACACTTTGTCCCCAAGACAACCGCTGCCAGACAGAGTCTCAACAAGTTCCTAGCAACAGCCATTCCCGAGGATCGCTCGCAGGCGCATATATAGACTAGAGTCGATCTACACTAGTAGAATAACCCTAATTTAATACACACTCTTTCTCAAACATGAGTGATCGAGGAAAAGCCATCAGCCAATCAGAACTTCGATGGCTTATAAAAAATAAAAATTCTTCTTTCAGTCTCAAATAACTTCTTCTTACTCCGAAGTCTTTTTTTCACCCAAACTATCCTCTCCTTCAAAACCGCAAAACCCGTGATATTTCACACCTCTTGCTGTGCTGAGATTCTTTTTCTACATCGACTGTCCGCGCCCTAACTGCTAATTCCTCAACGCCACTCAACAAACACGCTCTGTTGTCACCAGCATTCGACTTGCAAACGCCATCTGTTCCATTGCTCCTTGTGTTTATCATTTGTGATTCGAAAAGGTAAATTATGCACCAGCACTCTGTCTTTCTGTTTTTCTGTCTCCTCCTCGCCCTCTTCCCCCTCCCTCCCCTAGCCAGAGAATGCATACTCGTACCTTTATCTAGTAACTTGATTAACTAATGCTGCTGCCACTGTGCTCTCTCCACCGAAACAGAATAAGATAGAAACTTAAACGCCATGCAGTTCGTCCATACCCCGTTCTATTCTAGCTATGCAAACGCTTCGCAACAGCAAGCTCTGCAACAGCAGCAACAGCCGCAACAACAGCAACAACAGCCGCAACAGCAGCAACACTCGCCACACTCGTCCCAATCGCCGGCACCATCAGCCGCACAAGTGGACCAGCACCAGCAAGCTCAACCGCAACCTTTGGGTTTGCCTACAGCTTTACCCGGTTTTGCCCAAGCGGGTCTCCAAGCAGTTGCTACAGAGTTGAACGCTCAGGGCAAGCCAAAGCGGAAGCAAGTGAAGAATGCCTGTGGTATGTTGCTTTGTTTACAAGACAAAGACTATGCGATACAGACACACGATGATGACGCATGCATCCAACTCACCGGTTCTTTTTATATATGTCTGTTTCTATTACACAAACCTATTTTGCCACTGTTGCTTTTATCTTGTGGACAGTCAACTGTCAAAAGGCGTGTAAGAAATGTGACGATGGTAGACCCTGCCAGCGCTGTGTCAAGTACGGTCTGACGGATTCGTGCCAAAACTCGGTTCGTAAGGAGCGCAAGAAGGGCATCAAGCGCGGTCCATACAAGAAGAGAAAGCAGGGTAAGGAAGTAGTCGACATCAGAAAAGAGACAGAAGGGAAAGAGGGGGGGTTGGAGTGTTGTGTTGTGTACCACGTGTGACGAATGACTCGAACCGAATGCACATGGTGGTGTTTTATAATAGCATTTATTTTATGTTATATAATTTGTATTCTACTCTATTCCGTATAATATGACGCTTACGCCATTTTTTTCTTACCCGTCTACTACCAGATGGCTCCTCGTCCACCGATGGCTCCACTTCGTCTGCTCAAAATGTGTCTGGCGCTGCTGCCTTGCCCGGCGCCCTCTATGCCCAGTCCTCGCCGGCCTCCTCTGGCGTCCGAACGAACGGCGTGCTTGCCTACCAGCCCTTCCAATCCGGAACCTACGATGCCTTCCATGCTGCTGCCGTGAGCTACCAAACCTCGACTCCCATGATGCCACATGCGTACATGGTCCCCGCTGCGATGCAACAGATGTACCCTGCCAACTCGATACTGTCATACCAGGCCGCCATGAACGTGTTTCAACAGCAGCAACAGCAGCAACAGCACGGCCAGTCTTCGCCTAACATCTACGGTGGTTTCCGACAAGACAACCCACAGGCTACCCAGCAGCCTCAGGACCAGCAAGCAGATGGCCAGCAACAGCACCGATCGCACGAAGGCAGCCCCGCTACGCCAACCGGTGTCAGCACGCCCAACATCAAGTCCGAGAATGCAGCCACCGAATCGGATGACGAAGGATCCAAGTTGAACATCCTGTCGCAGCTGTGCAGTGCCGTTCTGGATCGCGCTCCCGAACCTGCAAAACAGGAGGAGCAGCCGTCACAGACCTCTTCTGAGCAGCCACAACAGACGACGCAAGAACAAGAACCGCAACCACAGCAGCAGCAGGAAACAACTCAGCAAGAATCTCCAGCAGTAACAGGCGAGGCAGCATCCAGCCTGCACCAGAGCACGCCACCACCAAGCCGAGATCACTCACGAGAAGTGTCGAATGAGGAGGAAGTGAAAGCAGAAGGGTACGTGCAATTGTTGTAGAACCAAACTTTATCTTTCGAAATCTCGGGAAAAGTATGAAGAATTCGCTTACACAAATCTCAACATAGTGCCTCGTACCAGTAACAGTCCATCATCAAGTCATAACAAACAACAACCCCTACTACCATTACAACAACAACAACAACAACAACAGCAGCAGCGGTGGCAGCAAGGAAAAGAACATTCGCTTGTTTTTTCTTTGATCCAAAAATACATTTCAGCAAATATTTCTTCTGTTATCTTCTTCCTTCATCTACTCTTCAGCATTCTACAGCAGCAACGTAAATAACAAAAGAGATTGGGACTCTTCAAGTAACACTACTTACCAGCACCACCACAAAATCACTAAGAAATGTACCCCCCTTTTTTCCAGATAGCCATTGAAGAAAGCTTTCCCACTGTTTTGTTATCCTATTAAGCTACTAAAAACAACAGCAACACTCCCACATGAAGTATTTACCTAGATATAACCAAAAAAAATCCATGTCTCTTCGTTCTTTCTTTCTACCTTGTCACTTCTTCCAACTTCGTGTACATACAATATGACCACTTTGTTTTAATTTCTTCTTTTCTCCAACCACTACTACCACTACTGCTGCTCTCCCGACCTCTTTTTTTTTTCTTAGACTTTTTTTTTCGCCATGTGCAAATAAAAACTCACATCCTGTTTTTTTCCCCCATGATGGCTGCTGCAACAAAATTCAGGTACATTCGATCTACTCTTGACAAGCGGAGCTCGTACTTGATATCAATAAGCGTTGTCAATGCAGAATTCATATTGAGAAAAAGGGTCAGAAGCGTCTTATATATCGTCTCCGATGTGGATCGCTGCATTTACCCAGAATGTTGTCACTCAACTTCTGAAACCGACGATGCGGAGCCCACATATGATAGATTCCATCATTGTGCACTCAATTTTAAAAAACGCAAGTAGGGCCGTGCGTTGAATACTAACTGCGCTTACTTACTATATACGCTACTGCACCGGTAAATGAGGCTAATCGGATGATCAAACGGATGCGCCGCAACCGGCAACCGAATCATACCTTCTCTCATCCCGAAGGCCCTCAACAAGCAGTTGAAACCATGGTAGCTCACCCGAGCAAAACGTTTGGTGGTGAACGGACCCAAGGATGCGGTAATACATACTTTGGCATAAAAAATTACGTCGTTGATGAAGACCCGTTCCCAGCACCAGCAATCGACACCGTTTCACGCAAACTAGCACCGCGCAAGGCACCTGGCGACGATCACATCACCGGCGCTATGCTTAAACCGATCGCTACTCCATTGGCACAGGTATTAAGCAAACTGTTCAAACTATGCTATGACTGGTCATGGGTCCCGACTTCCTAGCGCACCGCACAGGTCGTGCCCATACACAAGAAAGGTGATGCCACTGAAGCTAGCAACTACCGGCCAATTAGTCTGACTAGTGTACTTCGCAAAGTCCTAGAGCGCTGTCTGCTTCCCAAACTAATGGAGTCTATGCCAGCACTAGCCATGGCCCAGGGCGGCTTTCGCCATCATCGCGGTGCCCTTGACCAAGCTTTTGCACTCAACATGCTATTACGTCACTACCAGCGAACATATCAAGAATCCCCTGTGCTCGCCTTTCTAGACATCAAGGCTGCCTATGACTCGGTCGATCGCGACATAATATGGTCAACGCTGCAGGGACATCTGCCGAGCGCCCTGTTCCATATGATTCGCCATATGTTTGATGATGTACGCATAGCCGTCATCCTACAAAATTTCCAATCACGCTTTATTAAGCCCAAACGCGGAGTACTCCAAGGCTCAATTCTCAGCCCCCTGTTGTATGCGGTCTTCATCAACACATTACCAAATCGACTCCAGCTCACAATCATTGGAAACAAATGCGTGAAACCTAATGTTCTCCGTACTACACCTCGCAACAGAGCCACTGAAGCATCAGTACAAAAGCAAGTTTATATGGGTGACAAAAATGGTCGACCGGATAAGCATCGCCCTGACACCGACCGCACGATCATTCCAGCACTACTTTACGCCGATGACGAAGCTCTCATCGCTTCACGCAGCGATATACATCAACTACTCAAGGCAGCCGAGAGACACTCGCGCGACTACGGGTATCGTTGGCACCCTGGAAAGTGCGCCATCATTGAGCCCCCCGAAGCGCCCACCAGTACGACTTCAGATTCTCTTTCACCGGCAACTTATAGAATCTACGATACCGCCATCCCTAAGGTTAACAGCTTTCAGTACCTAGGCCTACCATTCACGTACAATGGGCTGGACCTTGAGCTTCTTGTTCATCAGCGTATAACCAAGGCAACCTCCAACACGGCATTGCTCCATCAAGTCGGGCTCCATCAATATAGTATTGGCCTATGGCCAGCGTTACGAGCATACCGCACATTCATACGCCCAGTTCTTGAATATGGACTAGCAATAGCCGCTGTAAGCGCCAAGCAGATTGACAAGCTCCAAAAGGCACAAATCGGTTGCATCAAAATGACGCGTAACCGCAACACAACGACAAGCACAACGTACATAGTACCTATGGTGATGGCAGACCTACCATCTATGAAGATCCGTGCTCACAGCTTACAGCTTAAATTCGTCGCCCGCTTGAGCACACTGCCAGTATCGACCCTGGCCCGGGCCATTGAACTATCGGTCCTATGGGACGAGCCGAAAAAAGAGAAACAATGGACTAAACTCTCCAAGAAAAACCCACTCTATAAGCACTATAGAGAGCTCCTCCACTCTCTGAATCGTCCCACCAGCACTGTCAACGCCGTGCTCGCACAAGCTCGTAATGGAGAACTAGAGAAGCGCCGCCAAGCATCTCTGTCGGTCCAGTGTCTTCGGCCTACACGCACGATCGACCCCCTCCTGTACCTCCCAGCATCTCAGACTGACCGCCATCGCTTGATTAACTGGCGCCTGCACTGGCTACCCGGCTATTACCCTCGGAAGGACTGTCGCTGTGGTGCACGAGCTGTCACCCGCGACCACTACAGTCTTGTTTGTCCGCTACTCCGTCCATTGTGGCAAGAGCTTACCGACGCCTATGGCACAGCTCCTTCAGTACCATCTGGGATGCATACCATTGATGTCATCTTTAACAAAATACCACGCACCGACGTCGGTTTATCCAACGGAAAATGGCCAACCATATGGCCAGCGATATTACGTATCCTTCGAGAAATCGAACGGCTCTGCCATCCCGAAGATCATTTGCTGGATGGGGAGTTCCCTGGGGACGACATTTCACTACCATTGCCATCCGAGCACGACTAAAGTGCTCCGACTACCCTCCTTTCCTCTGTCATTATTATAATTTATTTGTAACAACCTACACAGACCTTATCACACATGCACTACCACACTGGCTTAACTTTTTCCTCCTAACCACGGTGGGGGGTTTTTTAAGCTCTTGCATCTTTTCTTTACATATCACATATCCACACGAACCGCAAAGAAGCGATCGCAATGTCTATTGGCGCAGGTCAACAGTCTTCCACAAACAATAAAACCAAAAACCTTCATCTACTATATACGCTACTAGATGATCGCACATAACAGGCTGTAACGTACAAATCTGTGCTGTCTTTTGGAACACTTATTACAAAGCACTTGATTCACTGCCGTGTGAGTCTGCATATCCCACGCATTTAATTGTTATAACTATACTATTCCTACTACTTCCTGTAATCAAAATAATAAGTCCCATTAGCCGGATTCAGCCTATTTTACAGCAGCCTGAGTAAGAAAAACGTTGGTGCAGCACAAGAGTGATGTTGTTATTGCATACAAGAATGTCTACTTGTTGGTTCATTTATTGTTAATATGGATGTCTCGCTTCAAGCAATTGTATATCTTTATATGATCCTCTTTAAATCGTTGCCTATGCAGCAGATTGCATAATTTAAACTGCGTGTCTTGCTGCACTGCATCAACTTGCCGTGAACCCCATGCAGCATCTGCACTTGCCCTCCCTAGCAGACTCTTGCTTCTGCTTTTCTACAGTATCTGCTTTCTCTTTTTTAAACTATTTTCTCTCCCACGCCTTACAAATTTCAATGCCTCAAGACCGCCATTATCGATCAAAGCCTGCGGTCCTTGGCAAGACAAACTCGAAAGTTTCTTTCCAGACACGACCTTTCCATGTGCAGCCTTCCAATTTTATGGTCATCATCTCTCTTTTCATCGCCGAGTTCACAAGGCTATCATTCCTGTGCCATCTTCGACGGCCACAAGAATGTCATTTTTATGTCGCCACCCCTGTTTCTTTTCTCTCTGAAAAAAAAACCAACAAAATCATGCTTCGAGTCATTATATTCAGGCAAAGCCGTGATGAAAGCCAAAAACTAGTGCAGATATTCAATTGTCACCAATTTTTCACCGAGAAGGCTTGGGTCGAATCTCTGCAATGATCGGATGGAATAGAAACCTAAGAAGCCCTTGTAGTGATGACGGTAGCTTCATATGGTTACCAGATATTTCCGAGTAAGGCGGGCTCTCCTGTGACCGCGAATAGGAAGTCCAATCCCAGGGTGCTCTTCCTCCATGCAATTTGCTTAATCCAGAAAATGAGAATTACAGCTTTTAATAAGTTGGCCAGTACAAAAAAACTGAGCGACCGAATAATGAAGAAATATGAACCAGGGAAGCTTCAACTGTACCTTGGTAACTGCTCTCGTGTGAGCGTGGTAAAAGTGTGTTAACCAACTGAATTCACGGCCTCCTATTTCATTTGTGTATGGAACATCGTACTTATTTGATATATCACGCTTTGTGGTGTCAGTACGTTTATCACACCGTTTGTATGTATTACGCTCAGTACCAATATTCGGTAAGTATACAGTGGACCCCCGAATTTTTCAACCCCGTTCGTTTCAATACCCGGGCTTTTTCAAGAAATTTCCAGGGAATGACCCAAAATCATTAATAAATTTTTCAACACCTCGTTATTTTTCATTTTCAATATATCTTTTACCCTTGAACTCTATACGGGGGTGAAGTATCTATATTTTGCTACATCATATGGATGGTATTCATATAAGATGTATGAATATTTTTAATACAATTTGCAAATATGAGGTATATATCTACGTTTATGACCATGTATGCCTATTGTTATGCTCTAAAAAAAGAGGTTAAGGTTCTCTGTGTCCCATTCATTTGCTGTTGGCGCAAGTGGTCTCTCACTAGTCTAAGCCTTTCTTTGAGGGAGCCTTCCTCTAAAAAGCAGATAAGACTGATCATAAGTAGTGAATGGTGTTGTTTCAGAAGTGAGTTTGCTGGCTTCTCGCGGCTGTCATTCGTTTTTTTCTTTATTTATCGGAGCAAGTAATTGATAAGATCGGATCTCAAGAGAAACTAGGGAAGTCATTATATGTTTATCAAAATCTTAAACAAGTAGAGCTGTATGTCAGGTAATTGTAGAAAATATATATTCCATATAATATAAAAGGAAAAAAGCTTGTGGCAGTATGGATTTAGAAACAGTACTGTACTACTGTACAGTAGTGAGAAGGTTTCAGCTAAATTTTAAAAGTTTATCCAGAAGATTGCTGCCGCTACCCTTCCCCCGATGAAATTCAAACCCGCTTTAATTTCAAGAGTGTTCAGGAATGGCAGCCTTGAAAAAAGCGGGGGTCCACTGTAATAGAAGTAGAATGCTATTTTTGTCGTGCTGTGTTCAAAGAACTGGTCACGCAAACTTGTCAAATTAGCAGCGGCTCATCGTCGTGTGTTAGGCCAACAGAGAGAAAAATATAGACCACAAATGCATTGGTTCTACATGTTATACAGCTATGTAGTAATTAGAAAAATTGAGTCACATATGAACATATCATAACATATTAGCATTATAAGCAAGAAATCAGATAACCAAATTTCATAGTCGTACACGCAAAATCCATGCTTCTCATTGGAGCATATTATCCAATCAGGTGAGATTGGCATGTTTGTTTCTCTGTGCTGCAAACCAGAAGATTTTCATTAAAACATACACACTTGACACATTCACCATTCGTCTCCACCACGAGACGCCATGTCACGTCCAAAACATGCTTCACGTTCCCAACTATCCCCTGCTAATGAGGAGCTCAATTCTTTTGGCGATCTCAATACCAATTTCACTCAAGGTACAATTATCTCCACACAATTGTACTATTTCATGTTGAACACAAATAGTTGACGCGTTTTTTTCTTAAAAAACAATTCGTCCACTCTTTGTAGAAGATGTCATTCAAGCTTCACCCCTCCCACCAATGGTACATTAAACAAGCACCTATAACTTTTGGTTGTTAAATCATTTCGTCATGTTATTTACCTTTGTTTTCTTAATCAGTCTAAAGGTGAAATCTTGAGAGAAAGAGCCTTGTCGCGAAGCAGCCAACGTTCGTCAGGCGAGTCTGCAAACACCACGACACTGCTACAATCCTCACGACTGGTTGCGCTGTCCGACAATAGCTACAATAACAATAATGATCATAACAGTGATTATTTAAAGGAGGATGATATCAGCGACTTTAGCAGTAACCATAGCAATTCTCAATTACGGCAACAGCAACCAGACGATGACGATTACCATAGCGAGATCCGTTCCTTTGGTGATCAGTCACAGGATGAAGGCATAAACGCACAGTGGGAAGAAGGTAGTGAGCATGAAGCAGTGCAGACAGTTTACGAACAAGCGCAGATGCAAGCTATCGGTTACGACAATGGAACACGAACCATTAATCAAAAAGTAGCGATACAGCATCCACTTGAACACTACAACAATGACACGGCAGTTATTAGGCATGCACAAACGCAGGAAGATGCAGAAGAAGACTTGATTATTACCCAGCCAGATGCACGCGAGCACGATAGTGAGGATCACTTACAGGATGGTGGCGGTGCCGAACGACCTACCATTCCTCCAATCGATTTCGAAGCAGACACACTCCCGTATGACCAAGCATCCGTCGGCAGTAATGGTAGTGTAGCTTTCAGCGAAGCAGATACGCTGCCATACAATCCAAACGATAGTCCTGTACTGAGTGAAGTAGAAAATGTACGATCGCCATTACCACACCTGACAAGGGACGAAAACCAATACGATGACGACTTTTATGATGACAACACACCGTTTCTGTTTTCGCCGCCACCGCAAACGCCAGTTCATCGAGGAATCCGTGTCAGTGGCTTTTCTGTATTGGATCTCGTACCATCGCCGCATAGACATCGACAAAGAGTGGAGGAAACGGAGACACGAAGCCTGAATAGTTTGGACCCGCTCGAATGTGAGGATGATGCCGACGTTTTTGATGATTTGGAGTTACCAACATCTCGACAACAACAGACCGAAGACGAAACCGCCAAAAAATCAACTACGCCAAACAGTGATGATGACGAACTAGATGATGCTGTCCTTATTCCGTCACAGCCATCGTCTCCTGCCAAACCTGTTTCACAACATGGAGGACAAACCACGACTTTGAAAAGACATACTACCAGCGAAGGTAAGGAATAAAAGGGCTAATTGACTGGTTCTAGCGACGTATGCAGTTTAAAGTAGATACTAACTGAATTACAACAGAAACGGGTTCTTTTATGGATGGTATGTTCTCCAGTCTCTCCACATGCAAAAGTTCACATCCGTTTGCGCAAGATCCATTATCGCCTTTACCACCATCAAAATCGCAACAACAACACAAAGGCTCGATTCTGGATTATAGCCGTGTTATCAAGAGCTCACTGGCATCTTCAAATCCACCATCTCAGGAAAAGGACGAAAAGAAGAATCAAGTTGCTGTTGCCAAAGATACAGATGATGTGAAGTCTTTTAAAGTTTCACAACTTCACAACAACAGCCGCAGTCTCAACTCGCCAAAAACGCCTGAGAGCGGTGAAAAGGCATCTCAAACAAGCAGCTCTTCACACCAATGCACATTATCTGAGTATTACACGAAGCAAAAGAAGGTCAATTCACCACCCTATACCCCACAAAAACAACAGCAACAACAAGTACAACAACGCAAACTATCTTTCCAGCACACCGGCTCTTTATCCCAACAATCGCAGAAAAGCTCAGCCAGTTCCGGCCCATCCAATAATTTACATCAGACGACATTATCCGAATATCCGCATTATACAAACAAATCTGACCCTTCCGTTTCTCTCGATGACGACGATAACAACAACAACAATTTGGGTGATAGCAAGAATTTAGTTTCGTCTTCATCGTCATCTTCGCAAAAGTGTGTTGTTCGACGAAACCCGCCAATGGGTCTGAATCGAAAGCACGCTCGAACGGTACCGTTGACGCAAGGACCATCAAGTAGCACCAGTACTAGCAATAGCAAAAGACGACGTCCGACGACCAATCTTGCTGATCTCTGTAAAGCATCTCAAACACCGCGCAAAAGAACGTTTGGGTTGAGAGCACCAAGACGTCGTTCTCCGCACTGATAAAAAGAACAAGATACCCTCTTCTTTATTCTTTGTGTCTATAACCTTTTTCTTTGCAAAAGGGGAAAAGGGGACACAAAAGACTTGCATACACAGTACATATATTTCAATATTACATACAAAAAAGCTTCTTCCATCTTTCTCTCTTTCACACCCCGTTCTTGCTCCCGAAATCTCATCAGACGCGTCGTCGCTGAATCTCGTTAACAAGTCTGGAATTTTCGATCTGAAGGCGTCGCAGTTCCTCATGGTATTGTTGCTCTTTGGAATGGGTGTAATAGACCCATTGCAAAGCTGCCTCGATGATGTGCCGCTTTGACGGACGACCATTGTAGTTCCACGGTGACACAGGAAGGGCGCGCGCCAACGCGTCGTACTGGGCATTCAAGAGACTTCGGCGCATGCGTTCGTTCGCATTATGATTTAATCGACGACGACGACGATGGCACAGCTGGGCATCACTACTACCGCCACTGGTACCGTGGAAATATCCCGTCAAAGTCGATGAAGAGGTTGGATTCATAGTTGCTTTTTTAAATAAAAAAGGAGGAGGAAGAGGAAAAGAGAATTTGGAGCTATTCTTATCATCGTCATCCCAAGTACGGTCTCAAAAGTAGTAGCTTATTACTTGCTCGAGCGATAGAATGTCGTTCAGATAGTAACTTATATACATCACGATTGCATCACACTTTGTAAATTAGCACCTGTTCCCTTTCAAATCCCCACATCAACTTAGTTTATCTATTACAGTTTTTTTTTGTATATACAATATAATTTTAATATCAACAATAATAATACATGGATCAAGCTGTTCAGTAAAAGGGAGGAGGTTGCTGTGGCGGCGACGGATATTGCTGCTGCTGGTGCATTACAGGTGATTGAAATGGTAGAGGAGGAGGTGGACCACCAGCAGTAGGAGAAGGTATGGATGATGGGTAATAGTGCTGTTGTGGATTATTGGGAAAATAGTTGTTATTTGGATTCATTGAAGGAATGACAAAACCTCCCGGTCCCATACTTCCTGGGGGCTGTGGCTGCTGTTGTGCGGAATATGGATGATGTTGCTGCTGATAGTATGGACCTCCTGCACCTCCATGATAGGGTAGAGTCATTGATGGTTGTTGTTGTCCTGGATGAGGATATTGTTGTTGTTGTTGCTGCTGCTGCTGAGCATCGTTGTTGATATATATGCAAGAAAACCCGCCTGGTGCAGTGGTTGGCGATGAGGGCACTGGTGGCGGGTACGACGAGCCGCTCATTACGTTATTGTTATAGCTATGAGAAGAGGGACTATACGGACTAGAATAGTTGCTGCTGGTGTTGTAATAGTAATTATCCATTCTGTTGGGTAGCGTGGGTGGCGATGGCATTGTTCTTATTGTTTCTCACGGATGTATTTGGTATCCGACGAAGGAAAGAGAATTAAAAAAAAGTTTGCTTAGCTTCTTTTTATACTAGCCCGTTCGTTCGTGATGCAAAAAAGGTCCGCTGACCGCTCGCAGCAGTCAGTGTCACTTCACCACAGCAAACCATGGGTGATCCATGTGCTTAGCAGCTTCAGTCTAGTGGCTCCTCAATTGTGCAATCCTGTTGCTCAGGAGGAGTTACATTCTTTCCCTTATGCAAACCTGAGCATCGTTTGTACAAGACTTATCAGATTTTCCCTCGTGCTGCGTAGTAGCTAAGTAAAGATACAACAAGCTATTCCACATTTAGAATTATGATGCTGTATGACTTTTTCGGCTATGAATCCAAGTTATAGGCACGAAACAACTAACAACAGATCCACAAGTATAATTAAATAAAGCCGTGCGTGAGTGAGCGCATTTTAGTGAGGATTCACAACCTAATCAATGCTGTGTTGGCCATCGTCAAAATGTGTTTTGGATGGTTTATCAGTCCCTGATTAAATCACTGAGCTGGAGCGTTACTCTCTTCTCTCTCGACCATGGTAAAACGCTATCATACCGCCAAATACCCAAGCTTACGGTAAACGGGTAATGGAGCATTTCCATTAGAGAGTATCGCCTAAAAACGTGTGTTCACTTTTTTTTTTCTAAAACTTAGCAATCTGCGGATGCCCGTATATAGTATACCCTTTGCTTTTCATACCACCAACACCGACAGTTTGTCCTATGTTGTTTATTTTTAAGGTATCTGGGCAATATATGATATTTAGCGTCGAACCTTTGCGCGCCTCACAAAAAACCGACGTCGTTATCCTTGATGAAAAACACTCAAGACACAAAGGTTGTTTCCGTCGTCTTTCTGTTGTTATCATTTTAAGTCTTACACCAATGCTCCATATACATATCATGCACCAATTAACACGGACATTTCTGCTCTGACATATAAAATTTCTCGCGATCCTCATATCTGAGTGCCACCTGCATGATGGTACGTGTAATTCATATATATCAAAGTAATTGGTATGCCTCTGGTGTATTGGGCAGCATATCTCTGTAGTACCATTATCCTATCTCGACAAGAATCGGTCGTCTTGTACAATACGCTTTGCAAAAAATCTATCGTTGCTCTGTTTGCAGTACTACGTGAAGACACAGAACTGATCTTTTCAGAGCCTTTTTCAATTCTAAGACCAAGTTTATTAAGGTATATCGCAAACTGTGTGCCTCCTCCTAGATGAATAACCATAATATCATAACCAATCATACACACCCATTACTTTGTTTTTATATCCTAGACGCATACTCTAGAGATGGTTATGCCTTACAGTTTGGAAGCCACAGTCAGCTGTATATCTAGAGAGCATCTTCTATTCGTCACTAAGATCATATTTATTCACCTTGTGCTTATTATATGACAGCATAACAAACCCATATATTTGCTATATCAATTGATATAATAACTGATCACGTTGTGATGGTATATAAGCAGCTCGTTAAAGCTCACATAATGTACGAAATAATTCTGTGCTGTTCGCCATCCTTCTAGCAGTTGCTTCTAGACAGACCAACTTCCTGCTTTTGACTTTTTTTTAAAATAGCCAATGAGAGAAGTAAGTTGAAGATATTTACTGCACTCTGGCACCTGTGATAGCCAAACTTCAAGAAGCAAAGAGAGTTACGCAGAAACTCGTCATCTGCATTTGTCGCCACTGGTTTTGGAAAGGGTGACCAGCAGAAAGTAGAGTATGTCTGTTATTAGTGGTACACCAGTAACTGTACCGATCATTTATTTGATGACCCTATTATTACATCGAGCATCGAAAAACAACAGAACCAGCAGCAAAGAAGTTCGATGGTGATATGGATTTACACCTGTAATAGACATGCTCAAGTAGTTGGGACACTGGAAATACTAGGAGACCTCGTTTTGTACCGCTGTTATGTTAATAAATGACAATGCCTTCTTGCTGTCAGCAACAACGTGTATGCTCACACAGAGAGAACTCCGATTCAAGAGAATAAAAAAAAAAGAGAGAAGCTTCATAGTCGTTACTATTAACTCTTTTCGCTCTCCAGTTACTCCCTCTTTTCTTCTACTTGTCACATACGTACACATATTCAAACACAAATACACGCATATATATACCTCATTATTCATGGCAGTCTCACTTCTTGCATACGTTGTCACATTCTTTGTTTTTCTTTGCAATTATGCATTGACCATTGTCTCACTCGTAATGCCAAAATGGTAAGGATCCAATTGCCAAGGGCAGCCAAGCTTTTTTTTTCTTTCTACTACAAGTTTCCTATTGTTCGCTTTACTTTACACTAACAGCCAAAAAAAATGGGGTATGGCTTATTAGGTTATCATTTGTCGCACCTATGCCGTTATATATGGAAACAGACTATGGCTTGTTCCGACTGTGTCGAAGGTAAAACAACGGAGACGTTTGGACCTTGCTAATACTACTCCTACTATTACTACTGCTGGTATCAGTGTAGTGCGTGCTTGTAGTAGTTCTGTAGACGATAGCTTTGGACAAGCTCAAACTCACACGCTCTTTTTTGATTCTCGCAGTTACTCACGGGATTGTCGACCGTTTCCTGTAGATGATCAAGGCGACTGTAGTGAAGGTAATATCATCTTAAAGACAAAAGGGGGGGGGAAATACCAGGACAAAATCATTTACAAAAGCTCTTTCATCACTCTCTAACCACAGATGGCTTCTGCGAGCTATGGTAAGGCCCTCTGCGGATTGTAAAGGGGGGTGGATGATAGTTTGTGTTTGAACTGACATGGTCGTTTGGGTTTTGTTTCAGGCGTGCAGCAGCTGCGGGTATGGTACTCGCTGCTATTTTAGGTGGCCTGACCATCCTTGCATTGTTTGGCACAATGTGCAGCGATCGACGAAAACGCGCTCGAGCATGGATGACGCTGTCCGGTCTTTTCGTTCTTCATGCAATTCCACAAGCCTTTTCGATGGGCGTCATTGCTTATCTGTTCAACTCGAGCGCCACATTCTACGTCGGAACCCGATACAACGTTTCGTTCATCATTTCCACAATCAGTTGGTGCTTCAGCATTTTCCTGGCAGCCGTATTGTCACTTATCGCTATCTTGAGTCCTCCCGAATACGCTTATCAACCCATCAACTAAAACCCCAATGTTTCCATTTCGCTGTACCATTCATACCGCCTTTTTTTTTTCCCCCAGACAACAATAAATGCGATCCAGTTAACCCCAGTGTGATGCACCAATCGTCCCCTTTGTTCTCTACAGTGGTTCGCCGTTTCTTTTATTGTTACTCATTTTCGCAAGGCATCTCCAGATTGAAAATTCTCAATGCGTTTTTACCCAGAATGCCTGCCACGGCGGGCTCATCCAATCCAGCATTAGAAATAGCTGCCAAATTACTATCTACAGACATCCACCGAGCGTCCTTGGACTCAAGAGGAGGAAAGAACGGATGATCGGTGCCAAACATGATTTGACTTGGGTCGACAAAATCGGCAGTTGCCTTGACACCTGTTGCGTGGTAAATGACAGCATCAAAGTAGAGTTTCTTGAGATAGTGCGAAGGGGGATGTTCGAGCTTGGAAGCAACGGCGGGATCATGCGCGACGCAGGAATCCAGACGACCGGCAAGGAAAGGCAATGTGCCACCCGAATGTGCCAACAAGATTTTGAGGTCCGGAACTCGGTCAAAGATGCCGGACAAGATAAGCCGTGAGACGGCATAGGTGGTCTCGAACGGGAAGCCCAACGCCAATGCGAGCGAATGGCCTGCATCCGTGTTGCCAGAAGCAGGCAAGTTGACACCATAGTGTGGGTGTAAAAAGATGGTCAGATTGTGCTTTGCAATGGCTTCAAACAGCGGTACCAGCGCCGGATCATCCAACCCTTTGCCACCACAACCAAAAGTGCCCATAATCACACCACGCATGCGCGGCAGACTTGCAATATGTTCCACTTCTGCTACAGATCCTTTGACCGACGACAGTGGCAACGTGCCCATACCGTACAGGCGGCCTTGCGTGATGGGCTCTTGGCACATGTTCTCCATGGAAATGTTCAGTCGGCGCGCCAGGTCAAACGTTTCTTGCGTGGGTGGCAAGAAATCGATCCATGGATTGGCTAAGCTGACCACGGAGATATCAATGTCGTGCTTGTCCATAAACGCCAGTTTCTCACGCACGTCGTAGTATGCTGCACCTACTGGCCGGCCGTTCTTGGTGGACTCGCCCTTGTCTTCGTCGGGCAGGATGATCAGACGCTCGTCTAGACCTTCTTCAAGCGGTGGTAATACACGGGGAACTTGTTCGCGACGACGAAGTAGCTCCAGATACTCTGGCAAGTAGACGTGCGTGTGAACATCAACGAGGCTATGGATTTAAAAAGTCAAAACATATCCTTGTATCAACGAATACGATATTAGGTAATAACTTACCATTTATCCTGTGTCATTTTCTGAATGTAGTTTTATGTGTGTAAGCGTAGTAATAGTGAAGAAAGAAGAAAAAGATCGCTAAATGCAAGGCAGCAACAAGAAGATACAAATATATGCGAGTCTCAATCGTGTATGCTGTGTGTGTGTGTGTGTGTGTGGTGTCACATGCATCATACAAACATGCAGTCTCATTAAAGAATATAGCCTATGTACATCCTCTTATTGGATAACAGCGTGTCAAAATACCCTCTTCCTCTGCGTGATAACGATATCGTTTCTTATCACTTTTTAACATTATCCCTGATTACTATAACGTTATCGTTCGCTCCACTATTAACGAAACCCTTCCTACTTACACTTTTTCTATTGCTATGTTTTCAAACTATATAAAAATGATTTCCATTGATTTTTTTTGTGTCCGCAAAATCATAGCCACGACGCATTGAATAATTAGAATAGAGAGGTTGTGGGGTGCGGTTTTTTAGGTCCGTGGGTGTATGCTATTTCGACTCAGCCATGTGTTTTGATAGAATCCTAAAGTGTCACTGATAACAAATTAGCATCTTAACTTCGAATATGATACGGACAGTAGATATGCCAGCTATTGTCGGTCACCAATGGTACTGTCTTGCAGTACATACACTTGCCATACTCGTTGATGGCTGACGTAAGTAGTATATACTCCCAGATCAAAAGATGATCTTTTACTTCTTGTCACCACCTCCGGCCAACATTATGGTTTGTCTAATACACTATTTGCGGTTTCCCTTACATTGCGTAATATAAGCACAATCATCCTTTGATTTGACCTTCGTAATAGCCAATAAATCTCTGCGCTGCTGAATCGAATTAAAAAAGAAGGCTGCAGTCCATTCTATCCAAAAACGAATGTACGTCCGTGCACTGCACTTGTGTTATTGAACAGATTAATGATAGCAAATGCCTTACTTTATTCTGGTTACTATGGAAATAGAAGGCCAGGATGTCCCGTTAAGCGAGAGCCATGCGTTGTCATGGATGATGATACCCTATCTGGTGTAGCAACATTAAAATTATACACTGCATAATCTTTAACGTCAATCTTACCCCTAAAATTCTATGTTAGATGACAAGTCAGACTGGTGTTATGACACGAAATTGAGAAGAACTTGAACAATACAGAAACGCGTGATAATTTTGTTTATCGGAGGAGGGGGGGGGGGAAATGCAATGGACGTGCCTGCTCCGCGAAAGACAGAGAGAGAGGGAGACGATCCCCCAAAAATTTCGTTCTGATTGGCTATTTTTGAAACAGTCACCTGAATTTGCAAACGTGTGTTGTTGTCCCTGCCCACCAACCCGACAAACAAAACCACCCCCTTTGAACCTCCCTTCTCTCTCATACAAACACAAATGGCTTCCCGCGTCTTGTTCAACTCGCAATTGGCTACTGCCGCTAAGCGCGCTGGTGTCCGTTTCCAGACCACTTCTGCTGTCTCGGGTGCCGAATTCGCTGCCCAGCGTGAAGCCGTCAAGTCCCATGCCGGTCGTACGTATATGTTTTGTTTTTGACGTCTACAGAAAAGCAACTCATCGAGGGATAGGGCCCTCCATTCTTCAACAATTGCCTTAACAATATATGTTATATATAGCCGCCGCCGAGACTTGGAAGAAGATTAGCATCTTTGTCTGCATTCCTGCGTATGTAGATTTCCTTTTTATTTGCACGTGTTTTCCATTTCTACAAAATGAATTCATTCTCGAAACTAAAAAAAAACCTTATTTTCAAAAAACTTGTAGTCTCATTGCTGTCAGCATTAACTCTTACAACCTTATGCTTGCCCATGAAGAGCACATGGAACACCACCCTCGCAAGTTCGTCAAGTACCCTTACATGAACACCCGCACTAAGGTACGGTATCAATGGTGCTGGATTGGGACTGGGATTGAGAGGGAGGGAGTGAAAGGAAGAAACAAGTTGGTCTTCTCATCACTTTTTTTATATTACAGGACTTTTTCTGGGGCCGCGAATCCTTGTTCTTCAACCCCAACGTCAACTTCTCTGCTGACGAAGAGTAAATCCGGGCAAACGACAACGACGATACATTTTTCCTCTAGAGCCAGTCAATAAAAAAAGAGTAGATTGTATAGTTAGAATCCATCCTTTTGTACTAATAATAAACCTTTGTTCTTTATTAACAAAAGCACTTGCTCTTTTTTTCTATTAGCGCGCTTTTATTGAAAAGTTGGTCAATGTAATTCTTGACACCATCCTAGTAGTAGTTGATAGTAGCTCGACCAGGACCCTGATCTTTCGAGGTTTTCAGCATGGTAGCAACCAGGACTGGAATTTAGGGTTATTTACGTATATTACACGTAAACAACAACATCGCACACGCCGGAACTGCATGTGAATGCATAAAAGTCAAAGTGTGCTTGCATCAGCATCAAAAAAAAAAAAGAACTGCTTCACATGACCGATGCGCTTGTCGCTTTTTGATAAAGTTACATTCACGTCGTGTATCGGTGTCCATTTTATCATTGGCAAAGAGGGGGGGGCAGTTCTCGCCCTTAGTTTCATGTAAGGTAGTGTGCGTGGTAAGGTTCAAGTGTTTTTAACATGGCGGCGGCGCATGCGGCGCGCCGTTCGCTGGTGCAATGATTCTTCAGACCAGAACTTAGCAATATTCATGCTATGAAAGGAAACTGTCTGCCACGCATTATAAAAAAATACACGGTGGGAAAAAAAATATAGGGCAGCTTATCCCGCCTGTCTACACTCTGCTTGTTTCCTTTCAATGTGCACCCAAAAGAAAGAGTTCTTAGGGCTACACTTTAGATAACGGGCAAACAGGGTGAAATAAAAGCTATAAAGGCTAGAAAATTTGTAAATTCTCCACAAAATTCGATAGCAAGCGTTCCTAGGTTGGAAGCAGAAAAAAAAAGGAAATTCAGTTTTACCGGGCGACACGCCCCCACCAATTACAACTGGATTGAGATATGGGCCAAATGCATAATTCAAATCCTCTCTCTCTCCAAATTCCCTGTCTCTTTCTTTCCCTTCTTCTCCACTTTCTTTCTTCCATGCTCGCATACTTTTCCATACAACCGTCATCATCGCAAGATGGTGAGAAGCTTTCACTGCTACACCACAACGACGACGACGAAGCCTACAACAACAACAACAACAAGAAGCGATTATTACGGTACCGACGCTGGATCCTCTTTACATCCATAATTCTACTTGCTGTAAAACAAAAATACATCTTTTCCTCCAAGCGCAAAACACTACAGATCGATGGAAAAAAAAAACATTGAACGAGTCTTTACTTAGTTTACCATATCGTCCCTGGCGCTGTATTCTCTCCGATACTGTTCTACACATCAATGCCTGATGTACAGAACCACAAAGGCAAAAGGCATCACAGTCGTACCTTCCATCGGCCTTGAGCTCAACTGGTTCCATGCGCTGTTTGCATTGTTCTACGCATTGATACTCTCCATTTCACTCTCACTGCGCGGTTCGATTCACTGGGTATTACAACAATTTTTCATGCCATGATTAATATAAAAGAAAAATTATATACTGACTTTTTTATCAAGTACGTCATGCCACTCGTTGTTTTTGTGGGTTTCCAACTCGTACAAACAACGTGGATCTTGATGTTCGATCGGAATACATATGTCGTTGAACAGTTGGATGATTCATGGCAACGTGCTTATGATAGCAGTGACGGCGCGGTCCTGCTTAAACAACTGCAGGTGCGATTACAGTGCCAGGGGTTTGCCGGTCCGCTCGACAGAAACTTGCCCATGACGGGTACTGACGCGACGAACACAGAGCCATGTGTGGACAAACTGATAGCGACGTTTGGACAAGCAATCTATGCATGGGGCTTCGCGTTATGGGTGCTCAAGATGATTCAGGTAATAGCAAGACGAATACACACACAGAGAGAGAGAGCAAGAGTTGCTAAAGCAGGACCCAACAAATATACAGATGGCAGGATTATTGGGATGCTATGCGATCTATATCAGGATGGCGGACGATGGTGACGATCAGCAGACAAGTACAACTGCCATTGAACGAGAAGAAAAGGGCCACGGTACACGAACAGGACAGGCGTGTGTCACGGTTACATAAGAAAATGAAGATCAATTTTCACTTCCAATTTGCCACTAACCTCTTTTAAATGTCTCTCTCGCCCCCCTCCCCCACCTTTTTAAAGTTCTCTTTGCTGCTGCTGTAAATGTTTTCTGCATTATACATAATATATCGTTTCTTTCTTTTTTGGGGGTATTAGAGGGCTGGCCAAATAACAACTACAACATCAAAGAACCCGCTTGACCCGAACAGAACCAATAAACGGATAATTATATATAATCAGCCACTGGATGGCAAGCTACATAGTTATAATAGTTAATATATAAGCAATATATATATATATATATATAAATGTGTGCGTGTGAGTGTAAACATGTAGGAAAAGAAAGAAAACTCGTCAACTTGCGCGCGCGCAGAGAAACATCAAATCAACCCGGGAAAGAGTAACGTATATACAAAGGCGAATATGCGTTTGTATGTTGTGTGAAGAAGAAGCAAAAGAAGAGTGAGTGAGTGACAGTGAGTGACAGTGAGTGAGTGAGTGAATGTGTGCTAGTGTGTGTCTGTGTGTGTGCGCAGAATTATGCAAAACAAAAGAAAGAAAGAGCGAAATATCAACAGAAGAAAGAAATGTGGATCATGTTTTTTTCAAGCTTATCAGGAAGGTCATGTTAGCAAAAAACGTTCTCTCGAATGTGGTTCGAATAGCAGCAATGTTACTTACCAAGTGGCTCATAACTCCAGATTCTCGCGCGGTTATCTCCCGAGCCTGTTGCAAACAGTGGCCGTCCGGATGGACTTATAGCCACCGAGATGACTAAATACACACAATGCATATAATTACGTTAGTATCTATTAGAGCTTCTCATTGCGTATCACACGGCGATCGCGATCAGACGTACCAGAATTTTTGTGTCCCTGAAGCATAAACTGCGTCTGTCCTGTCCGAGGATCCCAGAACTGCACCCCGCGATCTTTCGAGCCCGAAACAATCCAATTACCGTCCGGCGTGCAAGCAACCGACAACACAAAGTCCTTTTTGGGTTGGTTTTAAAGGGTTAGTAAATATATCGTTACACCGTCAAACCCCCTTCCCTCTTTCCGAATTACCTTGTGGCCAGTAAATGTCATCTTGCATGGACCCTTGGATCGATCTCTGTCCATACCACCATAGCCTCGTCCATCATTGTTTCCTAGCTGCCACATCTTGATCGTCTTATCCAAACTACCACTCACAAGCGACCGCCCATCCGGTGTGAACGCAACCGAATACACACTGTCCTTGTGGCCTTCCAGACGCTCCAAAGGCTGGGCAGTGTGAATGTCCCATACGCGGACCATCTTGTCTAGACTGCCCGCAGCAACCAGTCGACTGTCGGGCGAAATGGCAACACTCGTCACACCCGGATCCTTTTGATCCAGATCCTGAATCGGAATACAATGCATTTCCTTTTGTTCAATCATGCTCCATATCCGCACAGTGCGATCGCCCGATCCTGACACAATGACTCGACCGTCTCGACTAAAGTCGAGTGAGTAAATGTCTTGCTCGTGTCCTCTGAAAACGTTTCGGATTTGGCGTTGACCAATGTCCCAGATCTAGTTGTTCCATCATCGTGGTTACTACACATTTTGTTTGCTTTCTTTTCCCCAATATCAACAGGACATACTCGAATTTGTTTATCCTCGGCACCCGTGGCGAGGTATTTGCCATCAGGACTAAAGCACACAGAGCGGATGTACAAGTCGCCATCTTTTTGAACGCCATCGTCTTGAAGTACACTACATTACATATCCCTGTTTAGCCCTTTCTTCCGCCTTGTAATGTTCGTCCCATAAAAAATAGGTGTTTACCATGACAAATTAGCAGTGGCGACATCGTAAATGTATGTTGCTCTGTTGCAGCCAGCGGCCATCCACCGACCGTCGGCGCTAAACTTGACACAGCATACAACGCTAGGATGATCAATGCTGTGCAGTAAATCGACTTTAAGGTAGCGTGATGTCTTGGGATTAAAGCTAGAAACAGAGGGGATTACATAGCAAAAAGAAGGATGAGAAAACCACACATCTTGCATTACACCTACAGAATATCAGAGAAAAGAGAGGCCTTACAGTGCAAACCAATCGCGTCCTTCGACCTTCATGTTGGGTGGAACACTGTCAGGATCGACATCAGATAATCCGACCGGCGTTGTAGGTCCACCTGCACTACCACCACCACCACCACCACCACCCATTTGACCCTTGGTTCGTTGTTGCTGTTGTGCTACCATAGCACTGTTATTACCGGGTGGGGGTGGAGGAGGACCAGACGACATGGGCCCGTTCATCGATGAAGCTGATTTGCGTTTGGGTGTTCCAGCCGGATCGTTTGTTGTTATCGGAGCCGCGTGTGACGACGTGGGTGTGCCAGGCGCAGGTCCACTGCCACGTGGTGGGTATCCTCCTCCATAACCTTAAAAATATAAAGTGGATGTTCAGGGCTCGGATTAAAAAAAAAGTGTATAAAGGAAAGTATACAATTCCATTGTGTATTACCTTGGCCGGATCCATTCATGTAGCCAGGAGCGGAACCTGGCGGAGGGGGCGGAGGCGCTTGCGATGAAGGGGGATAATGCGGAGGAAGCGCGTGATCTCCGGCTCCTCCTGCTCCTGCTGCTGCTGCTTGCGGTGGCGCCATCAACCCAGGTGGTGGCGGCCCTTGGCTGTTTCCGTTACCGTGCGCGTTCATAATCCCTCCAAAATAATTTGATGATCCTGGCCCAATGCTAGGTGGTTGTTGTTGTTGCTGATGATGAGATGGTGGCGCAGGCGGCGGTGGCTGTGGATGCGATCCACTGCTATTGTTGTTGCTGTTACTGTTGTTATTGCTACTGCTACTTGGCGGCATCGGTGCATGTTGGCCAGCGCGAACTTGAGCTTGCTCCAACTGTTGACGGAGTCGAGCAATTTCTTCTTCGTATCTAGACCGGCCGAAAAAATGACACAGATTCCCATATACATGAGTTTCTTGAAAAAATTACGCGTGTAGTAATACATATAGAAAAAGAGTATAAATAAACAATGAAACAAAACGTACTGCTTCTTCATGGCCTGTTGTTGTCTCTCAATCTCTATAAGAGTCTGTTGGAAATTATGCATCTCTTGCAATTGTGTTGTCACTAATAGATAGCCAAAAAAAAACGTCAGTATTTATCGAATCGTAATGTTCAAAGAAAAAAAAAGAGATACTATACTTTTGTGCTCGATATTTTCTTTTTCGGTCTTATTCATGTAGACATCTCGAACAAGGTTATCGAATTCAGCCCGGATGGCATCAAGCATCTCAATGATGCGATTTTGTGGACCAGGTACCACGGGTCGATGGCTGTACACAGACATGCTATAACAAAAAAAAAGTGTCAATAGGAGCTACGCGGAATGTACTATACGAGTGTGTTTGAGGGGAGAGAGAGAGAGAGAGACAAGGGAAACGCCCAATTCAGGAGTAGAAACGCGGAATTTGTTATAGATGGAAGAAAAGGGTATAAAGTGGAATATGAAAAAAAATAAAGATGTCAAAGTAAATCCACACCTGGGTTCAATTGTAAAAGATCTTGAGTCTTTTTAACCTCTTTCCGGACTGAGCTGAAGAAGAAAAAGACGCACAGCTAAAAGAGAGATGGACCGTGCAAAGGTTGCAAAAAGATGGGATCGCAAAGCGGAGTATATACAACTGCGTGTAACCGTCCCTGTTGGCGTCAACTCGTCAAACGACAAAGTTCGTCAAACGACAAAGTAGAGATGTGTGTGTGTGTGTGTGGGCTTTGCCACTTTCGGCCCTCGCTGATGCTTTGAACCTTATGCATTGGGATTGTCGTATATTGTTTGTACTTGTTGTTTGTCATCCCCCTCTACATCGGTTCCCCCTTCCCATCTCTCCTTCGGACATTTTCAAAAGGTCCACGACCTGAAACATCAGAAATTCTGATACAAGTTCCCGTTTGCCAGGGATCTGTCACATCGTTCCCGTCGTTTTTCCCACGTAAGATGATGACATGGTTTGGATAGATGATGTACTTCTTGGAGAAGTCGCTCGAGTGTGTATACATTTATACTTGCAGCACAGCTTCTTACAGTCATCTAGATGCAGCTCTCGAGAATGAATAGTCTATTGTTCCTCATGATGACACAACTAACAGTATTGCTAAAACATCTACATGCATTGTCTTGATAGAAAAAGAAATATATCTCAGTAACTGCTGATGATAGTAGATCAAGCACCCATTACTGTCGTAGCAACAAAAGTACTTGTCTGTCTCTGTACTTGGAATTTACAGCAGTAGCCACATTTGATGTTACCACTCACCTTTTATATTGTAACGGTGATATAAGGGAATGCCCAAACTTGTGCCTTATTACTAACTACTTGCTTGTTGTGTACAGTCATGTCTGCTCAGCGGATTGCAAAAGCTAATTTATATAGTTGATAAAGATTGATAATTCAGTGAGCGAGCAGTTGACAAAAATGGACATCTTCAGCGTCAGTAACGAATCGGTCATGTTATAAAGTACGTTTCTCTGATAGATATTGTTCTGTGCTGCCGTCGTGGTGACATTGCACAATATCTGAAAAGCAATTTTTCCATACGTAAATACCGATAATCAATGATCTCATTCTAATATAAGCGATGGATTATTTTGAATTTTCTTTCTGCCGCGGGCGCTAAGAATGCATTAGAGATAGCAGTAAGAAAACTAACTCTTTCTGAAGCGAGAAGGGGTTGGGGGGGGGCAGGCTGGTTTTGCTAGAGCGGACTTTCAAGAGTGGCACTTCATCGAGAAAGTTGAGTTTTTTTTTGTGGTGCGTTTTGCGTTGACTGAGTGCTTTCCCAAAAGGTAACGTGTCGAAAGAAGCAAAGAGAGAGCCAAGAGGCTAAAAAAACGATAGAAAAAGAAAGAGCAGAGTAAGAGAGGGTGTAGCATGCCAAAACTATAAAGATGACTAATAAACCCCGGCCGGTTTAATTGTCTACATTACGCGCGCGTCGAACAGTTTTTCTTTTTTTAAAACGAAACAAGCCTCCCATCATGGCTAGTCAGCAACCGCCGTACCCTTCACCAATGCAGCAGCAACCATTACCACCGCCTACCCAACAACAACAGCAACCACAGGCTAGACCTCTGCCAATGGGTGATGGCAAGATGACTCCAGCTCCAGCTGGTTATCGACCTCCTGCACCACCAGGAGCAGCCGGAGGTTACCCGGGAATGCCTTATCGCGCTGCTTCTTCAGGCACACCGCCACCTCCCGGTTCACCCATGATGCGTCCTCCGGGATTCCGACCACCAATGCAACAACAACAACAACAACAACAACAACCATACCAACGTCCTCCTCCTCAACCAGGAATGCCAATGTCACCACCGCTTGCTAACGTCGGTTCACCTGGATTCCAAGGCTCACCTGTTCCTCGACCGCGTACCATGTCTCCTCCTGTAGTAGTAGGCACACAGCAGCAGCAGCAGCAGCACTCAGTACCAGGAAGCCCACCACCTGCTACTACACAAAGCCCGACCGTATCGGCCGGGTCGTCTGCGCCTCAGTCACCCATCACTGAACATCATCGCTCGACGCGAAAGCGAATGTATCCCGAGCAAATCACAAAGGCTTACATGGATCAATCTGCTACTGCATCATCGCCTATGGATAATCACTTTTCTCCTGGATACCAACAACAATCCTATCCTCCACAACAACAACAACAACAACAACAACAGCCAATGCAGATGCAGAATTCACCAGTGCCAACAATGGCTGCTCAAGCATACCCAGGAACGCAGCAACAACCGATAGGTGGACAGTTGAACACATTGGCTGGTCAGTTTGGTGGTATGAACCTTGCAGGTCCTCCAGTACGTGTCACTCCCTCTCTTTGGGTCCAAGGACAATGAAAAATGGGGGGATGGCTAAAAAAATCGATTAAACTTTTTTTTCTTTGTTCAGGCTCAGGCAAAGTCGATCCCATTACTCGGAGCTGCGCCCGTTATCACCGATTTGAATGCTCCTGCACCAACCATCAATTTACCTCAAAATGTATGTGATCATCAGTTAGGTTGGAAAGGGGGACGGATTCGCAAAGATGGCGTATAATATCAGTAGTCAATAGACTAGGCTAACTTAGGGTGGTGGTAGTATTAAGTGGAAATGAAAGTCTAACACCGGTTTTTTATTTCTCTCCAGTCATCCATCACCAACTCACCCTATGCCAACGCGGAAGAGTCATTTAAATGCTGTACTGTCAATGCTATTCCTTCCACCGAATCAGTCTTGAAAAAGTCGAAATTACCACTTGCTTTGGTTCTTGCACCGTATAGAACTTCTGAAGGTGATCATGTAAGTCTTTGTTCTTATTTTGACAGCACATTGACAATTCCACCCCCTTTAATATCAACTTATTGTTTTCGCTAGGATCAAGTGCCAGTCATTTCAGATTCAGTGATCGCTAGATGTCGACGATGCCGTACATACATTAATCCCTATGTGACTTTTGTGGAAGGCGGTCAACGATGGAAGTGTAACATGTGCTTTTTGCTGAATGATGGTAACTGCATGGATATGGAAATTTGAACGAACAAAAAAGGGGAAAAACACGGGTTCTTGTGTGTTCTGACATGTTTTGTTGTATATAGTACCTGCCGCTTTTGACTTTGATAATGAAACACGACAAACTGCGGATCGATGGAAGCGTGCTGAACTGAACTATGCCTGTGTTGAATATGTTGCACCTACCGAATACATGGTAAGCTTTCTCAAAAGAAGGTGGGGTGGGGTGGGGAGGGGGGGCAGGCAGTAATTTGGGAAATATTGACATTGGGATGGGTGGGGTTTTGTTTATTTGCTCAACCGGTAAAAAAAAAAAACGAAATATAGGTTCGTCCTCCTCAAGCACCTTCTTACATCTTTGTCATTGATGTATCCTATTCGGCTGTACAATCGGGCATGGTGGCAACAGCAGCTCGCACAATCTTGGACTCCTTGGATCGTATTCCAAACGACCAAAGGCGCACACAAGTCGGTTTCATCACTGTTGACAGCTCGCTCCACTTTTACAATTTGAACCATACGTTATCCGAGCCACAGATGCTGGTTGTGTCGGAATTGGAGGATGTGTTCTTGCCCACGCCATCCCATTTGTTGGTCAACTTGTCGGATAGCAGAGAACTTGTTCAGGCATTCTTGGAAAAGCTGCCCGATATGTTCAAGGAGACGGCAAATGTCAATAATGCTCTTGGTACGGCTTTACAGGCAGCGTTTAAGATTGTGGTACGTTATCTTTCTTTCTTAAATGAAGAGGTTGTTTATTGTGAAATCTATGCTGAAAAAAAAATGTTGTTCGTATTAGTCTCCTTATGGTGGTAAGATTGTTTGCTTGCAATCGACTTTACCCAACATGGGCACTGGTGCACTGAAGCCTCGTGAGGATCCTAAAGTGTTGGGAACACCAAAGGTAGCACAATAACATTTGCAAAGTCGGGTATGGCTCCTTGAGATGTGACTAAACAGTATGTCGATATATTAGGAGACACCATTGCTCAATGCTGGTTCGCCGTTCTTCAAGTCGTTTGCTGTGGACTGCTCACGATCTCAAGTATCATGCGACATGCTTATTTTTGGTGGACAGTATGCGGATGTTGCGACATTAGGTAAATATCTCTCAAGTCAGAAAGGAAAAAAAAAGAAACCAGATCAAATGAAATAACCTCAACTATGACAACACACACAGGATGCTTACCACGATTCACGGGTGGCCAAACCTACTATTATCCTGGTTTCCACGCAAGTCGTACTGAAGATGCCACCAAATTTGCGCACGAGTTCTCCGAGTTGCTAGCAGAGCAAATCGGTTTGGAAGCTGTATTGCGCGTTCGGGCATCGCGTAACTTGCGTATGAGTGCTTTCCATGGAAACTTCTTTATCCGATCGACAGATCTGTTGGCCTTGCCCAATGTACCCCGTAACCAGAACTATGTGATCGAGGTCGCTATTGAAGACGAACTTCGCGGCCCTACAGCATGCTTCCAAACTGCTTTGCTTCACACTACGTGTTCTGGCGAGCGTCGTATCCGTGTCATCACCTTGTGCTTGCCTGTGACAACCTCTGTACCGGAAATGATCGCAAGCATCAACCAAAGAGCCATGGTTTCGTATCTTGCTAACAAAGGTAAATGATAGTGTCACGTGTGAAAAAAGGGGTGGGGGAGATCTTTGTTTTTTTTTTTACTAAACAACCCATGATTATATGCACCCAGCAATCGAACGTGGTCTTACATCCAAGCTGGAGGATGCCCGTGATGCAGTTGTCAACAAGACGGTTGATATTTTGGGTGTCTACAAGTCGCAAGTCCTTGGTATTGGCAAGGGATCCACTTCACCGCAGCTTACTGTACCTGACAATCTGAAACTTCTTCCAATCCTGGCTCTTGCTCTGATTAAGCATGTAAGTAAAATATGAAGAAACTGTATACACAAATCTTTACTAGACTGAATAATAACTCGCTTTTTAGGATGCATTGCGCAATACCTCACGTCTGCCAAGCGATGCCAGATCAAATGCAATCAATCTTGTTCGGACAATGCCCCTCCAATTATTGATTCCATTCTTATATCCTAACTTGTACGCTTTGCACACGATGCCACCAGAGGTAAAATAAGATTACACGTACTTACTTTCTTTAGGCTGTTTCCTTCTCACACACAAGATGCAATTGTTAGGCCGGTGAAATATCTGAAAAGGGTGTTGTATTCCCGCCCCCATTGAACCTGACGACTGAACGACTCGAACCACATGGCTGTTATCTGTTGGAAAATGGCCAAGATATCTTTATCTGGGTCGGTCGTGGTGTAGTTCCACAATTGTGCGTTGATTTCTTTGGCGTCAAGTCATACGAGCAATTACACAGCGGCAAGGTATATTACAGCGTTGGGAAACCGTTTACCGGTGGGAAGAACACTGTTGCTCATACTTGTTTGTTTTTTGGGTGGCCGATCTTAGATGACACTTCCTGTAGTAGACACGGCAATCAACAGAAAGGCAAACTTGTTGATTGGCAAGATACGAGAAATGCGCCGTGGTAACTACTATCCAACAGTATATATCGTCAAGGAAGATAGCGATCCTGCATTGAGATTATGGTTCCTGGCCCATTTGGTCGAAGACCGACTTGACGGCTCGATGGGATACCAGTCGTTCTTGCAGCACCTTAAAGACAGGGTAAGGAATATCAACCATGTTTTTGTTCTGACTAGTGCGTGTTAGTAACTTACAGGTAAATTTCCATAGGTCAACGCTGGCTCATTCTAAAGTAAAACCGAGAAAAAAACAACCACATATAACTTTTTCTTTCTTCTTTGTCCCCCCCCAACCCTTATATTCCTATTACTTACTTTTTACACGCCACCCTTTCTAAACACAACAACATACAGCAGCAACAAAAAGATAATTGCTCCTTATATGCTAAGCAACAAAACAAATGTATGCAACATCTAACGTACAACTAGTCTCTTTTTTTATTATATAACAACACAATAACACAATGAAAAAGTAAAACCAACAGAGATAGAAATCATTTTATTGAATAACCTTGTCTGGTGACAAAATACAATCAATCTTTTGATCAAATGGCTCGACTGGAATCCTGCCTGCCTCAAGCAATTGTGCCGAAAGTGCAAGACCCACTGATATTGATATATAGCAAAAGTGTTATTGCTTATGTTTTGTTCGTTATTTGCTTCTCCATTGTGCACATACCTGTTTTTGGATGCTGGCGATCATGAGCGGCAGACCAAGCATTGCAAGCACGTATATACTTGTCGTAATAACTAAATGTGTGTGATACATGTTATCGAAATGTTGCGTTATTCTAAAGGCACTACAGATGCTGCTTGCATACCCTTTGCCGTGACCAATACGATTACGGTCGGTATCAAAAGCCATGGCTGGTACAATGATCAAATCCAAACCATCCTTTTCCAGAGCTGAACAATATTCATGGTTAGAAAAAATTGGTAACCTTCCTCTTTCTTTTGCTTACCATTTTCCATCAGTTGCTCATGCGATGGTTCCGGGATATTCCACTTATTGACAGGTAGTGCTAAATATTCGTCCCAGGACCTGATCTTGACCATTTCCATGTCATCCTTGGTCCAGCGTGGTACATAGCATGATTTGTCTAATGGACACACCGAATAAAACTGTCAAATTCTAAAACAGCCGCTTTTTGTTTGTATATATATTGTACCTGAATGTAAAATATGATGAATAATAGCTCGCGTATCTATCTCGCCACCCGGGAGACTAATGTAGACGCTGACATGACGACTGGCACGATATGCTTCGAGATCAAATAACCTTTGAATGACTTGCTCAGCTAGAATAATGTTTGTTCCATTTATAAAACACAGCATTACCGCAAAAGAATTGAGAAAGTTAACAACACTTTGGGTAAGGTTTTTCTCCCTTGTTCAGTGAATGAATCAGTTACATTCAGCGGTGATGGTGCTTGGTGAAACAGCTTTAAGTTGAAATTTCAGTTCCTTGCGCAATGTACGTTTCAGGGCAACCAGTGCTGTAGACATTTTTCTTATCAATACACAGTCTAGTTTGGGTGCGGGATAGTGGAGGGGGGTGTGCGAACTGCGGGAACACTCCAACAGATCGGATCTCAATAATAAATATATAGATCTTTCTTGCCGTTTATATAAATCCGTACCTTGGCAGCCACATTTAGTGATATGTGCCGTATACCAAAAAGCATAGGTAACCTCATAAAGATAATTTGTTCTGTTTCCCATAGTTTCAATATAGTAGACAGTGCTTATATCTGCTATTCCTGGTCTGGAGAGATGTTATTCTTCTCAGTCTGCATAATACTGGGCACACTTTACTGCAACACTTGACTACAACGGTAAAGAGTATGAGTGAAAAACAGAACAATGGATCAAGTCAATCGAACAAGCCTTTTCATTTAATGAAGACTGGCTCGACTTGGTCTTTATATCGAGCTTTGGGAATCTGTCACTACTATAAGAAAGGACAAACACTGCTACTGCTCTACATCAAAATTGGTTATTACTTCTTTGTCTCCATGTAATTAGAAAGGGGGTTAAATACAAAGAGAGTCCTTTTCATAGTTAACCGAGACACCCCAATGAACCATGATAATACGAGTTACTTTGAGCGATTTACAGAGAAAACAAGGTTACTATGATAATAATTATACACATTGAAATGTGTGTCTCTACCCTCCTAAAACAGAACACTGATCATCACATGAAGACATGTAATTAAATGTATCATGGTCGTAGCAAGACGATTGTCTAAAGCAAGAGGGCTCACAATAGCAAGTCATTCTATATATACACAGCCGAGGAAGACGACGTGTTTAAAAAAAGAAGCATCACTTCCCCGCGACCGAAAAAGGAAAAGACGATGAGGTCAACGAGAAATTCAAACGTCACATACTCAAAAGAGACCGGCGGCGGTTACTTTTATTTTAACCGCACCCCTTCTCTGTCTCTCTCTCTCTTTCTCTCTCTCTCTCTCTTATTACTAATCTTCCCTCCCCTTTTTCCCCAAAACGTCAATGTCGGGCGACCCAACCACATCTAACGACAACCGGCCACCGGAGCAGACAGCAAATGACGATTTGCCTTCTGGAGTTCCTCCTACTGCTATGGCACTACGTATCAAATCGCTCGAACAGCAAACCAAGCCAATCACCATTCCTCGGGATGCTTCTGTGCTCGACCTCAAGCAGGCAGTACAAGTCGCGTTTCAAGTAGAATGCAATCGACAACGGCTTATCTTTCAAGGAAAAGTTCTCAAGGATGAAAAAAATTTGACGGATTACGGTAAAGCATTCTCCTTTCTTTTTTTTGGAAACATGATTAAAACAAAGAGCAGCACAAAGTACTTGGCTGGGACGCTCTTGATAGAAAAAGAGGGTTAGTCGTGCATACAGTGGCAGTATCCGAACAAGAAAAAAAACTATTGGGCTTCCACTTGGTGATGATGGGATAGGGAGAACAGAGAAAGAATGCTGACTCAATGGTATGTGGATTGTCTATAGCGAACCTCGATAACGGAAAAGTCGTACATTTGGTGGTGCGGCCTGCTGATGTGCCACAGAATTCACAAAATGGTAAGTTGGGATCGACTATAGGGGGGTAATGATTATATTTATGAGCATAATAGACGAACCTCGTCCTCAAAGCAGCAGCAACAACAGTCGTCGGACGTTTGCTCGAGGAATTCCGCTTTCACGTCTCTTCCCTCTGGGTGGCAGACCGCCAGCCATGGAAGGATACACATTTATCACACTGGATGTCGGTGATCCAGGTCATGTAAGTTAGCCTCTCTCTCTCTCTCTCTCTTTTTTTTATATTCATCTAGAATGGTGGTACTTACCCATCCATGTGACAACCTCTTTACAGCATCTCTCTTCGTTGATGGATGGCCTGGCTGGGAACTTGTTCCCTTCACCCAATCTCGGAAATGCTACACGTCCCTCGACTGGTGCTGAAAACACAAACGGAAACACTCGACCACCGGTAAGGCCCTTTCTTCTTTATGTATCTGTGATATCGTGTTTTTTTTTGCAGTTGCTATCATGGCATTGCTGAACAAAGATCAAAGCTGAATTGCATACATTGTTTTGTTTCATTGTGATTTTTAAAAAAAACGCCCATGATGACGGTGCCCAATGATGCGAAAGACTCCTTCCCAGAGCAGCCCACGCGCGCGTGCACGAGACACTTCTGCTAATACGACCACGACTTCGAACACTACATCGACCGGCAGCATCCCATCAAGTAGATCGCCCTTTGAGTTCACGTTGGGTCCTCGAAGTGCGTCAGATCTCGGGCCATCCAACCCTTCTGACATGCGTTCTGCCACGGGCGTTCCTTTCCCGGTAAATATTCTATCTCCCGTCTGCATCTCTTTGGTGGCAATACTTGCTGCTCACTTATACAAACAAGCAACTGACAATCTCTTGGTTTATTTATAGCCGTCTGTAGAAGTACGACTGATGCGGACCATGAGCTGTATGAGAAACGTGAGAACTATACTCGACACACCGCCTGATCAAAGTAAGTCGCTCTCTTTATCTTACAATAAATGTGGAGGAAGCTATAAACGGTGTATGCAATGCAGAGCAATGCAGTGATTTCTCACTCTTGCCTTTTAAAAGGCATCCATGGTATTACCACTGCATCGTCAACATCTCCAGAGCAAAGTCAAGAGATACGATCGCGACTTCGAGGTAGCGGAAATAGTCAGACGGCAGCTGTTGGAATGGTATTGGACGAGCTGGCTACTCTCATGACCGATGTAGTGCCTCGCTTGCGAGAAATGTCTGAAGCTTTGCGGGCTAGCGATCGATCGCCAAACTCAGAGGTAGCTTCTTTATTGTTTGCATTTAAGGTTGTAAATTTGGGAGTTTTTTAAACTTTTTTTTTTGCTTTTGCAGGAAAATGTACAGCTGTATCGTCGGGTCTTGCGCACAGCACGCGTTGTCCAAGGCATGAGCTTGATTAATCATTTTCTGGGATCAGTACTGGCAGCTGCCGATATCAGCCCGTCGCGTAGAACGCGTCCACGAACACCGGCCAGTAGTGGCTCCACATCTGCGGCTACCTCTCCTCGCGCAAGCCAACCAAGCAAAAACAGCCAGCCTGAAACCAACGACGACACAAGCGCATCTACATCGGCACCTGCTGGTACTAGTGCAAGTCAGACGACGGATGAACAAAACGATGGAACGACATCAGCTGCTGCTAACAACGACGATGTCCGAGGCACCAAGCGGAAACACGAAGAAGGAGATGATCCGTCATCATCGTCGTCGTCATCGTCGCAGCAAGATAAAGGCAAACGTCGAGAAACAGGTGACAATCTTTGAAAATGCAGGCTGTATACCACGTCAAGAAAAACCAAGATTACACAACAAAAGTGCAGCAAAACTACACACACACACATAATTTCACTCACACACACACGCACACACACACACACTCACCCGCACACAGACACAGAACACACATTATCTACACAACACACACACACACACGACAAGCACAAACAAACAAATAAAATCACATACTGGTCAAAAAACACAAATATACATACGTTCGTTTATCGATAATCACGACGTCTCTTTTCATCATCTCTTCTACTACTGCTGCTGCTGCTGCTATGACCTCCAGCGCCGCTTCTTCTTCTTCTTCTATCGTCATGATCATCTTCGCCATCATCTCTGTGTTCCCGCTGTCTCTTTCGAAATGCTTGACCCACATGACTTTGCTTTCCTTTTCGTTTGTCTCGCTCTTGCTGTTCAGCTTCGGCCTTGCGTGCGCGCGGATCAATTACCAGATAGTCATCCACCGATTCTGTCCGTTGCATCAAATCTTTTCCCTTTTTGTCCTTTTCAAAAACAAGTTTATGCGTCATCCACCCCTCGTCTGTTTCTTGCTCTGCATCCTCTTTGCTCGTGTCATAGCATGACTCGCAGCCAGGGATAAGATGCAACTTGCATGGCGGCTTCTCTTCTTTACTCTTCTTTTCGCCAGCTGCACTCCCTGGTTCAGCCGAGGAAAGTTTGCTTTGAAAGGCCATCAATTTAGACAAAGTCTAACATAAGTAGGGTGTTCCATCATATTAGTCTTCTTTAAATATTTCAGTAAATATTGAAAAAGAAACTTACATCTTGGTCCCCTTCACCTCGTCGCTTCCGTTCTTTAAGACCACCCGTATCAGCAGCACCTCGTCGGGCATACTTTAGTCGTTGCTGTTCTATCAACGACAATTTCTTTTTCTTCTTATCCTTGCTATCCGTCCGTCCCTCACGTTCTTCACGGCGATCATACTCCATTTGTCGGATATCATTTTTGAGCTTGTCTATTTCGCTTAGAGACGAGCTAATGGAAGGGAAAAAAAGAGCCCAGACGGACGGATGAGCATCTCAAAAACTCTTGCATATAGGCAACTCATTTACGTATACCATCGTCAATACCTCTTTTCTTCTTTGCTTTCACTTTCACGGCTACGTTTTTCTTTGACCCGTTTTTCTTCCTTGATTGGTACAACTTCTTCCTTGGGCGGCGGCGTATCTTCAGACTTGGAGGATTGCTTTTCGCTGCTTTTAGGTTTCTTTTCGGCGAATGGTGGTGGTGGTGGCATCTCTGCTGCAGGCACTTTTTTGTCTTCGGGTAGAAAATCATAACTACTCTTTTTCGCCTTTTTTTCCTCGGTTGGCGTCATTTCCTCGGCCTCCTCTCCAAAGGACAAAAGGTTCAATTGCCTATATATTTGAGATGGAAGCCAAAAGTACTGATTAGCAAACTACCTATCACAGAGCAAGCGCTCTATCCCAGATATTCCACTTACTTTTTTTCCTTTTTCTTCTTCTTCTTTGCCTCCAATTCTGCAGCCTTTTGCTTCTCAAGAGCTCGAGCCATTTTCTTTTCACGTTTTGTGATTCTCGGCACAATATCATCAAAAGGATTTAGCACAATCTCAGTGGTTTTGATCCGGGGTGGATACAACGGCCGTTCGTTTGCGTCCGTTTCCATTTCACCCATCTTGAGCACATTATAAATCGTATCGCCAGCAATCTATACAGTCATCGCGCGTCAATCGTGTGTTATTGTTTTTGTTGTTCTAAGCGTTGGGATAGGTATCTCTTGACTTACTCGTCCAAATAGTGTATGTGTTCGCGTCAATTCCTCAGTGATATCCAGTGTAATAAAGAATTGGCTGCCCTGCTCTGCTCCACCCACATTCGCCATGCCCACAAGCCCACGACGATTGAACCGTAACCGTGAATGGTATTCATTTGGGAATTCGTCGTCTTCATAAATCGATTCACCACCTATTTTTTTGTAAGCCAAAGTACATGAGGTTCCATTCTCTGAATTTTTTTAAATATGTCCAACAGGGTCATTCATCATATATTGTAATTAAATGCTCAATACCTTGACCAGTGCCGGACGGATCGCCACCCTGAATAATGAAGTTGGGTACGATGCGGTGGAAAATGGTATTGTCATAGTAGCCTTCCATGCAGAGTTGAAGAAAGTTGCGCGCGGCTTTGGGTGTTTCTTTGCTCCATAGCTCGATCTCTACATCGCCTGCGGTGGTATGAAGGATGACCTTGGCACTAATATATATATAGTTTTTGTTATAAATTTTGAAGACAAGTTAAAAGCGATTTGCATTCAAGTGATTTACTTTGTGTGCGGTTCCAGAGCATAAATATTTGACATTGTTGCAAGGAAGAGAAAACGAGCGGGGCAGCAAAGTCCGTCAACTTTTAAAATAATTAATGGTAAATGCTGCTGTATCTAATTATTGCTAAAATGAAAGAAAAATGTACAGTCTACTACGTCTTGAATCTATCTACACATATTGCTGTCTAATTACAACTCTTCATCGCCTTCTTCATCCTTTCGCTCGGCTCGTACGCGCTCGAAGCACTTGTCAACCTCACGGTTCCAATTGATGCGCAAGATAATGAGCCATTCGACGCCGCCTACCAAGAAGAGAGCGACGCACTGGCCTATCCACAGACCGGCCAGACCAAAATCATGCTTGAAAGCGAGATAGATACCCAACGGTAATGCCAAAGCATAGTAGCTGATCAAGTTGACAATGGCGCCCAAGTGCTGGTTGCCCATGCCACGCAACGAGCCGCCACACGAGCCCGCGACACCGTCTGCAATTTGAAAGGCTGCAACCCAGGGCAAGACGTCACTGACAAGGTCCACCACTGATTCCTCGTCCGAGAAAAGATAACCAAACGAATCTCGAGCAAACAACATGATCACCATAATCACCATACCAATAGTCGCCGCGAGCATAGCACTGAGGTTGGCCGAGAACTTGGCGCCCACAGGCCAGGCACTGCCCAGTAGGTTGCCAACGCGGTTGCTTGTGGCTATGGAGATTCCAAAGGGAATTGTGTTGAGGACTTGGTCGGTTGTCATGATAACGCTTTGAGCTGCCAATGATGTGGTACCGAGGTGGCCGGCAGCCAGGGCAACAATCTCAAATGCAACCCATTCGGTGCCCACCATCAAAATACCGGGACCCACCAACTTGAGGAAGGGACCCCAGTTTTGCAATGCACGACGACTGAATCCACCCCATCCAGCAGAGCCATCAATGAAGACAATGTAGCTAACCAGCAGCCCAAACATGAGCCAGTAAATAATCGATGTCGCAATAGGCGCACCAATGAATCCATAGTTCCATTCCCAGACAAACAGGTAGTTGAGACCCATGTTGAGTGGTGAGCAGATCAAAAGCACATATGTACCAGCGTGCATAATCCCTTGTGCCTGAAGGTACTTTTTGGTAGCCTCAAAGCAGATATAGGCCGGCGCACCTTCATCAGCCACAAAACATATGTGATTAGCTTAACGAAACACGTTGTATGATTGTGTAACCTCCCCTCAAAATTATGCATCAACAACGCCCAACAGAAAAACATAACAATGAAAACCAACCTGCGGTAAGATATCGTAGAAACAGTTGCGTCATTTGACTCAATCCAACTTCTTGGCCGAGGAAAAGCAAAACAGGCTCGACAAAAAACCACAATGCAGCAACAGGTACAAACAAAAGTAGGAGAACGAGATAGGCACGCTGTAAGAGAACACCGACTTCATGTGGATTATCCGAGGCTGTCCAAGACTGTGAACATAGCGTGTCTATGTACAAAATTCTCATAGGATTAATGTTTGTTTGTTTGTTGTTTTATTCTGTAACATCATCCACACTAAATTATTGTTCATACCGAGCGCCGTAGAACCTCCAAGGGCAAGGACCCATCCAGTGACCATGGCAAACATGAAGGCAAAAGCAGATGCGGCCAGTTCTTCAGCACCGAGACGTCCAACGATCAACACACATCCGGTTTGTAGTGAGTTTTGCAGCATATACGCGAGGATGACAGGAACAGATGTTTTGGTGAGCACCCATATTTCCTTGGATATGCTTGGCGTTGCAAAATTGAGATTATAGTTCCTGTTGGGGAGGATGGGTCGACTTTCTTCGTTGCCGTTAGGTAGTGCAATCGCCATTATTGGAGAGAGAGAGAGAGAGATAAGATAATCAATGTGTCAGTGATTATAGTGGAGGTAACGGAAATAGAGAAAGAGAAAGAAAAGTATGAAAGATATGGGGACGGGCAAAACAAGGAAAAGGGATGATTTAAATATGCAGATCGTCAAAAGAAATATCAAGTGAGACATCAAGCGCGGACTGAAGTTCGGCGAAATCGCTACGTGCCGGTACGTTTTACGTAAAAAGTGCATATGTCCACCGAGCACAGATAGATAAAAGGGGGGTGGTTTTCCTTATTCTTTGACCAATTTCAGGAGGTTGGATACAGCACAAGGTGGTCGAGATCCGCCCGGTCCTGTCCAAAAGTTTTACGTTAGAAAATCACGATAAGGCGGTGAATTAGATACCACACACCCATTATCTCAATTCAGTTCCCGCGTATCGCCTTGGTTTCCGACACATCAGTGGCACAATATGTAACGCTCTGGGCGACTATATACTCATATAAAAAGCAATTGAACCTTTCTGCTGATCTCTCATAATACTCGTCCTTTTAAAACCTTTGTTTTTATTTGCTATAATTATATCATCATGTCACAGCCTGCACAGTTAGAAAAGGCGTCTTTTGAATTTCTTGAAGAAGATGCACAGAAACTTGCCGCTCTGGGGTACAAGCAGGAATTCAAGCGTGAGTTCAACTCGCTGTCGTTATTTTGCTTTGCTTTTTCCATGATGGGTGTGCTAGCCTCTGTCTCTGCAAGTATCGTGTTTCCAATGTCGCACGGAGGCCCTGTAAGCATGATTTGGGGATGGTAAGTGCGAAAATGTTTTTATTTGATTTTCACTACAGCAGCATAAGTATGTTCATGCGTTTAATGTAATCATGACTCTAAATTCTTCTTGTGGGGAACTCTAGGTTAACAGCCGCCAGCTTTGTCATGTCAGGTACGCATAAACATTCTATTCTATCGAACTTAGCTATTAATCATACAATTTTTTTAGTTGCACTTATGCTTGCCGAATTATGTTCATCAATGCCCACCACAGGCGGTCTCTATTATTTCGCAGCATCCCTCTCTGTAAAATCGGACAAAGAACTGGGCTGGATGCCACTCATCGTATGGTTGACTGGATGGTTCAATGTTATTGGCAACGTGGCTCTTGTCGCATCCATCGACTGGAGTCTGACGCAAATGGTGTTTGCCTGGGTTACTCTTGCCACCGACTTTAGCTTTGTTCCTACCTTCAAGCACATGTTGGGCCTCTATTTCGCATTTCTCGTCTTGCACGGCATCATTGGTTCGCTACCTACCAAGATCTTGGCCGCTATCAACAACTTTTACGTCTTGCTCAATCTCGTCGCCACTGTTGTCGTGATCGTCTGTTTGTTCGTCCTGCCCTCAGAACGAAACTCGGGATCGTTTGTCTTTACACATTTTGATAACGCGACCTCTGGTTGGAACGACGGTTTCTCCTATATTTTGGGCATGCTTGACGCCATGTGGACGCTCTGTGGTTATGGCGCGGCTTGCAATATTGCCGAAGAGTGTCGTGATGCTTCCCGTGCAGGTCCGCGTGCCATCATCATGTCGGTTGTCTCTACTGTAGTTGCTGGTTGGCTAATTCTGTTGGCCGCCACCTTCAGTGTAGCTGATATCAATGAAGCACTGAACTCAGAACTCGGTATGCCTATGATCCAAATCATGTATACATCATGTGGCAAGCAAGCGACTCTCGGTTTGTGGATGCTAGTCATTCTCGTTCAGCTTTTCACTGGCTCATCCGCTGTCATTGCCACTTCGCGTGTTATTTTTGCGTTCTCCCGTGACGGTGCTTTACCCTTCTCCAAACTGTGGGATTCCGTCAACTCGTATACCCAGACACCCGTCAACGCTGTCTGGATCAACGTCCTTGGCTCTGCTTTACTGGGCCTTCTGGGTTTTATTGACCAGGCTGCTCTTGATGCCGTTTTCAATTTGGTAGGTTCATTCAATGGTAGATCCATTAGGCGGGGATATGCAATATAATGCAGATCTCCACTTCTTATATACTATGCAAGTCCTAAAATTTAAACTTACTTCCATAGGCTTCCATTGGTATCTACATTGCATATGGTATTCCAATCTTTTGCCGTATCACCATTGGACGTAGCAAGTTTAAGCCTGGTCCATTCAGCCTTGGGAAATGGTCTATTCCTGTTGGATCCATTGCCTGTGCTTGGATTTGCTTTATTGTGGTCTCATTCCTCTTGTAAGTACTAACCTGAAACTGTTCCATGTGAATGCAGTGTCCGAACACATTGGCTCACACGGTGCTCCTTTTTTTTGTTTCTAGCCCCTATGAAATGCCAGTGACAGCAAGCAATATGAACTATGCCGTCGTTGTGCTCGGCGCGATCATTACATTCGCTGGCATATGGTATGCCGTCGATGCTCGCAAATGGTTCAAGGGACCGCGGATCACCATTGAAACCGATGTCCTGAACGTTGTCTCAGCAGAGCAAGAAGCAGACTCATTTGTGTTTAACACCAAAGATGAAAAGTTCCCACATTCCTAGATTCTCCTCTGCATCGAAGCCAGCTTTTTGGTTTATCTCGCTGGTTTGTTTGTTATACACTACAATACCCAGTATACCGCAGATCCTCCATTCCTCTATTTGATATCACTGCTCCTCCTTTTTCCTAACCTACTATTAGTCTTACTACTTATTTCTGTTATGTTTGTACCATACCCGCCCTAGATAGCTTACATTGCTATTGCTGTACCATATTTTTTATATTATTTCATCAAGTAAATATGTTCTTTAGAGTTCGTTGCCTTTTTTGTCAGATTGCTGTTATACCAAGGAAGCGACCAAACCCCCCTTTGTTGTTACTTTTCTGTGCTTCGTTGCACATGCCTGTCATCTTCCGTGTTGTTTAGAGAGAAAAACCACCCAAACAATCGCATTGCAACTGACGGCAAGGTGACATGGAGCCCCCAGTTATCTTGTTGACTTTTACGCCAAGCTGCATACACAATAGAAATGTGTGAGACATTTCGATCCTAGCTCGGGTCAATGCACCTTTCCAAAAAAGGCCTCAGAGTTGTTGTAGCACAACGTCAACAAGTTGGCACTTGGACTTCCTCGCGTGTTGCACACGCAGCCTGCATTTCCTCTATCCCTTCCCATCCCTTCTCTCCAAACAAGTTTTTTTTTGTCTTTTTATCTCACAGGCCTAGTTTCAAAACCGAAAGCCTATAAGAAATAGTATTTTTCTTTTTCTTTTTCGAAACTCTTTTTCTTCACACACACACACACACACACACACATATTCTGCTACAGGTGTCATCAAGCCTAGTAATGCTGAACGCAATCGCACCTAGTGAAGTCCCACAAGTTATCAAGGCGCCCGAGTTTACTCGACGCAAGAACTGGTCTCAAAGCATTCTGGACGAGTTGCGAGATTTGGTTTTGGTCATTACGCCCGACTACACCGTTCTCTATTGTTCGCCTGCCTCGAGTGAATGCCTCGGCTACGAGCCACTCGAACTGACCAATCATCGAGTCACCGAATTCATTCATGTCGACGATGTCGATTCGTTCACTCGGGACTTTCGAATTTGCAAGGACACCATGGAGCCATTCAAGGGTGTCTTTCGTTTACAAGGCAAGGACGGCAAGTTCAAAATGGTTGAAATGACAGGTCACTTTTACAGAAAGTGCTTTTTTGGCACTACACGAGTGATCCCCGTGACCGCTACGCGTACCATGGAAGCCTTTTTGGAGCTCAAGATGGAGAACGAGGCTTTGAAGCAGAAGCTGCATGAACTGGAGGCGGAGGACGAGCTTGACGATGATGAAGGCGAAGATGGAGAACTGCAGCAGCAGCAGCAGCAACAACAGAGCCAGCAACTACTTGAGCGAGCAGATGCGACGGCACCGTACGTCTACACACCTGGTATCATCACCTCGTACGATATCTCAGAGACATTGTCCCTGTTCACTGGTCTGCATTATGAGATTGGTGAACGATCCCGCGGTATCTCGATGGGTATTGAAGGCGAGCTGCTGAACGTTTCGCCCGAAAGCAGGGCTGAACTCCCCACCGTGGTGGGCCCTGTGGATAAAGAAGTTGCTTCCGAAGAGCCTCAGCGAAAGAGCAAGAAGGTAAAGAGGAAGAAAGAGCCTATTATTAGTGCTTTTAAGTCAAGCACGTCAACTCACATATCATATCTTTTACTTTTCGCAAAAGAAACGTGTCGAGGTTGAACCACGACTGCGTATCTGCACTGGCTGTGGCACCACCGATGCTCCTGAATGGAGAAAGGGACCCATGGGACCAAAAACGTAAGGGTACACGCATGCAGTTGGTTGAAGCAAAGACTATGCTCGCTTTGTATACTAAATGACCTGCTCTCTTTCCTATTAGACTCTGCAATGCTTGTGGCTTACGCTGGGCCAAGACCCAGAAACAAGTTCAAGAACAATAGCAGCCACCAAGCGTTTAAGCTGATGAGGATAACAATGACTTGGCTCTGCTGTCTCTCTATTTTCAATTTGGCAATTCTCAACCTTTTTTCTTTCTCATGAATACCCCCGTACTAGCAGTTTGCGAAAAATAAGATTTTGATATGTAGTGTACTTTGCTTTGAATCTTTGAATTGCGCAAAATATATCGACACCATAACCCAATACAACTAGCAGTGGTTATACACTTGATTTACGTGTGGTAGAGGGTGGCGCGACACTACCTGATTTATGTTACCAGAAAAGGAAATTCATTTTATATGATTGACGCCAGCATCGAGGTGTAATCTTCGATTGACTTATATTGTTCACTTGTAGGATAACTCCAGTAAAACTGTCCATAACTATCCTGTATATCATAATAGTGTCGTGTTCAAGCTCCAAAACAGCTAGGTTCAGGCAGACCCGCACGATTTCGTGGCAAAATGCGTACAGTACATACCAAAAGTCACACGCTGAATTATTGGCGATGCGTAAGTTGCTAGGCATGGTTGGAAGCTGTACTGATGCTGCCCGTCCGACATTGAGCATGTCACAGTGTTCATCGAGGTATGAGGTAAAGCACAGCGTTGTGAGAAAGTCCTGATGCTGACGCATAAATGACACAAGCAGTCTAAAGTACCGTTCGCCATCCCCAAGTGCTGTTGCTGGTAAAGCCCTCCATCCAAGTTTATGCTGCTTCCGATCGAACACCATCCTCTATCCCGAGTGTATGCTGCTGCTGATAAAGAAGGTCGCCCATGATGAGTATATTTCATTGCTGGTAAATTGCTCTTGTGTTTGCTGCTGTGATGAAATATCCTTTTTTCTTCACAATATCACTTTTAATGATCATAGGAGGGCCAAACATCAGGCAGTTAGTGCGTTAACGACTGGAAAGTTGATCGTTGTTTAAGTTTGCTGAAATAACATCGAATGAATCGAGTGACAAGCATCCGGTTTCAGATATGAAGATGCGGTGAGCGTACGAGCAAAACTGTTGCGACAGTTGTGTGCACGACAGAAGAGAAGGCTTTGTCTACATGGTACAGTATGGAAGAACAAATCTGTCAATTTGGGGGAACGCAGAATGGTTGATGCTGCTATGGCCTTTTGAGTACCGCAGTGCAACGAGATTCTGACACGAGGACAAGGGTCATATTGGCTGAGCCTGACCTTGAGTTTGTTCAGCATTCCTTCAAGTCTTACACATATTGTGGACAAAGACATTTATTATTTTACCAGCACACATATGTCATCAGTTAGCAAAGATATTAGTAACAAATACAGCGCCTGCTTAAACAAACTGCATTGTCTTTTTCTTACCTGCGATATGTCTGGCGATGAGACTGGTAGTTGGCCCGTTTCTTGACCTTGTTGGGATGCTGCTGTCGCATAAGTAACAATGACAATGATGTCAATGTTGAGCAACAATCGATGACTTATAGAGATAGATCTGGCCCTGAGCTAAAGAAACAATGACTACGGAAAACATTTGACGTACCTGTTACGACATTAACGTGCGAAGATTCGAGTCGAGAAAACGTGATATCCAAAACGACATGTGTTAATTTTTTTATCCTTCGATGGCTAAACCCATGGCCCAAACATCGAATATAATAGTTAATGGAGAATAGAATATTGAATAGAGCCTTGGTAGCATACTTGTCGAGATAGCTGATCTCGGTCCACATTGATGATTGGTCCAGGAGTGTGTCGCGCCAGGAACGGTTCATCTTGGTACATTCACGATTTGGCAGAAGACCTCGTGGGTTAATTCTTGTGACCGATCGATGAGAACCACGTCTTCCATGCTTTAACAATTTGTTGTGTCGATTTCTGGTACGTAGTAAAGGAACGAGGAAGAGTTTGGGTATGGGTCAGTAGAGTGTCAAAACGAAAAAGGTAAGTAGTTTAATATATACTTACGCTTCTGTCACAACTATAGGCAAGCAAAATTTATTTTTGGAGCATGGAAATGAAGATAACGCGAAACTTTACTTTATACGCTCAGTAATACACCTTAACCGATAAAGCTCTTAGCTAGTCATTCAACGAGACACATTTGTAGCTTGTTAACAAAAGACACACTTTACATCGTCGACTGCTTTCTCCATGCTGTAGTATTCGTAATAATAAGGCAAATACATAACGGATTTATGCTCTATAAAGTTATGAGCTTTTAGACATTGTACAGACTTTCCACGCATTCATCTCGGTCCGAAACGCGCATAGCATTGTTGCTAAGCTAGGTCGTCTATATACTAGCTAATGATGCTACCGTTGTCAACGATACAGCGAAACCTAGCAAACTGCCCCAATTTTCTACGCAGTAGACGAGAATGTTTTAGTTCTAAATATTACGACGGCTTGATTACTGCGTTTTAAGGGACATGTTTGCTCAGGAAGGTTTGTCGGATTAGAACAGCTCTGGCTGGCAGCAGGGTTGCTGCGCAGTAGCACCATCATGCAGATCATTCGACTCCCGGCGCGCGCGCTTTAAATATGATAACCTACTCACCTTGAGCTGTTTACCTTTCTTTTGTCCTCTCATTCATCCATCGAGAACAACAACTATAATGCGATCATTTCTGAGAGCAGCATCTACGAAATTAGAATTCAATTCCTTTTTAAAGGACTGCCTTCAGTCTTTTCCCCAATGGAAGATCAAAAAAAGTCAGTTGTCAGTGATGAATCTGATAGACACGATCAGCTCAGGAATCGTGAACGATCTTTGCCACAGGTACTGTTCGATATTGACAAAAACAGCGCGACCCATAGACTTGGCTTGTTTTTATTTATGTTTTATTTAGCAACTAACCTACTTACGATCGTCGTTTAAACTTTGAAGAAAATGCAGAATCAAACATTCTGCAGCACCAAGGAATTGTCAAAGCCGGATCAAATAGTGCACGAGCATGCACCTGCAGTCAACCTCGATAACGTCAACCCCCGATAGCGTCAACCGATTCGCTGGTACCCTTTCAAATTTAGCAGTTAAGACTTTGCCTATTCTCTACCCCCCGTGGTCGTCAACCCTCGATATGATCAACACTTTTGCTAGTACCCTGAGGGTTGACGTTAACGGGGCTCGACTGTACTGCAATCGTCATTGAACAGATTGATACAATCGACCACGGTACGATTTAAGAGATTGTATGCGAGTCTAAATATCACAGTATAGGATGCCAACATTGCGGTTGATGCATAATAGACACATCATCAGCCTTGCCACCGACATCAAATATCACTACTGCTACTGCTACCGCTGCTGGTGCTGCTACTGATGCTCCTACTGATACTGCTACACGATTAAAAATACAAGAAGAAAGAACAGCAGCAACAACAATATGATACAATTAAAATCTATCTTGAAAAAGCGCTCCCGAGAGGATATCACTGATGAGCCAGATAATACAAATTCAGGTAAATCAGAGAAGTAAACCACACCTGGTTTTCTTTTATCACTATTGTACATCAAATAAACGTATACGTTAACAGTCATACTCTCATTCTAGAAACATTAGAATGTACATCCAGTCAAAGACTAGTAAAGCGCACAAAGACGACAAAGAAGACGATAGCTTTCCTTTTTTCCAGAACAAGAAGAGCAGCAACAGAAGAATAAACGTACTCTTGCAGGAAGCAAGCGACCCAAACTCTTTAAAAGTAAGTGCGGGAGTTACCTTGGCTGGCAAAAAAATGTCACCATGCGTTGCTAATGTCGTTGATGATGACTCTTGTTGCCCCTACAACAGTGTTTCTATCATCAGAAAAACAAAAACAAGAAACAAAAGCACCATCATCACTGTCTGCTGTAAAAAAGCGCGCTCACGATAGCACAGACACATCAGGCAAGTATAGTCATACATGCATATATGAGCTCGAAAAATTAAACAGCGGTATTATTTCCTTCCACTGCTACGAAGACAAATGCTTGCTAACAGTTGCATTCTCATTTTCGCTGTTTTGCGATATACAGCTGCGCAAAAGCCATCGAAACGAATCAAAATTTATGCGCGCGCAACAGTTTTATCACCCTCAGAAGTACAACGACCGAAAGAGACAGAAAACAAAAGTACACCTACTGTCGATAAAGGCAAAAAACGCGTCAAAGTGATTCATAAAGGCGAAGGTATGTACTACGGTTGCTCGGGTCGAAGAAGAATACATTTATTAATGTGATGCTCCTTTTCATGTTATAATATTAGAAACTACCACCAGAAGAAAAGCCGCTACTGTCACTGCTAGTTCTGCAGTAACGCAATCAGAACAATAGCTCCCTATCATCAGAAGCAACTTCAAATAAAACAACTGTTGAAACAAAACCTCTCTGTTCTTCTGTTATTCCACTTCTGCCTGCTTCATCTTCTCCGAGCTCCCTTGTTGATGAAAACTGTGCCCGCTACAATAATGTCTTATGTATCGACAATGTCGTCTTATCACTCAGAGTATTACTGCTAGACATTTTACTGTATTGAGTCAACAGTCAATCAAAAGGGAAACAGAATGTGTAATAACGCTTGGATCGACATCGTCACATCTGGTATACGCGGTTAACAACACGAGCAACACCAATAGAGAAGTTAGGACAAAGTATAGACATACACTAACCTTGCTTAACTCGGATAAACTGTGCCGAGAATGATTGTTATATGTCATACACACAAGCGTCAAAAACCAGAAAAAGACAAGTAGGGGCTACAAGTAATTTTTATACTTTTATTGCTATCATGGAGAATTGAAAACTAATTACTACATATGTTTTTTTCATAAGCAAAAGGATGATTGGAACCAGAGATCCATTTTTTATACGCAAGAGGGAGAACAAGAGTCAGTAAAGCCTCACATGCCTTTGAATTTTGCAAGTGCATTTGAAGGCGACCAAATTGGGTCAAAGATACTTGACGTTTCGGGATATGGGTTTTCTTTTCAAAGAGCATGAGACTCGTAGAAGGGCTTAACCTCCTCGCTCAGCATGGTTGTCATTTCTCGTGCAAAATTGATGATCTCGTGCATATTCTCATCGCCGTTGGCCAAGAACTGCACAGGAGTCCAGTTAGGCGCCTCACCGACCTGCAACGACAAGTTCTCGGCAAAGCGGGTAACCCATTTCTCGTGGTAAATCGAAAACTTGAAAATAACACGATGCGGGTCGAAACGAGACAAATTGACAGGCAAATCAAGACGGTCCTTCGACAGACCCAAACGATGGATATCCCAGACCTCGTCAGAACAGACTTCGATAATCCAACCGTCCAAAGCATACACCCATTTGGTCTTTTGCGTGATCAAGTGTGGCTCGTAGTCACGTGCATTGGGCACCAGAATGAGTCGATTGGTTTCTGGATCGAGCATTAAAGATTCCACAAACTGGCTGTGGGGTGTATCTCTGTTGTTAAACGAGCTGAACCGTTTTGCGGTCTGTAGCTTGAGTTCCCACGAGTAATAACTTTCCAAATCCATGATGCTGATAGTGACAATATCTTGGCCTTCGGCAATCAAATCCCATAAACCAACCCGTCGGTCGCTAGTAAAGTCTGCCATGATGATTGTTCGCCACTTGTCCTGTTCCATGGAAGCCGTCTGCTGTTCACGGCGTGCATAAGCGGATGGTCGTGGTAAGAACTGCGGATATTGGTCCGCCTCGATGGTATAAGACGTGCGCGGAGAATCAGTAAACTTGATACAGTTTGAAGTGAGCCACTCGAACAATGGGTGGAGCTCTCCTTCGCTGCGTCCAATGCAGGGCGCCAAGACACTTTTAAACTTGCGATGCGGGAAAATCTTGATCGCAAGGTCCTCGAGCGTGATGTTACCCTGACGCTTCGGATAGTCCGTAAGTACGATTTGGCCGATTCTGATCTTCATTCTTATCTTTTCTTGGTTTAACCGTATACTCTCCAGACCCATTTCGAGCGCGCCGGTCATTTTTTTCTCGTTCTTTGCGTCCAACTGTTGCATTTCATCTGAAAAATCGCTCTTTGCGTTGTCATCGTTGTCTTCATTGTCCAAGCCAACCAGATTTGGGCTATCCGGGATACGCGCCACCACACCAGTGACCATGCTTTCCAAAAGTCGGTTGTTTGCAAGAATGTGTTCCTCTTTGTCAGGTGGGGCATACCGCGGCGTGATAAAACCTTGAGGCAGATTACGGTACTTGACCCTCATGTTTGTCTTGGGTTGCTTGAACGAACGCAGTGTGGCATAGTGCGGCGAGCGGGCGTTCTTGAGATATAAATTTCGCATACGTGCTGCAGCCTCGTTGACTTTATCCGCGTTCTCGCCCGTGACACTGATAGCATTGGTATTTTCATTGTACTTCATAAAGCATTTGCAGTCTGCTCTGAGTTGGTTCAAGAACTCTTCCTTCACCCCAAATACTTGATTCATAGGAATGTTCTTGTTCGGAAAGGGCACTATCGCGTTGTATGAGAGTGGACGATTTGGATAACCTTGGAACGCTCGTTCTTCTTCTTCCTTGAGCTGTTTCCGTCCTGCCCGCTTACGTTCCTTTTCCGTCAGTTCACGCTCAGGCTTGCCCCATTTTTTAGTCTTGCGGCGTACTGGTTCGTCTCTTCGGTGCAGGCGCTGCACAATCAAATCCAACAAAAGCTTTGCGCGGTTGACAGACTCGCGATCGCCCCAAATGTCAACTTGATTTTTGGCCTCGTTGTAGTTCAAGGACGTACTCGTTTCAGAGCAAATTTCGTCCAATTTGAATCTGTTTTTGCCTAATACATCGACTAAGGTGCATTCAGGTGGCAACATCCAGCAGTCTGCGGGCATTTGCTCTTGAGATTCAGTTATAGGTGGTGGTGCTGCATAGCATTCATTACCGCCAGTACCACCTTGCACATTGGGGGCTCCATCGTCGCTGCCCCATTGTTGTTCTTGAATACGAAGGGCAGCAGCAGCGTTGCTTGCGATTTGGCGGTCGCGCCAGTCATCGTCTTCTTCAACATCATTGTCTGCGTCATATGGTACTTCAGGTTCGAGCATGTTTTCGAGTTATGATCAAAATAAAAAAAGACAAAAGCACAAATTTCAGATGATGTTTAGTGGTGGCAAAAGTAACTTCGCTTTGATGCCATAAACACACCACGACCTATGATGTGATCATTATGACATAGTTAAACATTTATCAGTTACCATATCTTGCTTCTCCACATCATCTGATTTTTTACCTTCCGGGTCCCTTCTTTTCTTGCCTTGCTCTTACTGAAAACCTAACACCTTGGTGTCTGGTCTTTCGTGAAAGTCTCGGTTATCATATCTTGCTTCTTCCTCATCATCTGGATTCTTACCTTCCGGGTCCCTTCTTTTCTTGCCCTGCTCTTATTAAAAGCACCTAACACCTTGGTCTTTCGTCAAAGCTTCGTGTACACTCTGTCTTTTCTTGTCCTGATCCTATCCGCACCTTACAGTGAAGCCCTCAAATGTGTAGCCTCCTACAAGCCCAGCATGTATCAAACGAAACGCCCAGAGTTGCACTTTTTAGAGTACAAAAAAGCCGTAAAGTCGACTCTCTTAATTTCAAACCCGTTAACTCTCAGCCCTCGCTATTTTCAAGTTGTTGGAGTTATCGAACAAACAAGAATAGCAGGGAGTACTAGTGCAAGCTGTTCTCGCTAACTTTCTACCCTCATTAATTTCACATAAAATATTCAAAGATCCGCGCCATGAAATTAACGAAGGTCTACTGCAGTACATCATTTCATCATATACTCGAGCCAACTTGAGAAAAGTAAGACTTTTTAATCTGTTGGTTAAAGCACTGTGTTTATCTTTTCAGCTTCATAAGTGCAATCAGTTCAAGCTGCTCGTTTCACTATCTTTTGCTACATAAATTTATTATCTCGTCAAATCAATAATGTTATAGTAGTAGGAGTAATCTTTGTTTGAAATATTCCTTCATCAAAGGGCAAGCTCTATAAAAAAACCTATACTTCGCTTGATACTTTAAAATATTAACATAATAATGAAGTGAAGCATAGTAGCTAGCTATCAAATGATATGGCGAATATATATACTTTTGATTGCAGAGCGTGTTTATATTTTCATGCTCACGATACGATGGGGATGAAGGGATAGCTGACGTTCAAGCCATCGAGTATGTACTATTGGCTCGAGATGCATGATTATTTTAACTGCTTATATGTCGGTGGGTGTGGTGGCTAAGATGAGCTGCACAATAATGTGATATTTCTGTACAATTTCTGTACGTCTTTTGAGATACCTTTGTCATCAGTACATAGTATAACGAGCTTCCTTTACTAAACACTACATACTTAAAAGTATTCTAAGCTTTCATAAGGATGAGTTTTTAGAATGAATTCGGCAATCTTAAATATGTAGAGCAGTGAACTTCCCATTATTCAGCATATTGGCAATATATTTATATATAACATATAGTGTATTATATCGATCAGTAATACTTTTACGTGTAAAGGATGTATTCAGGAATTGATCTTTTAGCAAAGCGGAACTCAGGCATCTATGTAGGTGTCATCTCAATAAAGATATATACGAAGCGGCTTTTCTTTTGTTTTTTTTCCAATCCAGCAGTACATGTTCGTGTATATAAGCTTGTTCTAATTGGAACGACAGAAGAACCTTCGCACAATCTTATCGGAAAATATGTAACAATAAATGTTATAGTATGTACTATACATTGTAACGTCACGAGCGAATGAGAGGGAGAGGAAAGAAGGAGTCATTGGCGGCGAAGGTAAAATATATTTTTAGAACTTTTACGTGCCATACGACCGGTAACGCTACAGTATGCGCGTTACATAAGGTACATGTAGAGTTTTTTTTTGTTGATCCCAAACAGATTGTAGAACGCCCAGCATATGGAAAATTTTTTTTCTAAAAGGACATTCTTTCGATGCACAAAGCCGTATTGTATGCTTAATTCTGATTATTGCCCATTGGCGTATATCTGTACCCAAAATTGTTCATTCCGATCGGTTTAAAAGGTACGATTATCTGGCTGCGGTGGCCACATCGATAACAATAGTTTTCAGAGAAAAGACACGGTCGCACCACCGACTACACTTACTATAAGCGCACATATAAAAATAACCTTATCATATGAGAGAGTATTTTGCTAGAAAATATACGTCTATTGTAATGCATATTACTTATGAAGAGATAATCTGGAAGTTTCAATACATGTAATACTTGTTGTTAGAATAGTGTATATATACGATGAGACAACGGGTTTTGGAGGCAACAGTCTTTAATGCTGCTTACGTTCCTCCTTCATTAATGTCCCGAAACTTCTCTTTAGAACTTGATGGCAATCACTACTGCCAATTCTTGTCAAATTGAAGCTGCTTGCCCTCCTTAGAATCCGCTTGTAGAGTGGCGGGGAATGCTTGACAGGTAGCACTTGAGATCATCGGACTACAAAAATGGGCAATTGGAGGTGGCAGATGTGTGACCGCTCTGTTGTTTTTGCTTTCTAATGAACGGGCGGTCAGTCGGAACCTTGACCTTGGGAAAAGCCAAAAAAAAAACATAATAACACAAATGTTGCGTCTTGCGGGTGTCCGTTTGCTGCAGCAAAGAATCGGTTATAATGCATGCAATGTTGCACGTCAACAAGTCGTTGCCAACAAAACTGTAGCAGGTCGATGGGGATTCCGTTCATTCAGCAGCAAGGTCACCAAAGAAGAGTCGTCATACGTTAGCGGATTCAGCACACAGGGAAACGTAGCTGCCGATACACAAGCATCAGCGACGCCTTCCCAACAGTTCAAAACATATAAGCCCACGACTCCCGGTAAACGTTGGTTAAAGCGCGTACCACGTGACCACCTTTACAAGGGCAAATCTGTTCGACGATTGACGGTTGCCAAACGAAGCACGGGCGGTCGTAACAACTCAGGTCGCATTACTATTCGACATCGCGGTGGTGGACACAAGCGACGTATTCGTATAATCGATTGGCAACGAGCCGAGTCAGGTCAGCAAACGGTAGTTCGTTTAGAACACGACCCCGGACGAAGCGCATGGATTGCCCTGTTGCGACACGAAGAAAACGGCAGTCTGAGCTATATTGTTGCTCCACAGGGCGTGAAGCCAGGAGACAAGGTGATGAGCTATCGAGCCGAAGGTGCACAACGCAGCAGCAGAAAAGACAACAGCACATTAGACGAGCACGGTATCACACGCACAGCTTCGATCGATCCTGGTAACTGTATGCCGCTCAAGATGGTCCCTGTGGGCACAATCATCCACAACATTGGCCTGAAGCGCAATGGCCCTGCGGTCATGGCACGCGCAGCAGGTGGTTACGCACAGTTGATTCAGACGGGCGAGACGGGATATGCACAGGTTCGTCTGTCGAGTGGTGAGGTTCGGTTAGTCCCTGTGGATGCGTGCGCCACGATCGGCGCGGTAAGCAATCCTGACCATCAGCACGAAACGCTCGGCAAGGCCGGTCGTTCCAGATGGATGGGTATCCGCCCAACAGTTCGTGGTGTGGCCATGAACTCGACGGACCATCCTCACGGTGGTGGTCGTGGTAAATCCAAGGGTAACAAGCATCCACGATCGCCTTGGGGTGTCCTGGCAAAGGGTGGAAAAACCAGAAAGACACCTAACCAGTTCGTGGTCAAGCCCCGTCCTAGACGATAAAAAGATTGAGAGCACATTCTGTAAAATTAATTATAAAAATATTAATAGAAAGGAACAAAAAAGCATGGTATCTATTTTACTTTTTTCTAACATAGGAGACATCTAAGAGAGAATCGAGCGAAAGCGAGAGAAGGAGGGAGTGTGGTGTGGAGTGGAGTGGGTTCTATTGTACATGATTACCATATGCTGGCTGGGGTCCCTGCACGAACATGTCACCGGGGTAAATGCATATATTGAATTATGTTGGAAAAAAAAAGGGACATTCCTCAAGGACGATTAAACATTTGCTTTCTATTATAGAGAGAGACTAAGGCTCTTCATCCACTGCCTCGGACGCAGGGTTGCCTGGCTAGAACGAATCGTCCTTTATTTACACCGATTCACCCCACTACAACAAAGACAATCGGCTGTTGTCATGCCAACCGAGAAGGGGGGCTTGGAGAAGAGAAGAGCAAGATCAAGAGGAAGAACAGATGATCTCAGTTACCAGGACAACGGGGTCAAATAGTGCCAATGCATCGAATATGATAGCATGTACACAGTATATGTATACATACATTATATATACACACACACACTGCCCATATTATAAACCACATTGACCAACGCGCACTGGTCAAGGAGTTGTACCGCTCTTTTTATTTAATTCGTCCTCTTGTGCTCTTGAGAGGTCATGCACTTGCCCGGGCATCAGGAGAGGTCGAGGGGGGGGGGAGAAGTCCATTTCATATGACGCACGTGCAACATCAAGAGGGGATCATGCATGGGCTTGCCATGTCAATGAGCTGACTTTTTTTTTTTTTTTTCTCTTTTTTGTTTTTGTTCGGATAGTTTAAAAGCACATAGCTTGTTTTCTTTCTTTTGTTTATATCTTTGCAGCTTCCTTTTCTTTATCTCCCAACTCTCTCTCTCACACTCACACTCACTTAACACTCACTCAACCACTTTTTTCCCTTTCCTCTCATTTAAACCCGCTCAATGGCACCCGACCTCCAGTTCGATCAAGGCATAATGAAGCTGTCCAGCTTCGACCCACAGTCCAAGCGGATGGAAACCCGCGTTCTCTGTCTTCCCGACCTACCCCGCCTCGAGTCACTTGAACACCTTTTCACTGCTGCGGCTGCAGTTTCTGCTGGTACTACCACCACCAGCAACTCGTCCAACAGAAGCAGATATGCCCAAGTCTTTGCAGAACCTACTGCCTCAACATCGTTACGCTTGACAAAATCATTTACGGGCAGCAGTAAAAAGTCATCATCATCTATGCGTGGTATTCCTCGTCGCTGCTTCTCCAATCCATCATTGTCGTCGCGCAAGAACAAAGAGTCTGGCAGCAGCGGCAGTAGCAACAGCAACAGCAACAACAAGAGCCACATTGTACCCGGCACAGATAGGATGATGATGATGGCAGGCGAGTCTTGGAAGTCGACAGGATGCCGCCGCTCTTCATCACGACGCAGTCTATCGCACGCTATTCACGCTTTCACGGGATTGCTACAAAAAGCAAAGAGATCGTCGACGCTTCGCAACAAACAGCAGTGGCACAACGAAACGTGGTTCGTCGAGATGCGCATGTCGACCGAGGAGCTCGAGCGGCCTTCAAAGAAGAAACGGGTCGGAACGCATACCGAGAACTGGTGGGCTTCTTCTCCGCCGATTTGTGCGTGTTAATTTTTTTTAGCTCTACTGCTTTCATTATTCTTTCATACATACCCGTCCTTTTGAGACAATCTTATAGCACACCCCCCCACCCCTTCATCCACACCCCATTCATTTCATATCAAAAATGCTTTTTATCGACCCCGGAGGTCCCATTCCTTTCTCTTTCAATTGCACAGCACAACACACCCACACCCACCCCCACCCCTTCCAGTTCATTCATTCCAGCATTTTGTTTTCATGACCCAAATAAGCTACTCTCGGATTAGCCATTTATATCCACCAGCGATTGACAGCAGATTCTTCTCGGCTTATCCTTACGGGTAATATCCGAGAAAAGAGTCTCTTTTTTTTACGCCCATCGTCATCGGATCTTTTTTTTTCTATCTCCCTTTTTATTTGATGTAGCAAGTAGATGTACAGTAATCTTGTCATCCCCTGTCCACTCATTCCGCGTTGTTCTTCGTTTTCTCTTTTTCTTACTTTTATTTATAACGATAATACAACCAAACAGACCATCATCATCATCATCATCATCAACAGCACTAGCACAGCCAACATCTTTGATCATTTTAAAAAAATTAAACGCTATTCACTATTTATTGTGGAGCTGTTTTTGATTATTACCATTGCAGATCTTTTCCTTTCTTTTTTTAGCCACAGCTTTTTTTATAGTGACTGACCCAGTACCATCTTTGTCTTTTCCACGGTGGTGCTTCTATAGTATATACACGAATGCATGACTTGGATGATTAGTGGTACATATGAGTTGGGAGAAGCAAGAGGAAGAGAGTCTGAGCTTTTGTTACATTGGACATGCATCTAAATCTATGATAGCGCGATCAGAACTGCACGAGGAGAGACTATTACATGTAGAAGAGTCTATTATCCACTTACTCATTTCCTGTCCCCCTTTTCCCCTATACAGTACATAGAATGTAAAGAACCTTTCCACAACGACATACATACAGCATCATCTGTGCTGCTGACCCAGTTCATATAGCTTACTATGGAGCACAGTGCGTCCATGCGCTGGCCAGCCTTTTCATTATGCATATCCCCAGAAAAAGAGAGAGAAAGAAAAAAAACGCCATGATCGAAAACAACTCCTAATCAATAATAAGCTTTATCCTCTATGTACAGCTTTCTGGCTGGCTGAAGGGGTGTTTTGGAGGGCTTAGAGGTACGCGTATAATAAGGAATAAGAAAAAAAAAAGAAAAATATGAACGATAAATGTATGCTCTTGTGTGGTGTGGGTTGTGTAAGGGGATGATGAATGTTGCTGTTAGGATTGTAGTAATGTAGTAATAGTAGTTTCAATGGATGAAAGAGATATGAAATGATATAACAAGCGCAGAGATGATGGTGGACGGGGGGCGGTTTGGGTGGTAGGCGAACTTTATGAATGTAACAAACTCGTCCTTTCATCCGGCTCACTGGTGGTAGTGGTATCTTGCTGTTGTTGTTGGCGTGAGCGTAATTTAGTCCACAGCCCTTTGCTTTTGGGGAGTACCTTTGCATGCTTCTGAATATTGGATGCAGATTCCTGCTCGGGTTCTGCTCCGGCTGCTGCCATATATCCCGGCTGCCATGAGATAACAAGCACACCGCTGATAAGGACAGCAATGCCCATGAGCACCGCGACCATTTGCCACCAGAACAATCGTTCCCACTGATCGTAATAGACCAGTCCATTGAACAGACACGAGACGTTGAAGGAGCAGAAGTTTAGGGGGACAAGAATAATCGTGTCGCACAGGCGGATGCCTCGGTTCAAATAGTAAAGCTTCATAAAGCCCATTGAAAAAGAGAGAGAGAGAGTATGAGTATGAGCAAAAGGAGGTGGTGTGATGTTTTTGGGGTGCGGGGGGGAGGGCAATGGGTCAAAATGCACGACCCCAGACCCAACCCAAACCAAAGAAGAGGACGATCGATCTTACCTGCAATACTGCTGTAAATATGAGCGCTAATACCAACAGCCATGTAAGAGGATTGGCAAACTGATTATCGTGGTGGAAAACTGAAAGGATCAGCAGTTCTAGACCGCTTTTTGCAAACAGCATGGCCTGGCTGCTGATGTTGGCACCGAATACACCGTAGCTATACGATAAACAGCAACAAGATGGGATCGTCAATAAAACCATGAACCTATCATAAACAGAGAGAGAGAGAGAGAGAGAGAGGCTCCTGAATTCCTAGAAACCCACATACCTGATCCCTAGCCACATCTTGAGGTCTGGACGAGCATAGATGCCTCCCAACCAACGTCCTGATGCTTCTGACCGTTCTGCATTGTATTGGATAAGGTGCGTCAAGACCAGGCCCAGACACGTGAATGACTCGATGACGGCAAAATACACAATAAATGCAGGTCGCTTGTACAGACGAATAAGATCTTGCAGCGAATGATTGGGTTCTGGCACAACGCCAAATCCAGCAACAAGCATAGCGCCGATAACAATAAGCATTGTTCCTAAATAACATATCCCATCGGGTGTTATTCATCAACTATACTGCAATCCTCTTTTTTTCTTCGCCTCTCTCTCTTTTCTCTCTCGCACACACACACACTTTTTCTTTTTTACTACCCTTGAGCTATGTGTTACCTAGTATCGTTTTCATTGTAAAGGGATCGCCCAAGACGATCTTTGCGAATATGGCATTGAATACCAAACCAATGGCACCAATGGGTGCCAGGATGACAATGGGCAAATATCCAATAGTACAAGTCGACTGAACAACGTTGCTCATTGTATAAATTAAAAATCCCGAAAGCCATAATGGTCGTTTGTAGAATGGGAGATTGTCGTCGCTTCCGAGCCGTTGTTCGACGAGATGAGAGCGACGTTGAAGTGATATACCAAAAGCTTGGGTCATGCTGGCCAGCAGCGCAATGGCGAGTGGGCCCCATACATCTTTAGGTCCATCGGCTAGCGATGTTGCTGCAATGATGGTAGTGGTCGTACTAGTAGGAGCAAGACTTAATAACGAGGATAGGCTCATATACAAAAAAGATCGATATATATATATAAAGAAAAAAAGAAGGTGGCAGTCTATACTGGGCTTCAGCAGTTTTTTGGACCCCCTCCTCCTCCTCCTCCTCCTCCTCTCGGTGCACTAGTGCATGTCTAATTCGGGGAAATTACTATTTCGTAGCAAATGTTATTTTTATTTTATAATTAGGCTCGTGATAATGAAATGAGAGAGAGAGAGAGAGCCTCTCAAACGTGGCCGTGTAACAAACACAAGTATCACTTCTCATGGCAGCAGCTTTTGAGACTTGTTGTTGCTGTTGTCCACATACAATGCCACACAATTCCATGATATTTTGGCTCATGACATATATATAATGCTGAGACACACACACACACACACACACACATTCGGAAGCGGGGAGGGAAGGGGAGGAGGGATGGGTTGCGGAAGAGGAAAAGAAAGGGAGACAGGGGTATTGGTGGTAACTGGTGATTTATACGTGTGATGATAATGAGAGGATTGGATATGGGGGTTTGCTTGTAGACATGGGTAAAAAGAAATAGTTACAAAGAGTTTTCCTCTTGCTTGTTGATCATCGTCATCGTCATCAACTGCGAATTAGAGAGAGAGAGAGAGAAAAGTGTATAGATCACCTCGTACAAGCACTGAGACGATAGAGAATACAAGAAGAAAGTGTAATGGTGATAGATATACAAGAAACAAAACTGCAGATAAACAAAAAAAAAAAAAAGAGTTTATACCAGTTCGCACCGCAAGTTGGATTCGCGTCGCCGGTCGCCACGGACAAAAGGATCCTTGCGTCGGGGCAAGAAGCCTCTTGGCTTGAGAGGACTGAGTAGTTTGCGAGCACGGATCATGTTGAGTTCGGATGAAATGATTCGTAAATGATCTGGGTTGGATCGGGTATCTCGGGTGTAGGTGTTGGTGTCTGGATTGAATCGTGGCTGCGTCGTAGCCTCGGAACGTCGCCGCTGTGAAGCCGGCCGACGGGGAGCAGGGGGCATCGGGATAAACCCGTCTTTCTTGCTCGGTTTGATGGGTTTATAAGGCGTGGCGGGTGATGAGGAGGATGACACGACCGACGACGGCGGCGATTGCTGCTGCTGCTGCTGCGAAGGCGAGGACACTGACGATGACAGAACCAGTGACCGCCGGAGTTGTGCGATCGTTTGGACCCATCGCACCTGATGCATATCTGACTGCTGTGGCGGCGACGATGACATGGCATACGATGGGGTTGTCAACGTAGACGGCGTTTGGGCCTTGGAAAACGAGGAAATGGAGTGTCGACGCACTAATGACTTTTCACTTTCTGTCAGTACTGCGCTTTTGACACTAAGCTCGTCATCCAGATCATCCTCGTCGTCGTCTTCTTCTTCTTCTTCTTCTTCTTCTCCATCACTCTTCCAGTGAGGATGCATCCGCCCCTTTCGTCTATGATGATGATGGTGGTGGTGGTGGCGGTTGTGATGTGGACGATGATGGTGTGGACGCGACATGATTCCGTCTTCTTCTTCGTCTTCATCGTCCTCTTCTTCTTCTAGCTCTTCGTCATCTGCTTCGTCCATTGTTTGGACACCGTCGAGCGTCGGACGCCCAGGAATGGGTATGGGCTCGCTGGGTGGAGCACTGAGTGAAGGAGGCGGCATATGTAATGGCAGGACCTGCGTGAAAAAGTCCGCATACAGGAACGACTTGAAGCGACCTTTGTCTTCCTAACATTATGAAATAGCCAGTATAGAGAAGGAGTTTGTCGTAGGCATGAGTTGTGGATGATAACTGTAGAATTGACCGTTCCTTTGTAAAATTCGCTCTCTCTCTCTCTCTCTCTCTTTTGTCCGTCCCTTTTTTTTCTCTCAAATTGATATATACCACTTCTTCGTCGTCTGGCAGAGACTCTTTACTATCGACGACAATCCAGTCTTCCACATGGGACATTCGCCGCATAGGCTTTTGTTGTTCGGGATCGGGTGTGGCGGAAGATTTCTGTTGGGGTTGTGGCTGTTCCTTTTCCTCCGCTTGTTGTTGTCGTCGTTGTCGTTCTTGACGTCGCTGCTGTGATGTCTTTTGAGTTCCCAATTCTCTCTCATGGCGTCCACTGCTTTTTTTCCTGCGCTTCTTTAACAGCGGCGGGATGGCGCCGTAAGGTTTGGGAGCTTGAGCAGCAAGCTGTTTGATAATTTCCTTGAACGGAGACGGCTGCTCTTCACCCATCATGTCAGGGAATGGAAATGGTTCTGAGCGAGAAGCTGACAACAGAGTTGGCATCAATGGAAGAGGGGGAGAGAAAGAGGTGCGAGTGAGAGAAACTGAAGGAGAGAGAGAGAGAGAGAGAGAGAAAAAAGAGGGTGGGGGAGGGGGGGAGGGGAGGGGGTCAGCTTAGGAAGCGTTTGGAGAAAAAAAAAATTCAAAGGCGCTCTCGCCCGCTCGCTCTGGAGTGTCTCATCCATTTGCCTCTCTACTCTTCTGTTCCTGCTGCTAGGATTTAAGTCACAGGGAGGCAGACAGAGAGGCAGAGACAGAGAGGCAGAGAGAGAGAGAGAGAGAGAGAGAGAGATTTTTATTTTTGTTTCTCCAACACACACACAACAAACGTTACGCTAAATACGCCCAGCACCCCACAGCAGTCGATACGCTCGTTCTTGTTGTTGTCATCAATTACATTGCTCTTTGCGGTCCAAGGCATTTGTTATTCTCATTGTACAATGGGAGACTACTACTTGTTGTTGCTGCTGGTTTCCCCAGATATGCTCCAATTAAGGTTCATGTGGTACCACTTGCTGCATTACACGCAGCTGGCTGTGAGAAACTGAACTATGATGCTGCTGCCACGAAAACGTGTGTAGTTATGGGTATGATGGGGGTGTATATACTGCAGCACCTGTGGCTGTTGTCTTTTTTGGAGCAAAAGAACCGACACCATTGCGTTTTTGTGCGAAAATGACCGTTCTCCTCCTTCTTCTCTGCCTCGTATATGTTGGTTGTTTTTTTTTTTTTTGTCCATTCAGCTTTTGCGCCATTGACGATAACTTGAGCCATTGCCGTACTGTGGCTGTTGCTGTTGCCAAGAAGTTCGGTGCATTGCTGGATCCAGGTCGACAATGTGGTTCTTCCGCGGCTCGTACCTGGAGTAGGCGACGATGGTGGTCACCAGCGCAACGCCGGTGAACAGGGACCACTTTGTCCATTGGTGCTGCTCCTGTGGAGACGCTCCTTTTCGTGCTTCAGGTGGTCTTTCTTGCCATGCTGCAGCGGCCGTGTTTGCGGCCATAGAGACGTCCTTGCCTACAAGGCGTCGATATGCCGCGGTAATGTCTCGAATATCTGGCTCGCCTTGTGCTGACGGCTCTCGGGCAACATCGGGATGATGCTTCTTACATAGCTCTATGTATCGTCTGCGGATCTCCTTGCTTGTTGCTGTTTGGGCGACACCGAGTAACTGGCGATCCTTCAACCGAGAAGCCGACATGGGAAATGGTGGTTGTGGAAAAAGAAACAGAATGATTTCTGGTTTTTTAAAGTCCAGCAATTATAATTGCCTTTTGATGTGTTTCCCCAAAAGGCCTGGGAGTCGTCGTTGGTTTTCCCACCTCTTCTTATAATCTTTTGCCTTTGATTGATAAGCAGCACACCGTTTCCTTTTGTGGACAGCGGGCAAGATATGTCTAGTGAGAGCATATACACCTCTCCCGTCAAAACAATTCAATAGTCGGTAAATAGCTGTGAGTTCCTTTCATGTTTCAGGTTATGTATGGAAAGTCGTGTTCTTTGGAAACAATCACGCACATACAGTTTATACCGAACAACAAATAAAACATTGCTCGCGTCAATGCAATTAGTGTGTCTAGAGCCCCATTCAGTTACCAAGTAGAACACAGTTCTTTAGGTTCCTGCGTGTGTGTGTGTGTGTGTGTGTGTGTGTATCGATCGGTGTAATATGCAGCAGTCTCTTGAGGACAGCCAGCATATACACCTAAGAAATGGCCCGCTTTGTTATCTTGGGTTACACTTTACAAAAGTACTCCCACACGTAGAGAATTAGCACTCACGGTTCCTTTGTGAAACTTTGCCCATTTCACTGCTACGATGCCAATATCCTGATACGGAGATGACTTGACCCTTACGGTTCTGATCCTTTGATCCACTCATCATCATTCCATGTAACTCAGAATGTAAAGAGCCAGCCTCTTTAACCAAAATGACATACATACATGATGAACAATGGTAACAGATGGTGCTGCAATGTTTATCCTCCACTGCTTCATTATCTAATCTTCCAGATGACACATGAGTATCCTATTTGTTTCTTTGCGTCAATCTGTTTCCAAGTAGCTGGTAACAAACGTGATGATGAGCCCTGCTGGTATCATATGTGTATACATTACGTGCATATGTTTACAGTCATGCAAGCGTGCCTTACACATCCGTGACTTGGGCTTGTTCTATATATATATACACACACACACACACATATATATATATATATATATATATACGCGCTGCACCGACCCATCGACAACATGCACAGATTAACATGATATCTTGTTTTAAAAGAACAGACAACACATGAAGTTAAAGTCAGTAGAACGTTTGTCGGATTTGACACTTGGTGTGAATGACCCAAATCATATGAAAATCACCTACATCGCTTAGCTCACAACCTTACCCAGCGTCACGACCGCCTTTCTTGAGAAAAACTGGCTGAGAAAACAGGTGATTTGCCCTCTTCGCTTCAAAGCGTACGTGAAGTTTAAGCGGCCTTTGGCGTTTTCTGATGAGTAAGTTTATTACTGTTGTCGCTCATTTTATCGCGTGATGTTTTCATATACAAAAAACAATGCCGAAAGAACAGACCCTGTCTTATCAACACATAGACACATCGTGCTCTAATGGAACACGCTGGTTTTGGACCATGATACAGCGTTGTTATGCATGGCGCAACTTCCATGGGAACGAAGCATGAGTGCTTATGTTTTGGTTTTTTTTCGGTCCCCGTGTGAATTAATTCCGACTGCATAATAAAGAGAATCTGTCTGTCTTTTTTTTTGTTTACCCTCCTTTTCCCGTTTGTTATCACTTTTTTTTTCATCAACCGTTATGAGCACCGACTTTCGAGTAGAACGCGATACTTTTGGCGAGTTGCAAGTTCCTGCCGACCGTTATTGGGGTGCCCAAACGCAAAGGTAAAACAGAGGGACCGACCCTAAACCCGGCGTGACGTGTAGAGATCATCGCCAGCTTCTTCTCCTGATGATTGTTAAAAAAACAGATCTTTGCAAAACTTCAAGATCGGAGGAGTCCGCGAGCGTATGCCCCCGGCTCTGATCAAGAGCTTTGCCATCTTGAAAAAAGCAGCTGCGAAAGCAAATATGAGCTATGGTATTCTTGATCAAAAGATTGGTGATGCTATTGTCCAAGCGGCAGATGAGGTATGAACTTGGATAGGGAGGGGGGGGGCGTATATATGATTAGGTTGGGGCTTTTCTTTTTGACTGATCGGCGACCTGGGGTTTGTTTTGTTGGTGCAGGTAATTGCCGGTAAATTGTACGATCACTTTCCGCTAGTGATCTGGCAAACGGGTTCAGGCACACAAACACAGTAAGTAGCATGATCATCAAAAAGCGGGCTGGATATGACGACAGTATTCGCACGAAGAGCATGCAAGGAGTTCGAGAGAAATCATATATTAATCGCCATGCCGCAAACACAATCAAAAACAAAAAGCATGAACGTCAACGAAGTGCTGTCGAACCGGGCTATTGAGATTTTGGGTGGCGAGTTGGGTAGCAAAACGCCGGTCCATCCTAACGATCATGTCAACATGGGCCAGTCATCCAACGACTCGTTCCCTACAGCCATGCATATTGCAGCTGTGGTCGAAATAAGCGAACAGCTTGTTCCAGCTTTAGCCGAGCTACGTGACGCAATTGCAGCCAAGTCTGAGGAGTTCAAGGATATCATCAAGGTGTGTGTGTGTGTGTGTTGGTCTTTATAAAGGGCGATGACGATGATGGGATGTGTTTATCTGCTGTATGCTGATCATTCTCTTGCCTGTAACCACATGGTCATTACACTACATCCTGCATTTAGATTGGCCGCACCCATTTACAAGATGCCACTCCTTTGACTTTGGGTCAAGAATTCTCAGGATATGTCCAGCAGCTCACGTATGGTATCGAGCGTGTGCAAGGAACCATCCCACGTCTTTCTCGTTTGGCCCAGGGCGGTACAGCAGTTGGCACTGGATTGAATAGCCGTGAGGGCTTTGATGTCAAAATTGCAGAGATTGTCTCCGAAGTCACTGGCGAGCACTTTGAAACTGCCCCCAACAAGGTGAGTGTTCCTTTTTCAAAAAAAAAAAAACCACACAAAGTGGATGTGTGCCGCATGCACATACATGTATCTCACCGTTGTTTCTCAGTTTGAAGCACTGGCATCCAATGACGCCGTTGTCGAATGCTCTGGTGCGCTCAACACGATAGCAGTTTCGCTCATGAAGATTGCAAACGATATCCGCTACCTTGGATCAGGTCCTCGTTGTGGTTTGGGAGAACTGAGCTTGCCCGAGAACGAACCCGGGTCTAGCATCATGCCAGGCAAGGTCAACCCTACACAATGCGAGGCCATGACTATGGTGTGTGCCCAGGTGATGGGGTAAGTCATTCTTCCGTTTCGAAAAGCAATACATAGTTTATTCACATTCAAAACTTTGTTCGTTCGATAGCAATGCTACGACTATCAGTGTCGCTGGAAGTTATGGTCAATTCGAGGTAAAGTTATTGCCTACAAGAGTATCATGATCGCTGTGACGGATTCGAAGCGCTGAACTTGGTTCTATGTATCTTTCTTAATAGCTTAATGTCTTCAAGCCTGTTATGATTGCCAACCTTTTGCAGTCTATTACTTTGATTGCGGATGCTTGCAGATCGTTCACTCAAAACTGCGTTGTTGGCATTGTTGCAAACCGTGAACAAATCAACAAAATCATGAATGAGTCACTCATGTTGGTCACTGGTGAGCTTTTACCCCACTTTTTCTTTCTGTGAAGAATACATTGCTAAAGTTGAATTTTCTGTGCTTGTTCATAGCCCTCAACCCATACATTGGATATGATAAAGCCGCTGCCTGTGCCAAAAAGGCTCACAAGGAAGGGACTACGTTAAAGGAAGCTGCTATCAGCCTTGGTGCTTTGAACGAGGAGCAGTTTAACGAATGGGTTCGTCCAGAAGAAATGATCGGCCCCAAGAAATAATGTATATAGACACTGTTGATTGAAATATATGAAGGTTACGACATGAATAGTGTGCTCCCTATTCGATTATTAAAAGTCCTGTTCTCATACCCCATACCTCTTGGTATATCGATCACTTGTGGGTAGCGAGCTAGTAGTCGTTTTTTTGATGCAATGTGAGCATGTAACATCAACATCACATGTGTCACCCAAAGCAGTAGTAGTAATAAGAGGGGTTTGGTTTTAATTTTGAAGCTTTAGCAGATCCAGCACCACTCGTGGTCCTGTGTCTCAGCTTTTTACTTTTCGGCCAATAATCGACGATAGTGTGTTCCTTTCAACTCGTCGCGACACTGTCTTTTGCACCATGTACCAAAACAATCCAAATGCCTACAACAACTATTATAATCCTCACGGATCGCCACCCGTGAACACGCAGACACCGCCTCCACTTCAGCATCCCATCCCACAACATCCCATTCCAAACTTCAATCAGGCTGTTCATCAAACATCCGCGTCGCCGGGCCTCCATCAGCAGCAACACCCGCAACAGCAACAACAACAACAACAACAGCAGAATTTCCAGTATCGTCAAGGTCCACAGCAACCAACACCACAACAGCAAGGTCCTTATACGCCAAACATGGGTGGACCACCTCCTACCGGCGACATGTACACCCAATTCGGTTTTAACGAACCAGCTACACAATTAGGTATGCAGTTTGCCGGAAACGCGGTCGCTCAAGGAACTGCTTATATGGAACGCAACGTAAGTGGGGGGGGGAAATAACAAGTTGCGAGATCAATAGTATCCAGCGCAAGTGATTATATGCTCTTTATAAAGAAATGGAAACTGACGGGTATGTCTGATACGTCTGTATTTGCTAGTTCAACCGATGGGTGGATATGCCTGCTTTGCGACACTATTTCAACGTGAGCAATATCTATGTCGTTAATAAACTGAGACTGATACTCTTCCCTTGGCGACACTCGGTAAGCTTAAACATAGAGGCTCTATAATATGAAAGCGTATTGATAGAGCGGTATGTAATGTTTTTTTTTGTATGTGAAGCCATGGGGCCGTTCAATAAAGCGGACAGAAACTGGTCAAATGGACGGATTCAGACCTCCACGCGAAGATATCAATTCGCCTGATCTATATATACCAGGTACATTCGGTTGACATGATTGCTTAAAAGTGCTACATGTGTATGCTGACAGATAAACGTGCTTTTCTCTAGTGATGGCTATGGTGACGTATATTTTACTCTGTGGACTTGCCGCTGGCCAGCAGGGATCGTAAGTGTGTGATAGTGTTTCAGGAATCATCTTTTTTCCCCAATTGAACTGACAGACAGAAAAAAAATGTGACATCGCTGTAGTTTCCACCCCGAGCAATTATACGTAGCAGGATGGTGCTCATTTGCGTTCTTATTCTTTGAACTTATCGGTATGCGCCTGACATGCTACTTTTTGAATATACCCTTCGAAGCATCCATGCTTGATCTGGTTTCATATTCGGGCTATAAATACGTCTGCATCATTGTTACGGATGTGATCAAGCTCCTGGGTGCTGGAAAATGGCTTTCCACGGCCGTCTTTCTATACACCGCCTTAAGTGTTGGATTCTTCTTGGTAAGTTATGCCCTGCCTATCTATGTGTGTGTAGGGTGTTGCGCGTATATTTGGCGAAATTATACTCATCTTTCCTTATATACAGCTCCGATCTATGCGCTATGTCATTTTGCCGGATGCTTCTGCTGGACCCTCCACATTCAATCCCCAACGTAAACGGCGTATGTGGTTCCTGCTAACTATCGCAGGTCTACAAATGGTGTTTATGTTTTTCCTTGTGAATTGAGAAATCTTACATATTTATTTTACACATAATAAAGAACATAAGCGTCAGCAGGTATATATCATCAGTAGTCTTCTTCAGGATCTTCTGGTTGTGGTGGCATGAAAGGAGTATCTTTGGGCACACATTGATAAAATATTTTGGTTGCCTCGACCACAGCTTGTTCAAAGCTGGTGGAGCCAGTGGGATCGCTGCACGGGATAACATTTTTGGGTAGTTGCCACGAATCTGCCAAGGACACTTGTCGGCAGCGTTGCTCGTACAAAAGTGAAAACTTGACATGTCCATCTAAAACGCAGCACGCGGGGTATGTGAGAAGATAGAAAATGGCCCGAATGTAGTGGTCAAATACGAAGACGCGTGCTTATGTCTGCTCGAAAATTACCTTCAGGCAAAAGCAAATCAATGGCCTTGTGCAGTTCATCGCGGTCTCCCTCACTTGACTCTTTCCACAAATATGTCACGTCTATTAAACAGGGAATAAGTTGAGTATCCTCGTATGATGGAGAAAAAGATAACTTACATTCATTGCGTGGACACGCCATTGTTTCATGGTTCTGGTGTAAAACGAAAATCGGTTGGTCTTTATTTCCTGCAGAACTACCTGGTGGCAACACGCTATAACATAACATGTCATCCGTTTCCCCAAACGACACTAAGGGCTTATCAGTTACAACAATGGATCGTGATATCCATTTTCTTGTAAAAATATCACCGTGTTAGTTAATTAAATAAGTGAGTAAAATATATACACGTCAGCAATAAACTTACTCATAATCGTTTGAGGATGGTATCCAACGTTCATCCAAATAATCAATGCCAGCAACAACCCAGGTGGCGTTGAATTTCTGTCCATCTTTAGTCTCTATGCCCTTGCATTCACCGGTGTTTTCGTCAATCAGAAACCGGGTCAGCTGTTGGCTAAGGATGTAAACGCCACCATATACTGCGCAGACACTTTATATTGTCATGTTAGAAAGGTTATCATCAGGAAAGAGTGAATTTGGATACCAAGAACAACTTACCGACAAAATGCTTGAGCAATTTCACTACCACCACCGTATAAAGTGCAAAGGAATGCACCTTTGTTGAACCGGCCCATCGACCGTACAAATGCCTGTGTTCGTTCCAACCCAACCTTTGTTGCAGCTAAAAAAAAAATGATGTGTGTGTTATATCCTCTCTATTCCTGTGCCATTATAACACTCACATACTTACTCTGATCATCCACTCCTGCAATAGCATAGATGATGGCGGTTTGTAATTTTCTCGAAATCTTGAACTTTTCATCCAAGAATTGTGAATATGGCATATCCTCGTTTCCTAGAAAAGCACATCATTACTTTGGGTTTACCACTTGTTTTTTCGTGATTTATGTCTTAAGAGAATAGCTTCTTACCTTGTAGTACCTCAGGATTAGTATCAAAGTCGATAGCAAACGTCAAAAAGCGCATTAATTTGCGCTTATCGATCAAGGGAATCCCCTTGTTCGTAAATACATCCTGCTTCGAGCTCGGTACCTAACAGACAAAGCAAAAGAGCCCCCCTCACCCCTTATCAATATCGGACGTCCTTTAATCCAGGTACATTTTAGAACCCACTTACTCGATCGAGTCGCCCTTGCTCGTTATCGAAAATACCAATGTCATCGACCCCCTTGAATTCCAGATATCGGCCAACTCCACTTTGGATAAGTATTTCCACGAGCTCACCATTACATGACAACAATTTGGGGGTCAAATCCAAATTGTAGGCCCTTGATGCACGCATTGCACTCAAGAGGAAATTTAATCGAGATACGCTTGGCTGCAGATCGATCGTCGTAGTATCTTGGTGTTTGCTCACTATATCCTTGACCTCTTGATTGATCGTTTCTTCGATAAGCACCTTATCGGCCGAGGGCTCAACCGAGAGGAGTGATTTGATCTTGTTGCGGACTGCGCTTTCCAAAGATTCGTCTGTGTCAGCGTCGAGTTCAACAGGTATAGATCCCGTCGACGGTTGCTCGTGTACGTTGAACGCGACCTTTCGATAGTTGTTTTTGTAGTTTTCCTGGTAGCTTATTTCGGATTCTGTAGATATCGTTAGTTTTTAGCAATGAGATAGAGTGAACTAAAAAATAGGGATTGACAAGGGCTTATATAACTCGTACCGTTGTTCTCGGAAGAATTGCGCTCTGGCATAAAAAAAACGCGGTGGTCAGTACCTGTAACCTTTTTCTTTAATAATAAAAGCTGTTCCAACCTTGTTCTATGCGTTGCTTCCAACGTAACATTTCTTTAAAACCAAAAACACTCCAATTACTGCCATAGTGGTCATTACTGTCGACATGGAGGACTTTCTTTCCTGCACGGGCAAGCGAACTTTTTTTTTCTTAGCTGTTGATTAGTAATTGTGTGGACCCTTTTCTTTTATATTGTGCGCTTGTATTGGTTGATAAAATACGAGAACAAAGCTCTCACCCCGCTACAATGGATTCGATCAAACCAGTGCCGAGCACAATGGCGTCGAAATCAGTTTCGTCGAGTAGTTGAGGGTTTTCTTTTGACATTGACAAGGAAAAGTACACGTCCCAGGTTAGGTTTAGGCGGAAACAAAAAAGGATTATTAAAAGGGGAAACGTGGACTTTGGAATATATAGTTCGTTTCCTTGACAACAACGAAAGCTCACCATATCGAACCTCTCCCGTTGTTGCCTCTCGAGACTCATTACTTTAAACATTTGAATAACATTGGCCGGTGCTTGCCAGTTTGAATCAGTTGGCAAAAATTCTGGATGGCTCTGCCGCCAACAAATAAGCAGAATATCGCCCCTAACTTCATCCGTACAAATCATTCACTATGAGACGATGCCGTGAAAAAGTGGATTAAAAACATGTTTTCAAGGTTATCCATATCGACAAGATTACTCATCAGCAGTTCAGAAGGCAAAAAGACACAATAGTTTATTCGTACATCGACATACACTGTTTTTTTTTCAATCATAGCTGTTTCTCATAATGATAATGCAATTTAAATATTTTTGCCAAACTATCAAGTGTTTCCGCCTATTCTTGACTTACCATGATGCCTCTTATCGTTGGTCAAGATAAATTGTCACCCGACATGCTGTCGCCACAAACTTTTGTATTTCCTTTCTATGGCAACGCGTAACACAGCCAAGGATCATCTGTCAACACTCCCTAGCGATATACAACACATAGTTTTCAGTCATTTGACTTTTAAGGAACGATGGCATTATGCCTCTGTATGCAACGATTGGCGCTCTGCGATTTTGGAATGGCAGGGCATGTGGGAAAGTTTGTCAATGGACGATGGGCACAACATCGTACCTGACCTCCTCCCGTATCGATCGTGCATCCGTGGATCTGTTGTAAAACAAATACGCGTGCAAGCCAGCTATGACAGAGATCATTCGACAGCTGTAATTAATTTCTTAACCGATCTGAAATGCGACGCGATTGAAGAAGGTACGTATAACAACATAACGGTTGCTACATAATAACACTAAAAACTTTTGACAAAGTTAAAATATGCTCCAGCCTTGTAAAACAGTCAGATTTCCTAAAGTTAATTGGTATATGTGGCAGCACACTTACCCGCGTTTCTATCGCACACGACGAAGAGGACCAGACCAATACTACCCCTGACATGATACTGTGTTATTGCCCGAACCTTCGCCATCTGTCCTACTATGGTTTCGTATATGGCGGTGAACAAAATAAACCACAGTTGGCGCCATCGTTCAAACACCAGCATCTCGTGGACTTGAGTTTAGAGTTTTGTAACATTGATAAGGAAGGCAGCTTTGATCCGTTACCGTTCCTGAGAACAGCAACAAATCTCCAGCGACTCTCCTTGTGCCTGTGTAATATCGTAGCAACTGGCCATTCGCTTCCGTCGCTTTTACGTGAGCATTGTCCAAAACTTGTATCTCTTTTCCTCGCCGGTTATGAGGATGGTGGAACACTCGACCAGGCAGCATACGACCAGTGCGAATGGAAGTCGAAAACAGTGAAAAACCTCTCAACTACCAAACCTATATCTTCTTCTTTGGAGCGACTTGCTTTGCACGATTCGCAAGATTTCTATAATGGATCGCAAGACCTTCTTTGTGCGATTGCAAGAGATTACCGAGAAAGCTTAAAGTTTTTAGATCTTAAAGGAGCCACACTCACATCTGAAAGTGTTTTCGGACGATTATCAGTACTCGTTTTCCCTTCCCTTGAACGCCTCGATCTCAGCCATATCGACAACGAACCAAACCTTACGCATCTTTGTCTTCATGATAAACACGATTGCATTGACGATACAGTATTGGAAGCCATTGGTATTGGCGCCAAATCTTTGGAAACACTAGAGCTCAACTCCTGTGTAAGCATCACTGCTGATGCGCTAGCAAAGCTCTTGACGGTGTTATTAGCGACAACAAATCAGCAGACGGCACCACTACTACGTTCAATAAAGTTCAACCAGGCCCCAGCAGCTGTGACACCTCAAGTCTTGGACGTGATCGCTGAAAAGTCGATGAACTCGAATTCGACACATGCATCGATGCCGGTCGTCTTAAAAGGAAACGGCGGTATAATGGATCCGTTTCAGATTTGCAGCTGAAATAGATCATTCAGACAAAAGCGATACTGCTCTGGAACAGATTTTGGAAAAACTTGACCAAAAAGCCAAACCATGGTCTGTATTTTTGCTCTCACACCCTTTTAAATTCATCACACATACCATTATCAGAAAACTTCAATGCAAATGATATATGTATAGTAGCGGTAGCGTCAATATCTCCCTCTTTCTCTCCTTGTATCCCTTTCGCTCCTTTTGGATCTTCGCTTGAATTCTCGTTGGGACAGTTTCCTTTAAATACATAAGGTGCATAAGATTTCTGTTTTTAAGAGACTAATGTGATCATGAAGGCGTCGCATATACCAAACAGTTGTAATTTTAGGGCATTGGTTACTATACACCCCTTAGAGTATACGTAGCCTGTAATGAATCTTGGAGACTGACGTGTGGAAACCATTAAAGTTTTTATTATATGCTGAACACGTGTGTGTAATAAATGTAAGTCTTCTATCATCTTTAAATAACGCGGTAGCACGAACGAACATACTAGCCGCATGATATAAGATCAATGGTATTAACCACGAACTTGAGCTGTGCCTCCGTCGTCACCCCCCACAAGATAGAATGCGCCCGGTGTCTCATATTATCAGTATCGTCAACGGTGACCAATTTGTTGCCGTCCACACGCACAAAAATGCACAGAATATAGTGTGGTCGTCAGTCGATGAAATACACTCAGTGAATCTGATTTTTTGGGCTATGTCTTTTGCGGATCCTCACTTTTTTTTTTCTTAGAAAAAAAGAGCCATTTTACATTTCAAAATAGCAACATTCTGTACCTGATAACTGAATACGTATCCGATGTGTGGGCTGGCTACCTAGAGTACTATAATATTAGATAGATCCTGGGACGAGAGAGCTAAACAACCAAACAAGACGCGAACAGCATCTTGCGTGTCATATTTATTCTCTTTCTTCCTCTATTATCATATACAACTATTCACTTTTTGCAGTAAAGCATTGGAAAAACCGGATCTGGCTCTATAAAGATAGTTGTGTGGTTTGGGTATACCCACACGGTATCTGTGAATCGGATTGAAGGCATCTGTCCATCTCGAAAAAAAGATATACGTTGTTATAAAATTACCATTAGCGTCACTAAAGTTTATTGGATACATAACATATCATTGCAGCCTACCACTTATTGATGCTCATGGAAACAATCTTGAGTTTCTTTTTGACCAAATTATGTGTAGTGCCAAATTTATTCATATACTATAGATAGGGACATGTTGTTTTTGACAAAAATAAAAGGCTTTTGATACGGACACCCCCCTCTGATCCTTACGGACACCCCCTTCTATTTTTAATCCTCATCAGGTTACACACATCCTATAAATATATACTTGTGGGGGTGTCCGCAAGGATGTGTTCACTGGATTTGTTCACTTGTTATTGTTATTATACATCTTTCGATATATAACAAAAAGGAACCATAAAAAGTACATGAAAAACATTCCTTAATGCTTTTCAAACTCTCTAGGGTGTCTCTACGGATGTGTTTATGAGCAGTAGTTTATACAAGTATACAAATGCTCCTCAATAAACAGTATACTTTGATATTATATCTTCAACTTTCTACCTACGTTTATCATCCTACTATCCCAACACTATGAAGCAATTGATTGACACTACTTATACCGGATCAAATAAGCAAATTGTGAAAGCAATCAACGAGCAAGCCAGAGAATACAACTTTGCGGTTTCAACTAAACGAAGTGAGAAGAACGTAAAAATCGTGATCCAGTGCGTACATGGTGGAAGCTATCGCAATACACATGGAGTAACTGAAGAAACGCGGGGACGCCAAACAGCGACGAAAACGACCGGCTGCCAATGGACCATGAACCTAAGGTGGTCCGAGAAGGATAAGCACTGGAAAGTAACGAAGGTCAGCAACGACAATGAGCACAACCACTCCCTCGACAAGCCTCCTCAGTATTACCACCAACACCGCACGCCAACTCTCCACGCCGAGCAGCAAATATTATCATTGACAGATAATTCCGTCAGGCCCCTCATGATACATCGAGAAGTCCAGAACCACGAAGACGGCGCAATTATGACCATGAGGGATCTATACAGTTTTCGTGCGCAAATATTCCGTGAGGATAATCATGGCGGCTTCAGTAGGATATTCGAGTTCCTCATTGGTAACAACTATATCACTAGATATAAGCTAGACGGCACAGGTAAAAGTCTCGACACCCTCTTTTTCACCCATGAAACGAGTATAGCAAAAGCACGACGATTCAACGAGATCATTGCTATCGATGCGACGTACAAAACGAGCAGAACCAAGATGCCTCTTGTCAATGTTGTTGGTGTCAGTCATCTCGGTGCATCAAAGCTCAAGAACGTGCTTATTGCCTCTGCTTTCTTGGTAAACGAGAAAGAAGAGTCGTACACCTGGATCCTTCGGACTATGCGACAAGTCATATGGCCAGAAGGAAACGTACGCATCTTCATTACGGACAACGAAAGAGCTTTAATCAACGCCATCGAGTCAACTTTCAAAGAAGAAGAGTATATACTTTGCGGGTGGCATATGGAGCAGCATTTACGTAGCATTTTCAGTACTTGCTTTCCACCGAACAGCGAAGAGATAGGCGAAGCCAAAGCTATCATTAAGCAAATGGTTTATGTTGGTAAAAAAGACGAAGCGACTTTCCAGGCTGCCATTGACGCTTATAAGTGTCTGATCGAAAAAGGTGCTCTTGCGTATACCAACGAAAACCATAAGCGATCCAACAAAAAGCACAAGAAAACAAAGTCCAAAGCGAAGCATCATGACGACAGCAGCAATAGCGAGAACGACAGAGATACTGAAGATGATGCAACGTCTGCAATACGTTTGCTGGCAAACAAAAAGAAAGAGAAAATGATGGACTATCTCAACGGGTATGTTAACTACCTTTATCCAATATTTGACTGAGGCTTTTGCCGAGTTGTGCTCACCAGCTGTATTATATTATATTATATAGCTGTCTTGAATATAAGGAGAAATGGGGTGCTTGTTATGCCGGAAGACTTTTAAACATGGGAATGAGGGCATCATCGCGTGTTGAAGGAACACACTGGCGCATCAAAGATACAATGCAAACCACCGGAAGCTTGTTTAAAACGGTCAAAGCAATTGATCGTGTCATGCGTAAATCGGTATGTACTACACCCTTTGTTTTCGAATTGAAAAGTTAATGTGTTAACAGATATGCTAATCAGAATTTTGTACTAGTTGGCTGATGAAGAGACTCAGTTTTTGCAAGAAAGACATAAAATGCCACTGTATGGAAAGCATGAATCGGCTGCGATGCAAGAGCTCTTTGGCACTATTTCGTTTTTTGCTTTGAATCGACTCCGAAGGGAGCTCAAACGAGCTTGGGATAACTGCGATAAATATCAACTTGACTCAAGCGAGTGCTGGTGTGGTACCACGCTAAACTATGGACTGCCGTGTCAACATAATATCGCACGAAAAGGGTTCAGTATAAGCTTGTTGGATATCCCTGATCGATGGCGTTTGGAATATGACAGAGGTATAATTTTCTGCTATAGTAATACTGTGATTATACTATGCGCCTGTAATATACTTCATATCCTAATATGAGAGTTATTTATCCACAGATAGCTTCCAAAAGGTGTATACTCCTGAAGCAATTGTATTAGAGCAACAGAACATGGTACTACAGAAGCTGCATGATGTACTCTACAATATGCGGTCGGATCAGCAAAAATCCGATTTACTTAGTAGTATCGATGGGACTATCGACGAATATACAATGAGTATCGACATTAGCGACATCGAATTACCAAGCAATGTGAAGACGAAAGGACGCCCAGCTAACATAAGAAATGCACGATTACCGTCAAAGTTCGAACTCGATGAAAAGGATAGCCAGCAACGCTTTCAAAATAGAAATGCCAACGAGTCAGAGGAACTCTCCGAAGGCAGCAACACTGAGGATGATAACATCTACATTTTTCCTCAACAAGGGAAAAGAAAGGATCCGGAGATGAACTTCCTTGAAAGCACGAACAAAAGGTACGTGCTCTTCTGATGGAATTCTAGCTAACAAATACTTGCAGCTATCACGATTTTTTGTAACCAAACTAAGTTGATAAACTATTGTAGATCCAAAAAAGATTTTGTACCCAAGCTGAAGTTCTTCGTTCATCCAACCATCCCTCGCAAGTTCATTGAAACAACTGTCGACATTATGTCTGATGGCTTCTGTGGCTTCCGCACAATCGCACATCATGTACACGGCAATCAAGAGGCTTTTATGTTGGTCAAGCTACAAATGCTGGAGTGCTTCAAGATAAACAAGGATATATATCAGCAGCACTATGTATTTATGCGTGAAAATTTACAGCGTATTGAAACATCACTATCTTACGCACTTGATGCTCCACGACCCCCAGAATCGTGCCCATCGGATTATTGGTTCCTTGCGCCTGACTTTGCACAGATCGCTGCAGACACTTATCAACGACCTCTTGCAATTTATCCAGACAATGATAAGAAAAAGCCAGACTCTGACGAATACGCTTATGAGCCATCTCTAATTTTGCCAATGCAAGGTCCATCGTCCGACAACAAGAATCCTCTCCCCATCATTATGCAGCATCTCAATAACAATCATTGGGCTACCATCGATACAAAAGGACGCATTATCAAGATGGACTGGCCGATTATCAACTCGATGTGTATAAAGGCATACCGATCAATGGGTAATATTGATAACCTGCGTAAAACAATAAGTGGCGTTATCTGCAGATAAAAAAGCGTGACGACGAAAAGACAGTGCGTGCTGGACCCTTTGCACTAGATTAATCACTCTACTACTTCCTGTACAGTAATTCCCTCTCTTCTCGAACACCACTCTCTACATTTCATTGTTATTTGATATATTCTGGCATATGTTAAACAGCGATGTTGATAATATTTACTCAATACCTTAAAGGAACATTATATTTTACATCACTTTGATTTATGGCTCTCCCGTTATATGGTATAGCAAATAACAGAGCACACCACTTAGGTATACTCATAACCTTACGGTCACCCCCACAAGTATATATTTATAGGATGTGTGTAACCTGATGAGGATTAAAAATAGAAGGGGGTGTCCGTAAGGATCAGAGGGGGGTGTCCGTATCAAAAGCCAAAATAAAAACATATGCCTACATGGTCGTATTGAATACAATCTACTTTTTCCGCAAAAGATAGACCTCGACTTTTTGCGTATGCAATTACAACTTGCTTTCTTTTAATGCTGAGATAAAGACGAATCTTAGCAGCGTCACGATGTGTCCATTAATTATAAGATATCATAGAGAATTGCTGCTGCCACGGTATATACTTTTGTTACGTATTAATAAAAGTTTGGGAAATTGAACTATGTCCAACCGTTACTCAAATCAGCTTACTTGCAGCCACTTTTTTTTCTTTCAAACAGCTTATTTTTTGAATAAAGGAACCGCCATGGTAATAAACGATGGATACTGTTCCCATAGCAAACTTTCTGACAGGAAGGGGCAGATTACGAAAAAAAGTTATAGAGCGAGCGGGCTCCCAATTTCTGGGCTTAAAGGCCAGCTGGGCTACGCGACTTCGCCTCTTTTCTTCTTTACCAAAGCCTTATCGTTTCTTCTGACATCTCAAAATCATGCTCTTGCTTGAAATTGTCTCCGTCTTCCTCTGCGTACTCATGATCCCCATCATGCTGTTACTGCTCTTGGCTAAGTATATTGCCATACTGGTTATACTCATGCTTTTTGCTGTCTTTGCAAAAGCGTTTTATGATTCGTTGCCATCACCACCGTCGTGGTTGACCAAGTCGTTGTTGTTTGTTTTGCGGCCATTGGTGCATTTATTGACCAAGTTGCTGTCGTTCGTCCTGCGGTCATTGGTGCATTCGTTGACCAATGCTTTGTCCAGTTTCCTGCCGACTAGTCCCTTTACGGACCTTGAAGAAGTAGTTGCTCAAGAGCCTGCTGTGCTCCAAAGCTCTGTTCGTGGAATGGAGAGACCAGTGCCTGCAGTTGCGCATTCGTTTGGAATGTCTTCTGTGGACACCGTGACTCCCCGCATTGCGACTGTGCATGGCGGTAGCTCGTCGTGCACGACTGCAAGTGACCCGAACGATCCTTTCTCTCCGCGCAACCTGCAACTCTATCAGCAGCAATGGCTGGAGCGCCTTCGCGAGGAGCGTGCTTACCGGCAAAAGCGTGCAGAAGAGTACAATTTGCTTGTTGCGGTTGAGGTTGCCCAGGGTGAAGAAACGGGTGATGCCTGCCCTGAGCTGGACACAGCAACTCCAGTAGATAGTGGAAGTCCTGCAGTGCAAGTTGTGCAGCTTGACGCGTTGTGTGCTTCGCGGCCCTCGAGCCCAGTAGCCGACCGTCATGTCTTGCCTTCTTCGCCAAAAGCGGTTGATATGTCCTTGTCTGCTGTGTCGGCGGAAGCGAGCTCCTCCTTTCCTGACTTTGACGATTCGCTCTCTTCAGCAGTTGTTGACGAGGCTCCCTTTATTGACGAGGATGTGGAGATGTTGCCTCCCGAGGCTTCATTCGAACCCTCCGAGCCTCAGGTATTTGAGTATCTGTCGACTCTGCCAGCAGTGGGTGATTCCGCAGCTGTGGTTCCTTCGGAGGTTGATCATGTCGAAGAGCCAGCGTGCTACCAAGATGCCGCTGTGCTGGCCTTTGTGCCTTTCGTTCCCGTTGCGCGCTCTGTTTGCGGCAACCCTCGTCACCGCCATCACCACCTTCGCCAACCTCCTATTCCGCCGTCGTTCCTTGCTCCTCGGCGCCACCCTCGCCATCGCACCCGTCACCGCAGCTTGTCCGTCGATGTGGAAATGCTGTCGCCTGTCTCCTCTCCCGCTTTGTCTGCTGTCGTCGTCGTCTCTTCTGCTCCGTCCCCTGACGTGGAAATGCTGTCGCCTGTCTTCTCTCCCGCTTTGTCTCCTGTCGCCGTCGTCTCTTCTGCTCCGTCCGCTGCCAGCAACAACAACAACAACAACAACAACATCACCACCGCCACCGCTACTGTCCCGGCTACAATGCCATTCACCTTTTCTTTCGCACCACCAACTCCGTTCGTTTTCTTGCTTCCGCCTCCTGTCACCACCACCACCGCCACAGTTTCATCCGCGTCCTTCGACTTCACTTTTGCTCCGCCTGCTCCTCCACCTCTAATGCCGCCAATTTCGTCTTCCGCTGCGCCTGTTGCTCGCGACAACATTGCTTCGTCTTCTTTCTCGCCTCCTGCCGCCACTACCACTTCCGCACCACCACCACCACAGACCGACGCAGAGGAACTCATAGAGTTGTTGGTGGTTGACATCGCAAACACCTCCAAGTACGACGCGCAGTTGCTGGAGATCCTTGCGCTGGAGGATTCTCAAGAGGTGTTAAGCCAGCTGTTCGCGCTTGTCCATCAGGACAGCGATCTTCGCGGCTTGTACGAGGGTAAGTAACAGCAAAAATGTCAATTTTTTCCTGTCTGAAATGGGTTACGTGCTATAAGTTAGATACTAATAGAAATGCTTCTTTAAACAGGCGTTTAAGCCCATTCCGTTCCTTGTTGTCCTCTCCCCTGGTGTTGTCGTCTTCTTTTTTTCCGCGTCTGTGCCGTCATTCTCCTGTCATCCCGCCATTTATGCCCGTCTATGCCTCCTATGCCCGTCTATGCCGTCTATGCCATCTATGCCTTCTGTTCTACCATGTCGTCGTTTGCTGTTCTGTTTCGTGCTGCGTAGTGACCTTGTTCGGTCATCGTTTCTTTTTCTGCCTGGTGGGTTTGGGCTCATGGTTGTCGGGCGATCGTTTCTTTGTGTGTGCCTGTCGTTTTGGGCGCGTCCTAGGGCTCTTGGTGAAGGTAACGTATCATGTATTTGTGGAAGCTTCCTAGTTTGGATGAAATGCTCATGATTAAATTTCATATCCAGTAGAGCGTATGTCTGGTTCTCGGCTTTGGTGGTCGTCTCGGCCACGGTGCTTTGGTGTGTCTGGCGGTCGCCGCCTTCGTCAGGCGATGGGGTGCGGCCCAGACATCTCAGTGGATGGTTTCTTGAGGTAAAGGCGGTTGGGGTTGGCATTGGCGCCGACACTGGCTGCAGCCACCGGGGGTGAAGGGGTTGGAGGGGGCACATGGGGACAACTCCGGTTGAGCCGGTGGTGGGGAGGTGAGCAACGCTTTGGTTGTGTAGGCAGCAGGAATCCACCATCGAGACACATGTACAGCGGCGGTTCTTGACAGCAAATGACAACCCAAGGTGTCATGCTTGTATGATTACGGTACGTACTATGCTTACGGCCATTTTTATAAGAAGAGGCTTACTAACTGATATACCCTCTTTCCTTTCCTTCTTCCCTTCTTCTTATCGCATTCAACACGGATGTGGTGTGAAGAAGGCGAAGAGGGGCCCAATATTAGGAATTTATTCCTCTCCCAAGGTTGTCATCCCAGTCAGTTCCAGCTCATGAAGATGGTGTTCCTGCGTAAGCCCTGGCAACCAGGGCAATGTTGCTCACCCAATCCCTGCCACCGAAGGCTCAACCGGAGTTGTCCTCGCCCTTTCCATATCCTGGATCCTCCACCGGCTGTAGTCAGTGTCACAGCCATGTTAGTCCAGCCTCAGCCTCCACCTTTGCCTCCGGATTCCGTGAAGCTGGGGTGTCCGGGTTGGGGTGTTCGGCCAGCGGTGTGGGTGGTACGCCGCGATGGAGAGCGTCAGCTTTCCAGGCTAGCCGAGTAAAAATTCGGGGTGTTGTGCGAATCCCGTCTTTGGCTTGATCACGTCGTCTCGTGTGGTCTTGGTGGATGATTCATGATGGTTATGCTGCTACAGGTGGCGTCATATTTCCACGCTAGCCGAGTAAAAAACTCCGGGACTTGCGAGAATCCCGTCTTTGGCTTGATCAGTCTCTTGACAACAGACTATCACGGTAATGGCGACGACAAACGGGCGCTCTTCCAAATTGGCTTACAAACAAGAACACGCGATACTCAATGAAACATGGATTGAGAAATTCCAGGTAAAGCAGCAAATTTATTGTCTGTTGGCGGCGCTATGGCGGCAAACTGATGCGGATATCTGTATTACTCAAACAGATCACGAAGATTACAGCATATGCATACAACAAGTGCATAGACGAAGCAGCTGCAAGGCCTAGCGAACAGGCTACTTTGGCATGACTCATTCGAGGTGAACATTATATCGGTGGCAAACACAGGCGACATGACCTTTTCGCGGATTATTTATATGCGGCATAAATCTCAAGCTTTTCAAGGACTTGTGCGAGACAACCTTAACCCAACAAATAAGCAATGTCAGCAATGTCAATTTCCGATATGATGGCAACAAAGCTGGGCACACCACAACTATTGGACCATATCAGCATCAAATCAATGAGATGGCAAAAAAAAACTGGATCTACTGTCTGCTCATGGCAACAAAGCAACAGGGGCTTGCCGCAACAACAACAACGCTCAATCAACAAAGGTGGTAACTTCAAATGGTGGCAATGGAGTACAAAAGGGCACATCATGGACGTTTGGCGACAGCACACATGACGGTTTGTCCGACGAATCAACATCATTCAACAAGACGACTACTTCTACGTATCGCTGCTTCTGGGGACAAAAAAAACCCAAAGAATCAAGGGAACAGTTTTCAATCAACGAAGGGAGCTGATTTATTATCTCCATGTACGACATGAACGTGATAATAATCAAACACAAGCGCAAGAGCGGCAAGAAACTAGGACGACATACAGCTCATTTGACAACATTTGCAGCGTTCATGATACGGGGCAGCACATTCGACTGGTTGAGTACATGAAATACGCAAATCGCCACTACGGTAACCCCGTCCTATCCGTTATTACGTTGCGGTGACAAGAAACTAAGCGACAATTTCAGCCCACAATCAATCATCAACTATTTTATTGTGATGGCAAAAAAAAAACAAGTGGCAACAAGATGCAATGGGCAACAAATTTCAGATCGCACACATGGACGAAATCGGCCCGCAGCAACTACGAGCGACAACAGGGCGCGATTGACACAAAAATGCGGGCTTGGCAACAACATAACAAGGGGCAGCAAAAACAAACCTTGACGACGTCTCGCAGATACTACAAATCCAATTTCGCATACATTCATTTGTCTGGGGCATATTCACCTTCACGCGTAGGCATAAGGCGAAATCATGGAGCGATGGCCTCTTAAGTGACTAAAGATGCGAGAGCAATGAACTATTGAAGGAGGCAGTTCCGAAAATGCAGCAAGCACACCTGGCTATTCGATTGGACAATGTTAAATTAGCAAGGCGACGGTACCCATATCAATCTCTTCTTCTTGGGACAGCAAAGGTGTGACGCGACAACTTTCAACTCAAAATGGAGCGTCATTCCAATGGCGGCAAGAACCATCAAGGACGACAAGTTCAACTGCTCAAACGAAACTGAACGAATGCTCTTGGTGCTGAGGCAATTATCATGGCGGAAGATTAGCTTGCACAAGCCGCAATAAGTTATTGATGAGAGTCCTTACAGGTAAATACGTGATATCAAGCTAAAATATGAAAATTATGAAGCAATCAACAACACTTGGATCATGCGTACTTAACAATTCTCTCTTGGTTAGGACGGTTGCACACGTTACTATGCGACGGTACCTTGAATATAGGCATACACATACGCTCTCACGGCATGCCAAAGGATAGCACAGAGGAGATAGCGAGATACGATACTTGCTACTCGCCGTTCACTATTCGACAATAACAAGAAAAACTTGTCCCCAGAGCTGTAGACAGTGGCTATCCACATCGAAATTGCAGTGGAATCGAGATAACGCCAAGCGTAGCAAACAGATCGTAGTATCTGTATTATGGTAAGAAGCAGTCTAAAGAAATGTAATTGTTACATTCGAATCATAACTAAGTAAAATTTCACTTAATTACAGTGTAGTAAACTATCTACGAAAACTTTCTTACAACGAAGCCCTGCTTCCCGGAAGTCCCGTACAAGTCTCCTCCGACAAATGACTGGTAAGTTAATGTCTAGGTAATGATAGCTCCCACAAACATGACAGATAAAAAAAAAGAAAAAAGAAAAGAAAAAGAAAAAAGCAAAAAAAAAAAAGAAAAAAATACAAGCAACAAATGGCACAAGATCGGAAACTGAGGCGGAATCCATGCAACGAACCATACCATTGCCAAAACAAAGAAACACTATCTATGGTGCGAGACGCTTCAGTACTACATCAAAAGCCTACAGTAGCAGTACTTTGAAGCAAGGTTACGACGAGATGTATATCAACATTACATTATAAATCGGCATCGACACTACTGCAACACAATTCATCTTACAAAAATGACGCAATTGCGCAAGTAATACAAGACGAACATCCAATCAAGAATTTAAAAAAGCGTTACATTCAAAAGTAAAAGAAAAAAACAACATTCGATATCAAACTGAATACCAATGTAATCATCAAAGAAACCAACGGTAAGTAGAAGCAAAGATGATGCCGTGTTTAATCTTTACGACGAGATCATCAATAGCCAATATTAAAACACATCTATATATTTAGTCTAAACGAAAGCTAAATCAAATTTCGAACTCACAATCATTAAGAGTCACTATTACAACGCAAGAAACAAATGTAATCGGATCGAAGGCAATATCATCTCAGGAACGAGCGGTGCATGAATCCTACCATAATGCACCAACCCAGTGCGCCAAAGCAACTTAAAACATGTCACGCCTCACAAAATGAAGATATGGAAGAAAACCGAAACTGAAAGATTTTAAAAAGTTTATAAAAAAGAAAAAAAAAGAACAAGGGGCTATCATTACCGCAGATAAGAACTGACTAACATTTGTAGGACTGGAGATGAGGACATAATATTTCCTAGCAGTGGTATGTATATCTACTAGTGTATAGAAACATTTATTATTCGAATTACTTTGTGCAATAAATTTTATGCGTTCAATCAAATCGTACATCAAAATCTCAAAAGTGACATGCAAACAAGAGCATCTGCTACGTAGAGAGGTTGTTCACTAATAGATTACATGAGCGCGCCGAATTCCCATCATACCAGATCAAGATATACATACGTACCTGCGGAATAAAGGTATTAGTGTAACGTGGCTTTCATAACCTTTCAACTACGCATTATGTCACATGCTCCATCAAATAGATAGAGAGGGATTCACCCAAGACCACTGAGATGCTTACATAATAATTAAGGGCAGGAGAGACGGTAAAAAAGAGTAAGTTGGGATGTGTGATGAGATTACACATATTTTAATACATGATGTGTGCCTAAATGATATATTTGTATCATTATAACAGCATAGCCCTGCGATATACATAGTATATGTACATTGTGTCAGTCTCGCTTTTGCTATGCAACTAACGGTTGTGATGTGTATAGCTCTCGTTAGATAGTAGTATCTGTATCAGAAAATGTAACTTATATGTATGCCGTAGCTTCTCCTGATAGCTTGTACTGTATGCGACTAGGCTGCTAAGCAGTGTATGCATTGTTTATGAGATGAGTAATAAATGGCCCTTGTATGTTACATAGCCCATGTTCCATAATTGCAATTCTCCAGAATCAAAGTTGCCTGCTTATCATATGTATGCAATAAAATCTATTATGAGGTTCACCCTCTCTTTTTTTCTACATGGCACCCTTCCAAAGATATAAGATTCATGTATTTCCAATGATTCAAGCTCAGGAAAGTTTTTATGTACGTCTATACCTGCTTCTTGTTTATCTTCAAGCCACTAGCCCAAAATCTATTCCATGGACACGTCGCCTTGGAGATTGGCATGCTTGTTCTTATCCTGACCATGTTTTTTGCTTGGATAACACTATTGAAATGGGCAAAGGCAAAACTACTTATTATAATCAGAGAGTCGGACGGTCTATTGGAATGACGTCTGACAACCATTACAAATATCTTTTAATAATTTCCACGGGCGTAGGAAAAAGCGGGATAACTCACCTTGCAGGTTTGAAGCGTTATGAGCAGCAATAATGAGCAGTGTGAAGTACTACATATGTACGCCGGATTTAGGAGTTGCCAGGTAGTAATTGCGCAACTGAGTGAACGTTTTTAGTGGTCGCTAGTAATAGATTCGGTTACTATCACATTATGCATATTAAGTTATTCAACGAACGGTGACTTGCCAATCGGACCAAGGTCAATGAGTGATAAAGGATAGGGTATGAGAGGTGCTATTTCTTTTTTGCTGTGTTTACTACTGAACACTTTCACGCCATATGAACAGTACAGCATAAAATGCTATTTGAAGAGAGAACAGAAGCAACCGTCGTTATTACGCGCTATTGGTCAGATGATGTTAATTACCAAAGCCCACATGTGTGGTTCATTATCAGATCTTCCCACATAATAGACCTGTATACGGTAGCGCATGGTTCTGACTCTGACTATACATGCACAAAGACGGGTATGATAAAGAAAGGTCATTTGTTGTCAACAGCATTGGTTCTTTTCTTGATGGAACATTATCCGTGCAAGTTTGTACTTACCCCGCAATTAGCAGCTGTATTATCTTCACGATCTACTACAACCATGATCATTATCATGAACCACTACTCAACTAGCTTGTAAAGGCTTCCACATGTCAAATAAATTTTATTTAGTGTTCGTAAGATCTGTGTCTGCGTGGACAGTGTATGTAATGGTATAGCATTGTGGGTCATCTTTTAAAATACTGCACCTAATAATCGAGTTAACGATGCGCACAGTGTATCTTGCAGCAGAGTTCCCTTGTTCCTTTATCCCATCTTTCTCTTTCAATTACGTTTTTTGCTCACATGAATTGAGTCTTTATGGTTTTGTACATCCTTACAAACCATGACACAAATATTGTATAACTCCAACAATGACACCTATGACAACGAACGCTTATCTAACAACGACTACAGAAAACGGATAATTGCAACTATTTATCAGATCGGATAATCTGCAGTTGCTAATACTTTGCACACATGTCGTCGATGAAATCAACTCTTTATGGTAAAGCTTATTATGCTGGCACCTTGTCCGAAGCTTGCTCTCAGTCTCATTTGGGAAGTCGTATGATACCTGACTGGTGGTTCTACTATGCTCTTACTCATTCCTTAGCACAAACTTATGTTATTGGTGAGGACAATCAACTATTTGTGTATATGCCTGTAATCAAGTATGCGTGAGTATCTCCCATGAGAAAATATGTAGAGTTGTAAAGAATGATAAATGGAGTATTTAAACAAAAGCATAAATTCATATCTCCCGGAGTCGGTGCTCTTAGCGGTTGATCAATAAGCGATCGTATTACCTTGGGCGAACGGGAAAGAGAAAAAAGTACGACCTGAAAACTGGAGACGAGGCAACACACATAGAACCGCGGGATTCCGAATGTAAAAAAAGAAGAGTTTAGATCTGCTGATAAAAAGTTTGTGTCATATATCGGAAACACGGACCCCTCCAATCAATATGTTATCAAATTGTCCTGTTTTGGAATGTATGCGGGGGGATGCTTAGGCGGTGTGAATAGTAGAAAATTATATTGTCTGACAGTTGATTTTCGAAAGATGATGCCCATACGTGGTCATTTGTATTACCGTTGTTCGCGATTATAGTTTAGACAAGCTCATCCATTGTTCTTGATTTGATGTTTCGTAGATAGGAGCAGAGTAATGATACGTCTAGATTATGTCTTAGTGACAGCAGGAGAGCGAAAACATGGACAATGAAATAACGAGCTGCTGTGCTAAACATAGATGGGTAGACATCCGGTCACGACTAGAGCACAAAACACTGTGTGCCAAGACCTTCCAATCAATTGTAGTGACTCTGCGCACGATATGCTGCCAACAATGGAGTTTCTGAATCGATGAAGTGAGGAGGAGGAAAAGCAGCTAGCCACATTGAATATAGTTATTGTTGTGTGCGTATGCAACCGTGCTTCTTTCATATGTATTTACTTGCACATGCAGATCAGGATAAGATATTCGTCGATAGAGCAAATTAAGATCGTTTCGTTCCCTGAGATCCCCTAGGTGTTCTATTACTCCGTAATTGATAAGTGCAGCTGTAATTCTTTGTTCTTAACGTGGCTCGGCAAACACGCCGCGCCAGCAGCTAGCCATAGGCGATTTCGAAGAAAAAGAGAGGTGTGTGTGACATTTTCCGTTCAAAAGACGGTCCGACAAAAATTAAAAACTCCAAAGCTAGCACAAAAATTCGGCGCTTATTTCCCGCTATGATGCTTTCTTTAGAATTGTGAAGGAACAAGATGCATGAATCTGGGTCTTCTTTTGTTGGAAAAGAACAAAAAAAGGCAGCTAAAACCACCTGTTGGAACCAGAAAGAGCCCGGATCTGATAAGGAGTGTGCTCCGGTGATCTAAGCATTCTCGAGTTCCATGGGATTTCAGTAAGGCCGCTTGTCCCCGTAATTTTGAAGTCCAGTCAAGTGTGACTGGACGAGGTTACACAAGCGTGCCATACTCTCTGGCACACACACACCATCTTTCTCAACCTACCTCTACTGATTGATTTTCTTTCTTTCCTTATTACTTTCTTATATTTTTATGTTCAATGGACGCACTCAGTACTACGAGTAGTACGGTCACCACGACTGTCTCAGCAAACACTCTCCCCTTCTCGACAGCAACACATACAGCTCCGCCGTCTACACCTTCTTTTCAATCGTCATTGTTCAACCCGGAAGATAGTGCTACTAATCACAACCCACCATCACCAACGGCAACGCACTCGACCAAACGAAAAGAAGTGTACGCAGTATCAGCTACTTCATGCTCTAATTGTGGTACGACTAAGACACCCTTATGGCGTCGAGCACCCAACGGCGACACTATCTGCAATGCTTGTGGGTTGTACTATAAGGCTCGTAATCAGTTTCGACCGCCAACATTAAAGCGCAACAGTGCGCGAAAAGACGATCAAACACAGCAAAATGACTGTGGAGGTGGCCCAGAGGTCGGAACGTGTCCCGGTGGCGGCCACTGTAACGGTAGTGGTGGATCTGAATCATGCGCAGGTTGCCCGGCATTTAATCAACATCAAGTGAATCGCCAAACACTTATTTGTGTGAATTGTCGTACCCGCAATACGCCATTGTGGCGACGAGACGAAGCTGGTAATACCATTTGCAATGCCTGCGGACTGTACTACAAATTACATAACATGCATCGGCCGGTGAGCATGAAGCGAACAGTAATCAAGCGACGAAAACGAGTGGTGGTCGCAGAGACTGGAGAGGAGGAAGAAGTTTCTGGAGGCGAAAGCAGCAAGAACGAAAACGATTCACAACAGGATCAACTTCCATATCATCATCATCATCATCATCATCATCAGCAACAAAAAAACCATCAACCTGAACGAAATCCAGGCAAGCGTATCAAAGGACTCAAAGCACCAACACAAAAGAAGGAAGAAGTCCCTGCTATCGAAGATTACATTTTACCAAAGCGTTTACCTCCACCGACAACAGCGCCATCCGTGTCTCCGCCATCAGCATCGTCCATATCATCTCCTACATCTCCTCCAAACATTGTCGCGCCAAGACCACGGCTGCCGTTACCCCAGATGGATCGGATCTATAACAACCATAATAGCAACAACAATAACACAACACACAACGAACATCCTCCTTATTTACCGCCAATAACCTCCACATCATCTTCATCCCCACCGTTGTCACATAGCAGCAGCAGCAGCAGTAGCGACTTTCATCATCAACAGCACCAGCAACATCATCAGCATCATCAGAATCATAATCACGTCCACCATCACCACCAGCAACAACATCGAGGAATCGATTCACTGTTACAAGCAGCTGCTGACTGCGAACGCTTACCGCCCATCTCATTACCACCACCCCAACCATCCTCTAGTGCACCACTTGCTGAATTTGATGCCGCTCTGAATCGTCTTAACCAGCTCCGTTCTCGAGTAACATCACAACGCGACGTTTACGCATTAAGTCAACTAGCCCCTTCACTGAATGATCTTGTACACCGCGCAGAAGCTTCTTTATAGCGCCAACTTCCCTCTTTCCACCTCCTTTTTCTCTTCTTTATTACACCTGATTCGTACATATAGTACTATATATCACTACTTGACAAGTTTTTATATAAAACATTTGGATGCAGATATACAACGAATGATGTGGGTCGGGGAATGAATATAATAACTATTATTGAAAGATGACAAATTGAATGCTGGCTAGCTGTTTATGGTTGCTGTCGTAGTACTGGGAGTTGCTGTAATAGTAGTTGTAGATGATACTGGTGTAATTTCTCTTTCTTTTGTTTCTTTTTTTTTTTCCAAAATAGAAGGGCACAAAAGAATAATAAAAGGGAATGTTATTTAACCGAACTCCTGAGCCTCTTTTTTTTCAACCAGTCCGCTAGCTCGCTGTGATAACTGTTCTGCCGCTTCATAGTGCCGATAGCGGATGGCGAGTCTGGCGAAGTTCCGCGCGGTTTTGAGGTGCGTGTGGTTTTCAGAAATGACGCAGATGCTGCGGTTGCTGCTGCTGCTGCCTTCGTCGATTGTTTTGTTCTTGCCGTCGCCGTTGCCGTCGTTGCTGTTGCCGTCGTTGCCGCCGCAGCTGTCGCTTCATTATCCTCGTCACCCTCATCTTTCCACCATCCGCTCACCAACCCCAGTCGAACAGTAACCTTGCCAATTTCTTCGCCCAGCCTGCCGTCATCCTTCTTCCGCCAGCGCCGCTTCAGATCATAGACCGGGAACGTCCGCTCGATCAAATTGGGATCCACCATGGACGATGTGGACGAGGACCGCCTTCTAGGGTCATAACACACGTCTCTGCTCCGGTAAAACGCCAAATTGTTGAGTGGGATGTGTGCAAGACCCACCGTCTCCTTGGTGAATAGCAGATGGTCGTTCTCTTCGTCGTTGAGCTGCAGCGAGACCTCCATGAAGCTCTGGTCGTTTAGCCAGTTTTGGATATCAACAAGATGGCCTCGGAGATAGAAACACGTCGGCCAAGACGAGCTGGGTTGCTTTGTGATGGATGATGCAGGACAGCTGATACGCTGAGACAGGAAGGTATATGCAAAGATGGGTTTGCGCGCCACCCCACGACGACCGGACGCGGGCTTGGGCATGAGATGCTTGAGGTTGTCGGCATGCACAATGCTAAAGTAGAACGTAAAAGCGGTCGTGCCTGAGCCTATCTGGTGGTATCGTGGTACGCTGTCAGTTGTGCTTGGATGTGACACAACAGAGGGTGTTGCTGTTGATGATGTTGTTGTTGTTGCTGTCGCTGCTGTTGACATTGTCGACATGGCTGTGCTGGACGTCTGCTGCCGTAAACGACGCTGTTGCTTGGCAGCGGTTGTGTTGTTAGGGAGCTGAATGCGACGGAACTCTGCGGCAAGCTGGTCAATGTTCAAGTCGACTTTGAAATCGGTATGTGATTTCGCCCGTCGCAGACTGTTGTGGAGGTCCTGCTTTGCTTGCTGCTGCTCTCGATCCCGTGGCTTAATCCAGCTGACAGACCGTCCTTCGTTTACTGTCGTTCCTGCTTCTGCTCCTGACGATATCGCTGCCAGTCCCGCTGCCGACGATGCTGCTCCATCTGATTTTTTGAGCTTTTGTTGTCGCTGTTGGATCTGTTTGTGTCGTTGTAGTGCGGAGGTGGGTTGTTTCTGCTGCTGCTGTTGCTGCTGTTGCTGCTGTTGCTGCTGCTGCTGCTGTTTTGTGTTTTTCAAGAATGAGTGCGAGGAGGGTGAGGATAGAACTGTAGTTGTGGCGGTGGTGGTTGTGACGCTATCGGAAAATAAGAGTGGGGTATTGTTGCTGCTGCTCGTGCCTGAAAGATCCATCAGGGACTTGAGCTCCATATTGTTGTATGAGGCAGAAGAGAACGAGGACGACGCAGACTGTGTTTTTTTGTCGGGCATCGACACGATAAACAGACCGGCCTTGAGCTGCTCTTTACGATTCTCTGGCAGCAGCGGCCGCCAGTCGCCCCTGTCCGCCACAAAGCGGTTGACTTTGTCCATGTGTCCACCGTGGTGGATTACCACTTTTGCCTCAGAAACGCTCAATGAAAGCATTCCTATCCGCTGCTGTGAGGCATCGGCTGCAACGCTGTTGGCAGTGAGGGTGATTTCGGCATTGTGGGTGCGTAGCCGGTGTAAAAGTTTGCTGGAGATTAGATAGGCCAATGTTGTGTCGAATGCGACAGTGCCACTGCGTGAGATGGGAGTGAGAGGAGTGCTGATTATTGTTGTGGGCGGAATGAGATCGTCGACAGCTGCAGGAAGACGCAGCTCCAGCTTGCTTTGGATACAGATATCATGGTCTGCGCTGTGGGAAAAGTGGCGACCTATATGAGAAACAGATATGGACACAGAGAGAGAGAGAGAGAACAAGAAGGTTGTTTCAGCTTCAGGCGCGTTAAACGAAAAGGAAGAAGGGGTTGTTGTTGTTGTTCTTGTTCTTGTTGTAGCTGGCCGTCGTCAGTTGGTGTAGGCAGAGGAAGAGAGGGTAGAGAGGGGTGGGTTTCCATGGTTGTGTACTCACCTTGCTGGACGGCGACCAATATGGCATACTCGCACGTCCTTGTCAGCAATAGCGACATAGTGGGTGTATGTGTGTGCGTATTTTTTTATTGGGGTTTAAAAAAGAGCAAAGAGCCGCATTTCAGGAAGGAAAAAGAAAAAAAAAATTATTTGGGCTGTGGGTGTGTGCGCTCGTTGGCAATCACCGTTTCACAAAGGCTGCTGCAATCATATTTGTAAACTAAATAAATCACTCTTTCTGCCTCTCATTTGGCCCTGCCTCCTCCCTCTCCCTCTCCCTCTCGCTCTCTTTCTTCTCTCTCTCTCTCTCTGACTGTCTGTCTTTCTCGCTAACTAACTAACTGTCACTCGATCGTGCGTAGAATCGCGTAGTTTGGAAGAAATAAATGACTTTTTTATTTTATTACTGAGCTCCTCCTCCGAAATTAAAACCACCCTGAGGTGCCTGCACTTGCGCCTGGAACGCAAACTGGTCGCCTTGCATCTCGCCGCCCATTGCCTCTGCTGCTTCGTCGGCCTCCTCGCTAAAGAATTTGTCAATGATGTTGTATGCCTTCTTGTAGATCTCCTGGTTGTCGTGTTGCTGGAGCTCATGGATATAGTCTACCCCGCCGCATTCTTCGATTAAAAGTGCATATGGGTTATGGTTGTCTACCGTGTTCGTCCGCTCGATCTCGCCCACTTGCAGAATATTCTCCAGACCGTCCAGTGCAACCATCGTGATCTTGTTGTCCATCGCCGTCAGGATATCACACAGCGGCTTGATGCATCCCTCCGTTACAAGATAGTGTATTTGCTCAGGCTTGTTGAGACCGCCTGACGTGGCATTGCAGATTGCCCAGCATGCCTCTTTCTTGGTCTTAAAGTCGCCATGCACCAGGATCTGGATTAGCGGCCGCATAAGCCCGCCGTCAATCACCGCCTGGATCTGTGATGTGTTGCCGGCCGTAATGTTCGACAGCGTCCAGCATGTTTCCTTGCGGATCGCCTCTTTAGGGCTCATGAGCAAGTGGAGAAGCGCGTTGATCGCCCCGCAGTTGATAATCACCTGCGTCTGCGTGTCGTCGCCAGTAACAATGTTGCCAACAGAGCGGAGTGCAGGCGTCTGCACGCTCGTTGCTGGATGGCCAAGAAGCTCGATAAGACGGCCACACACACCGGATTCTACCACTGCCTGAATACGCTCGTTAGGTCCATCCGACAGATATGAAATGGCCCAGCATGTGTCAATCAGGACTTCTTCGTCGCTAGAAAGAACAAGCTTGGACAACACTTGAAGTGCAGGTGCAACCTATTCTTGCATTTTCTTTAATAAGTCTCTTTTTTTTCTTCGCGAGAACAACCCCCCCCATCCTCCCTGTATCCCTTATGTATCCCTTTCAATTTCATACCAGTCGCCAGTCGGGCTGAGGATTCTTGCCACGGCAAAAGTTAGAAAGTGTCCAGGTTGCGTTGCGCAGCATGGAAATCTTGGTGGTGTCTTCAAAGATAGCCAACAGAGGTGGCAATGCGCCCGTTTGGAGAACGAAATCACGACAACGAGGACTATCACCAGCGATATTACCCAGCGCCCAGACAGCCTACATTTTCATATATAATATCGCCATAATTAGTGATTAGCACATTTCCTGTCTAGACGAACAACCCCCTTTCTCCGGCTCCTTCCTTCTAGTCATGCTTCTTGTTCTTACCTGTTCTTTGACATCCATCACCGGACTGCTTAACAGCTGAATAAAGAAAGGCACAGCACCAGCTTGCAATACCACCTGCGTCTGTTGTGATGATCCAGAAGCGATGTTTGTCAGCGCCCAAGCCGCTTCAAACTATCGTCATAATACAAGAAGGCACGAACATACAGAGATACATGTTGAACCGTCAGTCATATTACTTTAACCTTCTTTTCTGTTTTGACATACGTACTTGCAGAGTTGTGTTTTGAGATTGCAAGAATTCGACAAATCGTGGCACTACGCCGCAAGCAATGACTTCTTCAATCGGCGGATTCTTTTCTTTCGATAGCAACTTTCTAAAGTGTGCTGTTGCAGTGAGTTGTGTTTCGCTTTCAGCGGCGTACAGTCCTTGGACCATGTCCGGCAACATGGCCATGAGCTATATTAGATTTATTTCCTATTAGATTCCTTCGTCGAATCCACTTAGCAGCCCTAAAAGATTGATTGTATGTCTTTATTCACCTGAGCATCGACAGGGTAAGCGCTGTCTTCATCATCAGAATCGGCAGGGAGGTTCTCCACGTTAAAGTTTCGTCTTTTGGCGAGATTTTCCTCCTTCTTTTGCTTGCGAATCTCTACTTGAGCAGTTTCACGACGACGTCGCACCTCTTCTGGTTTGAAGTGGCTACGCGCCTTGTACGTGTTTCGTCTGAGATCGGCGAGTGGATCCATGGTTTTTTTTCTTTGGCGCGTACTGTGTGTTGGATTCACAAACAGAAAAAAAAAAAAAGGAAAGAGGCGTTTGGCGCGAAAGCAAAAAGTTAAATTTTGGATTTCAGCATATCAAATGATGCAGACAACGCAGTGTGATTTGTTTTTGACGTGATTACATCCTATCAAAATTCTCTGTCGTTGATAAGTGGTTAGACAACGTAAATACGTCTATCCCGTTGAAGATATTGCTATATACACTAATATCAAACATGTAATCTTTCAAGATGCGATCAATATAGAGAGCACCGCAAAGGAATTGCTTGAGAAGATTACAACTTGACCGAGAAACGTGTTCATCACATCCTATCACGTATAGCTATCCTCTCTGTGTATGCAGTTGTTTATCAGCAATCAAACGGCAGATTACTATATGTCTCTAGATGTATACACCAAGAAAAAGGAAAAAGGGAAATAAAAGACTGCTACATCGTAGCAAGTTTCTTATATAGTTTCACCGCTATTTTTAATTAAACAGGCAGATGCACGGTAATAGAGCGATTGTCTCTCTCTTTCATTCTAAGATATATGCTTTTTAAAAGGGTTGTGGGCGTGTTTGTGTGGTGTTTGAGTGTGATAGTACTAGTGATGGTGTTGGTTGATTGGTTGGGTTATTGTTGGAAGGAAGTAATGAAATAAGGAGAAACGAAACGAAGAAAACAGTGGGCGTAGCGATATTGAAATTATTTACAGCATCATCTTGAGCGGGTTCTCCATGTATTCCTTGAAAGACTGCAACCAAGTAGCAGCAACAGCACCATCAACAACACGGTGGTCGCTGGAGAGGGTGACCTCCATGGTGCTGCGAACAGCAAAGCCGTTCTCCTTGGTCTCATCGGGCACAAGCTTCTGGCTGGTACCGCCAATGGCCAAAATGCAGGACTGGGGTGGGTTGATAATGGCAGTGAAGTGCTTGACACCAAACATGCCAAGGTTGGAGATGCTGAACGAGCCACCCTGGTATTCGTGGGGAGCCAACTTGCCGTTACGGGCACGGGTAGCCATGTCCTTGACGCTGCTAGAGATTTCGGAAAGACCACGCTTCTCAGCACCAGTGACGATGGGGGTAATCAAACCGTTAGGTGTGGCAACGGCAACAGAGATATCAGCAGTGTTGTACCTAGCAAAAAAAAAGGGTCGATGATCAATCCTGTTTTCTTTCTTTCTTTCTTTCCTTCACTTCAACGCAATCCAGCAGATGCGTCTTTTAAGAGATGTGTAACTAACTAATTGTAAGTTAGTACATGTACTTACTGTCTGATGAAATCACCCTGCCAGGCAGAGTTAACCTCGGGAACCTTCTTCAAACTGAGGGCAGATGCCTTGATGATGAAGTCGTTGACGGACAACTTGTACTTGCCCTCAGCAGCCTTGTTGAGAACCTCACGCAATTTGCTGACCTTGTCCATGTTGACATCAACAGTGACATAGTAATGAGGAACCATCTGCTTGGATTCGCTCAAGCGAGTGGCAATAACACGTCTCATGTTGGTGGTAGGGATGTCAGTGAAGGCATCGCCAGTAGCAGACTGAGGAGCGTAGGCAGCAGGCTGAGCAGGTGCAGCGGCGGCAGCGGGAGCGGCAGCGGCAGCGGGAGCTAGTATGCAAATCGATCTATTTAGTATTCTTGCTTGTATGGATACATTTCCTTTTCTTATCCTCTAAATCTTACCCTTGAAGCTGTCAACATCGTCCTTTAAGATTCTACCACCAGGACCGGAACCCTGGATTTGGGAAATGTCAATGTTACGTTCGTTTGCAGTTTTCTATTGAAAAATACATGGAGCGATACTGAGTTTTTTGTTGTCTGGTTTTGGCATGCGTGTACTAATAAGCAACAATAAAAATGGTTGTCGATGACGGGTCGTTACTTACTCTGGCATAAGGACTTGCCTTGACACGGTCTGACCCGACCGAAGAACAAAAATAGACGGTAAAATTTTTGTGTGAGTATTTTTTTAATACAAGACAAGAAAAACTATACAGGCCTAACCCGCCCGCCCTTTTGTTCATCACACGCACACCCCGCCATTACCCCAAAAATGAAAGAACCATCACACTCACCACCATCAGAGGAGGCGGATGAAGAAGCAGGCTTGCTGGCAGAGGCAGCCTCAGTCGAAGCGGGCTTTTCTTCGGCGGCTGGTGCCTGCTTGTCTTCACCAGCAGCGGGAGCAGGAGTGGCAGCAGCGCCAGCACCGGCATCTTCCATTGTGAACTCTGCAAAGGCGGCAACATCGCTCTCGTCCTCAACAAGGACAGCAATGGGCTATAAAGAGAAAGAGAAAGAGACAGAATACAGCCATCGATCAGTTTCTTGTTGATATACCTTTGTTGTCATCTAAGCCAAAAGCGTTACCTTGCCAACGGGAAAATCCTTTGCGCCAGTATCGACCAAGATCTTGGCGAGGAAGCCTTCTTCCTGGCACTCAAAGTCCATCTGAGCCTTATCGGTCTCGATTTCGACCAAAACATCACCGGGGACGATTTCGTCGCCAACTTTCTTTTGCCACGCGCCAATACCACCCTGTGTCATACTAAGTTACAATCAACCCGTCCTCTCCAAGTCAGTGACAAGCGTCTTTTTGCCTTCATCTGATGTATATATAAAGCAACTTACGTAGGCGACAAGGCAGGCATAGCAATCACGTTGTGATCGGGGAACGCTACATATATCGGAAATACATAAGAAAGACGTTTGGCTCGATTGATTTGCTGACATACAGCACATAAGAAACACGCGAACCTTTCACAAAACCCCCGCACTACAACTTACACTTGGAGCTATAGAACTTGACATTGGAAGGAGCAGCAGGATTCAAGAGGGAACGCAGGGCAACAAACTTGGCGTTGCTAAAAGAGTTGAGAGAAAGGAAAAGAATGAGCAAAGAAAAGGAGCGAAAACCAGAAAGGGCGCAAGGAGGTAGCAGCAATGCCACATGGGTATGGAATTGTGGTGAAATTTACCTCGACGATGTGAACGCGCGTGCATTGTTACGGGCTTGATGAGCCAAAAGAGGAGTGGCTCTGGTAGTGGTCAAGCGAGCAGTTGAGCGAATGCCTGCAGAGGCTCTCAAGAGTTGGCGGCGAGCAGAGGACATTTTGGAAAGTAAAAGGACAAGAAAAGCTGGAAAAACAACGGGAAACCACTGGTGTTTTTTTAACGGCCCCCCAATCTTTCCGTCGCTGATGATCCCGACATCACCCTCTTGTCTTTTTTTTTTTGCCGGTCACAGCTAATTCCCAACATGCTCAAATATACGCCTGCCCTTTGCCCGGCTTCCCCAGTGCACACGAAAATGTTTTTTTCTGGTGGTGATAATTTCAAACACAGCCAAGCTTTTTTACGCTTGGGCATCGGAGCGTCCGGTGTGGGTGCTGGGGCAATCTTTACCGTGTTCTTCCGTACCGAGAGTTATTTTTTCACACAGGTCTACCATAGTAGCTTTGTCTGTATATAAGGCTACTTTGCTTTCGCACGCTGATAGTAGTCATATATGTTATTAATTCAAAACCTTTTTGATACGCGTTCTTTGTCGGCAGATCAATTGTGCGGCCTTTTTTTTTGAACATGTGCTCAAGGAAGCAAACGTGGCTAAACATCACTCTTTCTTCTTTAACTTGTAATTGGTGATATTGCTATTGATATATACACATCATTAACGCAGTTCTCGACCGTACTACCTTGTCATCCACGTTCTACGAGATACTGTTAATACCATATCATTGATCCGCCTAAAAGTGCTTCTTCCTGTCGTGGACAACACATTGGAAAGGACATCGAACCTCCGTTAGTATGAATCGCACTGGTCCGACCAAAGAAAGACAGGAGCTCGTTATAATCAAGTTTATCAGATATTTTTTGGTAGATGCAAGGTAACCGACCCTTGGTCATCTTTTTGGATGCGTTCTCCTTGCAGATCCCCCGAACGCCGTGTTGCGCCACGGATGAAAAAAAAAAGCAAGAGTTCCTTTATGCACATTGTTCTTATTACATTGATACTATATACCATTTCGTTTGTCATCAATGATACGTTACGAGCACACTTGGAAAGATGTCTGAGATATCTTTTACCATGACAGCGGAGGTTGCTATGATAAGGACCAATTGTTGCCGTGGCTACGACCGTTGTGTGTAGCTTTATGCAACGGTTTATCTCACAACTTCCTCAATTTGACGTAGTATGAATATATTTCTAATAATTACATTGCAGTTGAAAAGGCGGAACAAAGCTAAAGTGTGATATTGACTCAATAAGCTAATAGCACCCTTGTCAATGATCGGATATGAAATGGTCTTAAGTCTCAACCACTGGAGGTTTCCTTTTCCTCTTATTAAAATAGATTCATCAATATATAACGCGTTATCGTTGACTCGTATAAAGCAGATACATATGACACCTAGTTGTTTGTATTCTTATGTAAAGGTACATGCATATGATGTTCGTTGAAAAGATACCAACGTGCATTTGTGGTGATGTCGAACTGGGAGCCAAAGGTGAAAAGAAATTGAAATTCGAAACGCGCTGATGACGTCGCGCTGTCTTTTCTCCAGTGACACCCTTCTAACTTTCGGCCCTCGCCAAACATTTTTTCTTAACCAACTAATACACATTTAACGAAATGGGTGGACACTACGTTATTGCTGGCAAGGCCGTTCCCAACCACATTGTAAGTTACATACACGCATACACATAACTTTTTGACTGCTTTATGCTGGAATGGTCACGTTCTAATTGCTTTTTAATTAATCATAAAATGAATTTTTCTTCATGTTCATGTGCATGTTTACTTTCACTTGTCCATTTGAAACTATTATAGCTCTCCATGGGCTTCCTTGGCGCCTACGCTGGTCTCGGTACCTACTTTGCCCTGAAGCCCCAGGCCCCTCAGCCCGCCACTCCCCCGATCAAGGCCGGTTCTGTCGATGAGGAAGCTTTCATCAAGGAGTTCTTGAAGGCTGCAGAGTCCGAGGACAAGCAATAGATTAAGTAGTGCCCTACAAACACTCACTCAACACGCAACCTTTACGACCACAAAACAAATAACATCATATTAAAAACAAAAGGAATATCTGTTCTTTTTAATATGCAAGTCAAAAAAAACAAAAATCCGGTACACTTGTCATGTTTGAGAAAGGTCTTTGTTAAAAAGAGTTACATCATGAATAGTAATGTAATATAGTGTATTCGATTATATTGATTCACTGGGCTACGAAGGGTAATTTGACAAGCGGATGGTTGAGGAGCAAAGAGGAGGAAACAGTTCTAAGATGGAAAGCAAAAGGATGAAGAGCAAGAAATAGGAAGAGATAGCATAACTTTATTAAAATTACTGCTATTAGTTAGGTTTGATGGGCATGAGCTTAGACTTGGGACACTCCTTGAGTGGCTTCCAGCTAATATCAAGGACACCAAGGTTAAGGTCACCGCCCTGGGCCACTTCCTTGAACGCGGCGGGAGTAAGATCGATTGCTTTACCTATACGAGTTCCGTAATCATGATGTCGAAGATGATGATACGGTGTTAGAGCATGAATGAAGTGAGCATATAAATATATATATATATATATATATATATATTCGCATAAAGTAAGAAAACGCACCAACTGCACATCCAGCGCACTTGTCGACAATTTTAACAATGACGGAAAGTTTCTTGTCTTTGTTGTTGGTGATCTTCATGCACTTGTAGCAGTCTTCAAAGCCGTCCATGGCCTATCGTTTTGTTTGATATATATCAGTATTGCAAATTCAATGCACACCTTACACTTTTAGTTTGAGTGGATTCGCTTCAGCCATCGCTGTTAATTACCATAGCACCAATCATATCGTAGTTAGTAGCATGATAAGCCTTCAAGCCGTTTCGGTCGTAGCAAGCAGCATTGTTCAGATCTTCACCGGTGTACCTGTTAGTACAGCAATGATCGAGTATCAGACATATAACACAGTAACAAGTAGATGATTAGTAAATCTTACTGCTTTACTAATAAAAGCAATATTCCAGTAGATTGCTGAACCTTCATAGAACAAAGCTTTATAGAGAGAAAGACGAACGGAACACTAACCAGGTACCACGGCCACCACGCTTAGTGAGACTCAAGGTGGATTCACTGAACGATCTAACTTGGGCGACACCGCGACGTTCGATTTCATCGGCACGGACAACGTTCGAGAAACAGAGCACAAAGATCAGAAGTAAAAGCTTCAAGAATTGATGTTTCATGGCTGGATATAAGAAATACAGATTTTAGAAGAAAAAGAAAGTAAGGAGTGGAAAGGGTGAGATAGTTAAGGAGTGAGAGCGAGAGCGAGTAAGCTAGTGTGAGCTTGCGTAGACAAAGAGAAGAAGAAAAGAAAGAGAAAGAGAAAGAAAGAAAGAGGGTTAGAGAAGGGAAGGGAAACCCAATAAAGAGGGAAGATTATGCTACTGGAGAACAAAAAACACAAGTTCAAGTGGAGCTGGTTTTTCTCAGTCTAAAAGATATGAGTTTCTATGAACCAACGTGGCGAATGACAGATTTTGGGTTCTCTCGTTATTGTCCTGACTCCGAGAAGAAGAAAAGAGTGCTATATGTGATAGTGCTCGTATAGGAACACACAATAGACACACCTCATGCTCTCCTTTACATTCACGCAACAGCTAATGAACTTACTTTCTTATCACAGACTTCTCAGGCGAAAAAAGATCGACGAGCAGAGTGTGTACCCCGTTGGAAAACATCCTTTTACGGTGATTTATTTCAAAACCCGAGTATTAGTGCCTGTGTGCAACGCTGCTCGTAGTGCGTGTGTGTGTGAAGAGAGGGTTGCTGTTCCTCAAGGAGTGAACGCCGTGAATAACTAATTGTTATGGGGGGCTTTTGACTTACCCTCTTTGGATAGAAAACATATTAACTACATTAGAAACATCTCGGGTCCCTTTGTCGCACTGCGCGTGTATATTATAAACTAACGGATAAGTCTTCTCTATCTCAAAGCAAAAGCTACATCTTCACTACGATATATTGTCGCGGACAATCAACAACTTTGGTGAAAATATATAAAAATACAAATGAGCAAATTTAGGGATAGTTGCTGGTAATATAGCAGCAGCAGCAGGGATTCCAGACCCAAAAATACACAACCACACATATTTAGCTGAATGTTTAAAAAAAGACAGACTCAACCCCCTCCTTTGACTATTGGGGAGTGGGGGTTGGTCGGCACAGTGTTGATTTGCGCGCCTTGGCTAATCGTCTCGCTTTCCAAGTGCTCCTTTATTTAATGTTCTACGCTCTACTAATAGCACATCATAAATGTCCCCTTTGCACATCACACAAAGATTGGCCTTATTGGTATAATTGGATCAACAGTAAAGCATGAAAATGTTAACAGTAATGATGAAAAGATGCTTCTACGATGAATTTAAAAGGCTTAACTGACGAAAGTTTGAATTACTCATAATTTCTTTTTCTTTCTCTTTTCTGTTTAACAAATATAAATGACAAGATGCACCAACAATTTTTCGGCATTAAATGCTTCTGTACTAGCTTGTAATGGTATTTCCCTCGCTTTTACCTGTAGATGATGGAACACTTTGTATTTGCGTTCTAGCTCGTTAGAGAAGGGCTCTAATGTATGATGCGTACTATGAAGAAGTTTGAAAACGTAGAATAATGAAATAGCTGGTTCTGTAACGTATATATTCACCATTTCTTTTAAAACAAAGAAAATATCTGAGTTTTTCTTTATGAAATCATGTCTTTGAGGACAGCGATGGTATTATAATAAGTGTGAAGAAACATAACAAAACAATGTGTAGCTAACAAAACGATTGTCTTGTTTTTCCTTAACAGAGGAGCTATATGATTCTTCCATTATACTCTGTCCCTTACCCTTCTGCAGATTGTGACTATATGACTATGAGCGATGGATAGTAATGAATGATGCGTCTCTCATCGCTCATTCGCTGAGACCAAAATCCCTACAATGCTACTATACTTATTCGGTAAAAATAGCTATACTCAGCACACCAGATGGTTCTTTTTTCCGAGCGCATGCAAAAACTTCATGGATGAGTCTACCAATGATAAATGATGGATATGATTTTTCTTTGTCGACACGTAGCAGCATAGTGCACCAACACCTTTGCTGTAACTACATACCACTACTACATTACGAGAAATCATTAATAACATAGCATTACCTTGTGTGCAAGGATATTGGTGCGATATTCTACTACTGCTTTTCCGCATGTTAGAGAGCTGAACGCATTACACTAGTGGAGCCTGTTAACCTACTAAACTCTGAGGTTAGAATGAAATTAAGACTAACAGCAGTAGTGCGCCTCCGCTTTGCTCCATTCCATCAGTAGTTTTCGCTGCTTCAGTGCCTCGATTGCCGACAAATAGCATATTAATAATAGATAGTGCATCATTTTGTTTTGCTGAGTACCCGGTTTGTTCATGGTTTTCTTTTTTCGTAATAGCATAGTGGTCTAATCGCACTAAATGCTGTAGATCTGGGCTCGCATATTTCTGGCGTCTCTATAAGAAAATTGATTCTGATGGGTAAACCAGTCAAGAACTTTCTTCAAAAACTATCAGGGGTGATATCAATGATTATTTATAGTAAGCGACAGAGGTGGCTGACTACTGGATGTGCTTTATATCACATATTATAAGGACACACAATGCGTGCGGAACAACTTTATTCCCCAATCCTCCTGTTGCCTTCGCCGCCATGATCACACCGAGTAATCCACTCTGTCTCCGACACTATAATTAGTTTTTGTTGTCCAGGTACAGTAGTGAAAGATTTCCACTTTTATGATACGTTGAAGCTCAAATGGCAAAGGTTGCATCATACAAAAGAAATAACTTCTCTGGCTAAAAATATCGATGGTTGTCATTTTGAATGATCGCCGGTGGCTATGGTTGTGCTATTAGACCACGAGCCGCTAAGATTGGATATTACATGATTCTTCTTCGTTCGTCTATCACAATTATAATCGCTAGTTACATACATGATGTAAACCAGATTCACGCCTGCAATATTTGATATAGAAAGCACGAGGGTATGCTGTACAAGTGTGTTTTCATTATTAACAATCTTCTGACTATCAATGTGAATGAATATTATATCATTAATATAGCATTTGACAGTTAGTTGTACGTTGCTGTTATTATTCTCCTTTACATAGAACTAAAGCACGGCGTTTATTTAATAAGAATATTTGTTAGTATTCCGGGTTGTGATTCTTTTAAAGTATAATAGCCTACTATGTCTTTGATTCCGTACAAGCGGGTTATTATTATCAAAAAGAATTGGCGTTGAATAGTTACAGTTTCTCGAATTTGTAGGTATGCTATTCAAGGAGCTCGCTATCGCAAAAGGCGTGGGAGCATTGGAGTGATGGGGGAAGTGGGGTAGCAGCGCCGACTGCGTGAAGCCCTGGCGGGGCCAAGGTCAGATCTCCTGTTAGCCAGATATTGAGCCATCATCAAACAAGTGTTGCGTTTAACGTGAGCCGTTGATTGCTTCTTTGCAGCATAACAACTTACTCATCTGGCTGATATATAATTCATCTTAAAACCTTGCTGGGCGATATAAGATATGATATAGAATAACATGTGTAGACTAGAAATTAGTCACCGTCTTTAATTGGATTTTTCCATCACCTTTGGGGGTCTTGTATTCATCAAGAAAAATTAGAAATAAGAAGCGGAGAATAAATGCAACAGAAAGAAGGAAAGAAGTGCATTGAAGAGTATGCATGAAAAGAAACAAAAGTTGGACAGCTGTTACAAAAGTAAAGAAACGAGTATGGAATAAGATACTTACCTCCCCCCAATTTGTATCTCGTTGGAGTGGCCCTCCACTCACTCCATGACAGGCGCCAAGGCCTGCTCTTCTTCTCCTTCTTCTTCGTTTTCCTCCTCCTCTTCAAACTCGTCGTCGTGGGCATCGTCTAACACATTTTCTCCGGCGGGACGACGCATCGACGGTGGTCGCGATCTCAAATTACCAGTTTGGATGTATTGAATGAAGATACGACCAATGTTTCGGGCAGCATTATTATCACGGTCCACAACTATATGTATAGATAATGTAAGCTTATGCGCAAGTCGTATGATGCATTATCAAGGCACTGATGTAATAAAACAATCAAATACTAGCCACTACAGTAGTTGCAGGACAATGATCGCAGAACTTCAATGGGTACACGGATAATTGGGAACCAGCTGGAAATAAGTTTTGGTATATTATTACAACCATTAATATTAGCTATTGAAGCTCTCTCACTGTTTCACAAACTTTTTGTATACACGATAGAAAGTAACAAAGCCTATATTACGTACCAGCGTTTTGACGGTCGTTGCAAGTCGATGTTGGCCAAAGGTTATGGCCGTCGTCATCCACACACCAGAGCTGCCGTCGGGCATTGTTCCTGTGTCCATCGTCTTCAGCACGTTCGCGGATCCGACGAATTCTCCGCTTTGTGTGCTCGCGGCACACTTGAACACTTCCTGGACGGTCTCGAAATTGACGCGTGTTCGCATCGCAAGCACTGCACACAACACTGGTTCGATACTCATCGATGAGCATGACCATTACACGTCTTGATAGAACCGCCCGGAACGTCTACAAAGTAATTTATAGTATAGGCGTCAATTCATAGCAAGGACACTCGCTTCATTCGTCACTAATTAACGTTCCACCACGTCTGCCAGATGAATTTTCTGATTTATGGTGCATACTGTCTTAAACCATGAATTGTCGAAAATTGAGATTTTTTAAAGTGCCGCTGGATAATAGAATAGCCGCTACATGTGTAGGCATTGTCAGCCAATCCAATAGTAGACATTTCTTTGTATATTGATAGCAACGTCTAGATTTAATCTTCTGTTCTGCTTTATCTATGAGAGCGATATCTGCGTGTCGTAAACTTTTCAACTAGCTTAAGAGCTTCGCTTCCAGTTTTTATTTCATTATATGCATGAATATAGCGCCAGCAACGGTTGTAGTAATGGCGAATTTCTGCAGGTGGTTCATCAGGTGGAGATACCTGATCCAAGCAATCCTCGAGCCTTTTTTCAAGAGCTGTAAACGAGTAATCACACTCCTTTTTCGCACTTCGTTTCCCTGCACCGCAATACCTTTCAATCGTAGCTCATAGTCGCTCATGTTTCGCTCCTTGTCCTTTTTTGAGTTCATTTCAGGTTGGATAATTGGGGTAAGTTTCAAAAATGCTTCTTCGACAGTCAGCACTGGCACAAAGTCCTCCAACACAACCTCTACTTCATCATCCTTATGAAAGAAGGAAGTGATTTCATAATTCCCTTTCTTCTTTTCTGATGCTTTCTCTAGCTAGTAGTATTTGGTGGTTCTGCCGTGTCCCCAATATTTGCCACGGGACTTCGCATCTGCTTTATTGTACCAGATAATAGGAAACTTTTGGCTTGTTGTGGTGGCTGTCGTCGTTGTCGTTGTGGTTTCTGTTGCTTCTTCGAACGCAGTGAGAATCTCAAAGACGTTTGATTCTTGTTCAGTCACATCAGATGAAGTCTGGTTCTCAACAATTGGCGATTCTTCTAGTCTTGCAACTTTTTGAAATCGTCCGTTTTTTGAGCTTTGAAGCTGTTCTAAGGCGCGTTTTTGTTTGTTGGAAATAGCCATTGTTAGGCGTTGTAATGATAGAGCTTAAATAATAAGGAACAAGATCAAGTATCTTTGAGATGATGTTTTATTCAAAGCTTTTTTATATTCAAGCTATTAAGACGGCGATATTAATTTATCCATTTAGTGGATAAACTATGTGATAGAGGATGGATCAAGGATGTATTAGAACTTCTCTTGAAGTCGCTATGTTAATCGGGCACATCTTTGAAACCGGCATTAGCTGGCTGCTGTAATGGCCGAGGTACCTGTTGATAGGTTCATTGTCCTGCTCACGTAAGGTAAATCGTCTGAGTGAGAGGTTTTCTTGTGTGGTATAATGTTTAACTGCATATCTTATTGTTGATATCTTAAGCAGTGTATTAATGTGGTTCACCACAGGTGTATTATTGGGAAAATGGGTGAGTAAGAAGAGCAGTAACGCACTCATATTACTGGATAAGCCAGCTATTTGTGTGTAACCTTGGAACATCTATGGTTACACACTGCCAAAAAAAATTCTTCTCCTTGCCCAAACAACTGTCGAAATCCTCCACCTACTTAGTAATTTTTCATATCCCGACAAAACTTCAAAGGCTATCAGAGCGATGAGAAATGCTTTTCTCAAAAAACAAAAACGTACAATGTGTTAAGAGTACCTTTATAAACATGTTCTACGTCGCAGAATATCGATAACTTCATTTCAGACAGCACTGATAGGATTCCTTTTTTTTCATGTCGGTGATCGAAATTATTCATGGTTTAAGACAGTATGCACTTACCTCAACAGGAATAGGTTCAAATCCTTTGAAGGAGGGCTTAAACCTTCCATCACCATATGCTATAATACAATTGTCTTCCACTCTGAATCCTGCATGTGCGCGGCGCGGTCGGCGAAACCGGCGGCGGTGAGCTTTGCGTTCGCGTTTAGAGGCCTTATTGAAGAAAGGGAGAGGTACCTTGAAGCAACAATATTAGCTTTTGCGACTTATCAAAGAAGTACTCATACACAGAAAGATACTTACATCGTCACGGTGATCCAACCATATCAATCTGTTGGCAAGATTCTCCAATGCGCTTTTGCGCGCAGAAAAAAGAGTGAGTAACGTTTCCCGGTGAAAGAAATGTTTGTTAAATTGTTCATGGACGCTATTTTTTTTCAAAAAAAAAAAACTAGAGTGAATACTCATGCCAAAATGATGATCGCGGTGTTCCAGTATATATCGACATAGCTGAGTAACTTACTGTCTGTGCACGCCACTCAACACTCTGATGTAGTTTCGGAAACCTTCCGAGGTAGGCGCTGAAGCCGGATGTCCTCTCAACGTATCATACACCCCCTGTATCTCCGGGATACTTGATCCGGATGAGCCTGTCGCTCGACATGAGCATAGCGTGCTCGATTTTTGTTTTCCTTTTGGAGCGCCCACTTGAACATGGACTGAAACCTAAAAGAGGGTTATGTACAAAATAAAGTATGTTGGCATCAGATATAGAAAGCGCGGACGCACGCTCATACTCGCTAAAAGTAAATTTACTGCACGCAGTACTCACTGGTATGTTCTGTTATTAAGCTGATACACGTGCTCCGCTCTCGCTTCAGGTGTTTCGAGCGGCTCAAGAGTGTCTACAGCAGTGACCAGAGACCGGATGCCTAAAGTAATATACAAAATATCTACTTAGATAACGTTACATATTTTGAGAATGATTAGATATATACCTGGGTCTATGAACACTGTTCGAAAATTGTGAAGCCGCTCTGCATCAAGACCATCTGGCTCTTTGGAAAGATGATACATTCCTCTTCTCCACTGTGTGACGTCAATTTCACGAGGAAAGCGTTTAATTTGGTTGGAGCTAGAAGGCATATACTCTAACAATAGATTTATGAGATGTCGTCATGACTAAATACATACTTTTAATATTGCATGCTATGAGGGTACTACCAACCTCCACGCCGCGTTGTCACAGGCCTGCGAAAATGGAACACAATGGCGACACCATCCGTTTCGAATGTGTTATTGAAGAGTTTGAGCTCGCGGTCTTCTGGGGGCACAACACCTTGACCTGGGCACATCATATTTATAAATGTATATGAGATAGATGAGTTTAGATATAACTATCAAAAGATACCACTTTGTGACTATTCAAAATGTATACGGAATCTACCTTCGACTTCGTATTGGCAACGTCGCGGCTCTACGTGACCGATATTATATAGCGACTCCCAGAAGCCTTCAAGCAGCTCAGAATCTTGCTGTCTGAAAACATGATATGACAAGCAACGCCCACAACCTGGGACGTTATTTGGTCTCTAGATTTATGCATCGATGGAAACAAGCCAGTAAATAAACAAATAACATCTTTTAATAACTGGAAACACAAGGAGAGTAAAAAACGCATATCATTACCACAATATTATCTGGCACTTGTGCAGGATCTCGCTCGTCCACTTCGCGTACGATGTAATACATAGTTTCAAGGTCGACCGGCATGAATCCAATGCGGTGACTGGCAAGTGGTAGTGGAGTCCACTTGGGACAGAAATGGAAAGGCTGGGCTTCAAGTGACAGCCAGATATAAAAGGATAGCGAATTCACTAGCATTGCAGGGCCAGATATGGACGGTCGCTGTACTATGCGTGCGATATTCACGCCGGCATATGCTTGTTCGAATCGTGCAGTGTGTTGGCTAAAAAAGTTGAAAACAGTAACACCGTCTTAGTTATAACTGTGTGTTTATCTATGTGTTGTATCTATATAATCATCGTAACAGATTAAAAAGAAATTATGTGTAATTTCTTACTTGAAATATTGAAGCACCTCAGTAAAGATTGCTGCTGGAATTCGTTCAATTAAACGCTGAGTCAAATGAATTCTGTGCGTTGTGATCAAATTACAGATTTGTTTTGCTATAAGCAGATCATCATAAAAAATAGCGGTGAGATATTTTTCAACACTCCAGTATTACCAATTTAAGTAGAAAAGAAAATCAATCTTTTGTTTACCCATGCTAGTAGAGTGTATGCAACCGGTTGTGAGTATACAATGATTTCTTTAAGATCCGTTTATCTCACTTTCTTTTTTGACACAGACCTTCTTCTCGTCTTAACCTGGTCCTTCACCCCTTCACGTTGGCTCTCAAAGCACAAATGCAAGAGTAAGTACAATATGGAAAGTGTGAAGTGTACTTTGAGGTTTTGCATGTGGATTTGATATACGAAAGAAGATCTGAATTTCGACGTGTCTAAAGAAGTGTATGTACAGCATACGGCCGCTAATGTTATCCTCCTTTCTTCTCTGCTACTACTGTAGGATTCTGACTTTTCGAAATGGTTGGTTCGGTTTGGTGTTTGCACCCCACCCTTAAGCACAAGCAACAACTGTAAGTACGGTAGGGAGTGAAATGTGAGCATGAGCTGGAGAGAGAAGTCGAGTGTCTGTTGGAGGTGCTGATGCCATGACGTGTCAAGAATAGTTGCATATTAAGAACAGCCTGCTCATGATCTTTCTTCTTTTCTTTCTACTTCAGGTTCCGCTTTATGCTGGCTGGGTTAATTGTGTCCGGCGGACAGGTAACAGATAGTAAGTATAAGCAAAAGGGGACTTGAACATTGGTAGGTGAGTAGGATGGCCTGGGTGCTTGGGATGACGTGCCAAGGGTGTGTAGTGTGCGCAGCAGCGTGACGGGAAAGGGTTCCTGACCATGACGTGTGCAGTATGGCAGTCTCTCTAAAATTTTTCTTTCTCTCCTCCCTTTCTTCTCTTATTCTTTTGTCAGAATTGGTCATGCCCTTCTTGCTTTTCCTCTCTCGGACTCGGACTCAAGGCTCTCTTTCTCCAAGTCAAGGATGTCATAATAGTAAGTATAGCTGTGACTGTGTTTGTCTTTGCGTGTTTGAAAAACCAGGAAGATGTGTGCCGTGACATGTCAAAAAGTGTATGCAGCTGCTCATAGATGTTTTCTTTTTTCTATTAGAGGATGGCTCTGCGGTGATCTGTTTGAATTTGGATTGGCTTAGACCCCATCTCTCTGTCTATAACTTTGCTGTAAAACGACAAAACAAATGTAAGTCAGCTTGGGATGGAGGAGGATGGCCATGCCGTGTCCAAATAAAGATATGTAGCACAGTCGGTGCAGCCTTCTAATGATCTTTTTTTTACAGCTAGAAGAAGCGTCTTTGTCCTGGCTGCGTTTCTCAACTCTGCTCTGGCCGTGTGTTCGGTTCTCCTGTGTCTCATCGTAAAAGTATGAGTAAGTATTGCACGATAGAATCTTATGTGTGTGGTTTGACAGTTTCCCATTAACTGTTCGTCTCTTTTGTTTCTTGGAATGGCGATAGTGCACAGACACATCCATGCTAGTCAAGATTGATGCTCCACTGTCATCCCGCTCCTAGAAGCCGACCTGTCAAGTAGTCCATCGGCTGTGGTCAAGATCTATCCATCCATCTGGACGGTGGCGTGTGCTTTTTGCTTTGACTTGGACCTGAGGAAGTCGTTAAAAGCCTCAAGTTCTCCTTTGCTACATATATTATATCTTTATTGCTTCTTTGTATATTTTATCCCCCTTCCCCTCCTCCCCTTGCTCTGACCCAGGAAGTCGTTAAAAGCGTCTATTGCGTTTCTTAATATTGTTTATCCCCCTCCCCTCCCTTCCACCTTGCACAATCCGTATCGCCTAGTAGCCGCTGTTCCGTATCCATCTTCGGATGTTGCATCGTTTCATGCGAACGGCATACTCTCCACACCTGGCTGCCTTCGGGCGTAAGTCCTGTCTTTCAGACTGTACCCAGGCCACGGGTAAAAAGTGCGCCTGTGGTCCCCATGATTCGAGGAATGCTTTGCGTAAGTGTTTACTTTCTCTCTTTCTCTCTTTCTCTTCTTCTGTCTGGGGTTTCCTTTTTTGTGAGTTACAAAAGCTAACTCATAACTCTTTAGTGTGAAGGAACGCAGTTGGAACGCAAGCCAAAAAAAATTAGTGTGAAAGAACGCAGTTGGAACGCAAGCCAAAAAATCAGCTAGTGGAGGAACGCACTTGGAACGCAAGCCAAATAACTTCTTACCCCATACCTACTTCCTTTCCGGCGGCACACGACTCTGATTTCGGAAAAGAGTGTATCGGATTCTGCATATTAGTTCCGCTTTGCAGCACCCCTTGCCTTGTCATACAAAAACACTAACCAGAATGTAGTATTTCAATTGATGAGTTATAACGATCACACAGATAGCCCCGAAACATATTTAAAACCACATGTATTCTTAATGGGATGGTATATGTCAGTTAGTTTTAAAAAAAATAGGCAAGAAGGTATTATATGGTAGTGGAGGAGATATAAGTAAGATAGATGATATGGTACATGAGCACAAAAATTATCAAAATATTAGGAAGAAAGGGACCAGTCCTTTTTCTACGAATCAGTGATGGGCATACGTTTGCGACCATTTGTAGTCTGGCCCTGTTTTTGTTGTGGTTCGACGTAGGGTATGCCAATTTCGTCGCATCTCGCGAGGGCCAGGCTCAGCCGGACGGCCATTCGATATTCGAAATCGTACTTGTTGCATGAAAGTGCCATTTGCCACAGCTTGCGGCTCTTTTTAATATTACCCAATCCCCAACTTGTTACGCCTGCCTCTATTGGATAGCCAAGAAGCAATGAGTTAATATTTTTTAAAACGAGAGGGTAACCACGTCCTATCTAGTTTGCTTTTTCTATAGACATACCCCAATAAGCAAACGGAACAGCCCATGTTTCGTGTTTAATGTTATCCTTATGATCCATGACCCAGTTGAGATGCGCAATGCCTTCGTTGTATCGACCAAGAGCATTTAGCAAGGAAGCTTTGGTCAACAAGAGCACAGCACGCTGATCGTAGTAATCCGGTGGCGTCGAGTTAGGCACGAGTTCCCGCAGACGGATGGTGTACTCCGATTTTTCACGCTCGTATATCAGCTCCAGAGTTCGGTGCACCAATTCAAGGCACTTTTCCAAAGCCTCGGGCTCCATCTGCTCAAAGGCATTCCAAACAAGCAAGATTTCCAGACCAGGGAGACTGAAATCCATATCTTGATAACCGCTCTTTTGGAAAAACTCGACCTTCTTTTGGACATGGGCGTCGATATATGTTTTCCGGCCTTGTTGCTCTTTGGCCAGTTGAGGTACTTCAGCAAAGGCCAAGATGCATTCTGTTCGCTCACCAAGCATCTCGCGACAAGCGCCGACAAAGTATCGAGAAAATGCCGGAGACCAGTATTTTTCGCGACTCAGCTGCTCAAAGTAGGCAGCCGCACCTGCCCAGTCCAGCTGTAGTGCGAGGTTAAAGCCGATTTCATAGTCTGCCATCTGCTTCATTGCCGTTTCAGCCCATTCTCCGCGACTGGATTCAACAGCAAAGTTGAATGATTGCGTGGATAACGGGATATTGCGTGCAACACGGGCAATACGGGCAGCAAAGAATAGGAAAAAGCAGGAACTTGGATGGCTCTTTTGTGCATCCAAAAGACACTCTATCGCCGGTCCCATAAGCTCTTTGGAGTATATTTGTGGTGCAAACGTAGTAAGAACAGAATAATACGATAGTAACCTACAAAAGGTAAAAGAATGATACTTTAACAGCTGCCCTTCCAAGTTTTTATAACCTTTTAGTTCTGGTGAATGATAGGTCATACGTCAATGAAGCCAGTGGTGATCTGATGCCGCGACCTTCTAAACAAAGCTTCAACAGAGCGAAACCTAGCTGCTTATCACTCTCCCACCCCAAAGTCGAAAAGATCTTGAGGATTTTTGCTGGCATTGAGGACAGTATAAGATGGACAGCGCCGATGCCAAACTGAATTGCCGAAACTGTATCGCGGTCCATAAATTTGGTAAACTCTTGGCCCATCCGCTTGTACTCTTGCCAAACAACGCTATAACTGTTGTAAGCTGCAGATAGGTTAGCTCTTACCGAGCGGAAGGGCCGAGAAAGTCATAAGGGTATTTTACCTCGTCGTAAATTAAGGCCACATTTCAGATAATTCACCATACTCTCCTGAGAGAGTTGGAGAATGCTCATCAGCAAACAGCATTCAGCCTTAATAACATGAGCTCGCAGTATACTGTTTGGCATGAAAATAGGCATTTCTCTTGGTTGTCCCGCACTGTTGGAGCGTGTGATAGGTGCAGGATTGTTTGGGAGTCCTGAAGTGTTGTTGCGGCTAAGCATGGATGAGAAATATTGAGAGACAGCATCTTTCAAGGGCTTCTTGAAGGACGTGTTGTCAATCTGGGCTTTTGCAATCGTGTATGCTGTTGCAAGTGCTGACATGGCAACCTCGACATCGCTCTCTTGATACGTCTAATGGACGAGTTAGTCTTTGCACCTCGGTTTTTCGTTAAAGACACAGCCCGCTCTTATTTACCATCATTGCTATAGACAGATAATGTTGTTAGCTATCTATAATTTGAAAAGCTGTCCCTTGATAATATCTTACCTTTAATGAATGCCATCGCGCCTAATCCCAGAGCATATAAAGGCTCACTACAATGAAAGCGAATAAGTCCCTGTCCAGTTTAATTACATACAATACCTAACCACTTACACATTGGCCTTCGACTGGAATATATTCTTTGCTTTCATAAACTTGTTGTCAAATAGATTCCGCATGCCTTCCCTCACAGGCTCATCTAATTTTCCGCCGTGTAAGTGTCACGCTCACAAAAAAGGCAAGATACATAATCTGAAATTGTACGAACCTGCTTCCTCTTGTTCCCTTGGTGTTAGATAATTAATGGGAATGCTTTTCGGATCGATGGTAGGAATAGATATAACATTGTCGCGGAACATATCCAAATCAATGGGATCCTCAATGGGATGTTCGAACTCGAGGCTGCGTGCAGCACGGTGTTGGTCTTCGGACGTGATGGTGGTATTGTCGACAGCCACCTTAATTTGGTTCTGGGCAGCAATGGTTTCACGGGCGGAATCTTCCATAGCCGGTAGTAAGGTACCCAAGTGGTCATGCTGATCCATCTCCAATTCTTTTCTATCAACGCTGTCACTGAAGCTGGTGTTTCTCGTCGGCTCACTTTTCTCTTCAGAAGACTTGGCGTCAAATACACCACTGTCGGCATGAATGTGATGGTCTAGCACAGGCGATTTTTCGCTGGTATCAACACCACGGCCACCGTCTCCATTACCACGTGCCGCATCAATGTCGACGGTGGGAATTTCAAACCGGCTCTGGAAATTGGTCGCGCCGTTCTCTAGATCCGCAAGAACGTCTGCAACGCGATGATTTTGCTCTTGTTCCTTCTCCGTCAATTTAGACTGCTGACTTGGAATAGCATGACAGTCTTGATCTGATGATCGCCAAGGGTCGATATTTTTAAATTGTGCAAGAGATGGCTTGTTGTTGCTGCTGCTGCTGTTGTCGTTATTGCCGGCGTCGTCATGTAAGCGTTCCTGTTCTTGTGTCGCCGTTGATGGTTGCGCATTGTCTTGTGTCACGGCATTAATGGTGGGCTGGGCCGCTCCAATGGGCTCTTCTGGTTCGTTATTCTTTTCTTGTACATCCTTTGTCTCTGTAGCAGTCTTTGCTGAAGTTGATTTTGCAGTTTCTTCTTCGCTCTTTTCAACACTAATGTCGTTTTTGTCGTTGCTGAGTGCACGGCTTTGCTCATCTTGCTCAGTTTGATTTGCGGGTGGTGCACGGGCTGCTGCTGTTGGTGATGATGATGATGGTAGATTTTCAGCGACTTGCAAGCTTTCTATTTCATCCACTGTAGTACGGTTTTCAGGGTGTTCTTTTTTTCTTGTAGCATCCTCGTCGATATTTTTGCCTAACGCCGAAAGCGCCGTATCCATTTGATCTTTCTCTTTGAATTGCTCATCAAAGGTAGGCACATTGTCGAAATAATCGTCGTGGTCGTCAAACGCGTCCTCAAACACCTCGCTCGCCGAATCCAAGGCAGTAAATGATGAGCGTCGAGAAGTGGCTCGTGGGGTGGATGCACCGTCGTCTTCATCTCTAGTGCTATCCCCATTCTGGCTCTCGAGTGCGATATTACTAGTGGGGGTTCCATTCGATCTGGCTGCAGTCGCAGGCGTAGTCTGAGCACATATGTGCAAGCATTTTATATAAGTATGTGTGTCAGTTTAAAAAGAACGAGAACGGAGTCGGTAACTTCATGTGCTACGTACCTGATTTGTATCCTTTTCTATCGCGTCAACCTTTGGAGGAGCTTCGTCCTTGTTACTACTATTGTTCTTGGGTGATGAAGGTTCAAATTCAGTAGCCAAAGGCGATGCCACTGACTCAGGTTTTTCAATGGAGGCAATCGTATGAGTTGATTTGCGAGATTCCTGCGAATTGACTGATGCTGGTCGGCTGGATGACTTTTGCTTCAAGTTGATTCCTTTCCAAGCTGTTTTCTTTGCGCCAGGAGAGCCGTTCTTGGCGGCATGCGCTTGTGATGAGCCCTTCGCCATTGCTCTTGGCAGGTTCGCTAACTGGAAAAGAGAAGCTGAGTGAAAAGCTGTTGAGTGTGAAGAAAAAAGAGAGGGAACACAGCAAAAGTGTGTGCGTGTGAGAGAGGCGTGTGAGACTCGAGAAAGGGGAGTATGAAAAGAGGAATTAGTTTAGCTCGTGAAGAGGTTGTAGCAGGAAGCACTGCTTACACAAATGCAGGCAAATACAAGCATATACGTATGGCCCCTCTTCTTTCTTTGCTGTTTAAATGGACTCAGCGGACGGCTTCCGCTTATTAACCCTTGCAAGTCGTACTCTCCTTATTTTTTTTCTGATGTATCTTCATGAAACCTTTTTTCATCATACTCAGTGTTAGTTATGTACAAATCAAAGCACCATTTGTTCAATAAGACATTGTTTTTCTGCTGATATTTAATTAAAAGACACACTCTACTTCATCAGAACTCATCTTCATATTTCCATTTAAAGATAGGATATTGAGGTAATGCGTCCAAGAAGCGCTTCATTCTCTGCTGCATTGTATGCCCCTGTCCCTAATTACTGCGAGATTGCATAATAATCATTACTGCTTACTGTTATGGCTCTCGACATCCAGTACGTAGCGCCATTTTTGAAGTTTCTCTTCAAGAAGGATCCACTTCAACATTATCATGGTCATTCTGTCTAAAATGTAATGTATCTCATTATATATATATCCAGCTCTCGCTGTCTCCTATGTTGCCGCCATCAATAGATGCTACGGATGCTTTTCTGCTACTGTTACTATCATGCACTGCGTGCCATGGGTGTTGTATAATCTGGTTCTTGCTTACCGTCAACCTTACCTTCAACTTCTCAATCAAGCCGTACTATGACTCTACAAAAATCACTTAATTTCTTTGATCTAACGCTTCCTTGAACTTTACACACCAAAGATGCTTGTTCATCTTCCATGTGATTTCACCAGGATGTTTAGTATTTATTATAGTTGTAGAGCTAAAGATGATAGCAAAAAAAAATAGAGGCTCGGTACGAAAACTTTGGTTGTTCAAAGGTAGGGAGGTAGAACTTCCACTGAGAGTTTAAAGAGCGAGAGGAAACGGCAAAAGATTAATGTATCCGTCGTTATCAGGCGTTCGCAGCAGCAAGAAAAGTTGAGGTCAAGAGGAGAAGCAAGTAAAAAATGGGCCAAGTAGAGGCGAAGATGACCAACAAGTGGATGTGCGGCTGATGCCAATGCCCAGTATTCCTGCTCGAACTCCAGCAGCAGAAGGCAGCATGTAGCATTGAGACAATCATTGCGCCGCACTTAGATACTAAGATAAGCATTAGCGTATATATCCTGTTGGCATACTTTCTTACAGTTAAAGATATTGCACAGCTTAAAAAAAAACAAATTTATTTGACAACTGTTCATCAGCAGCTAGTGTCAGAGTAAAATCAGCATCATCCATATGTTTCCCGCCTCCAACAAACCTATTCTTTACATACCTTCTTGTCGCTATTTTGACTGTTCGTTGGGAGAAGCCAAGAGTTATGCTACGGCTTTTGAACGTATCTTGTGGTCTGGAGTATGTACAGTCATGCAGCTTGGCATTTATTGAGATAGAGGAATGCTGTGAGTAGCTGCTCATAAAAAATGTGGGGTTGGTAAGTCAGCGCATAGGTAACACAGAGTCGCCGCTTTAATTACTTCGCCAAGGCCGCGTATCTTTCATCTTACCTGTAGTAGACCTTTCGTATAAACACACACACATCATATAAAATGGCCGACCAAGAAAAAAAGACTCCCTTGGAAGAATCCGAACAAAGTCCAGAAGAAATGTCCCCTTTGCAATCAGTAACAAGTCCATTGAGCTCTAATAACTCAAACCAACTTGCAGATAGCGATGCTACTTCGCCCAAAGCACCCACACAGCATCAATCACCACCAACTTCATCACCGTCGCCAGATCAAGCTACTACCACTAGTGGTACTGCTGAACAAACAGCGCATCAGCAGCAGGAACAACCGGAGCAGCAACAGCAACAGCAACAGCCCGGTACCAACGAGCCAGCAATGTCCGAACCTGTTCGCACTCTGAAAGAAGCATTCCCGGAAACCGATGTTGATGTTATTGAAGCGATTCTCGTTAGCCAAAATAACTCGGTCGAGCGGTCGTTCGAAGTTTTGCTGGGTATGTCAGATCCAAATTATAAGCCGGAAGAGACCCCACGGCCGCAACAACAACAACAGCAGCAACAGCAGAGCTTTGAAAACATGCAAGATGATCCCCCAGCTCCAGTCATGCCACCAAGACCCACAGGCGACCAAACAACCACTCAAGCTCCATATGGTTATTGGCAAGGACAGAACAATCAACAGCAGCAGCAGCCCCAGGAACCACGCTCTGTAGAAGATCAAATGCGTATGGATGAAGAATTTGCGAGACAATTGGCGTTACAAGATGAACAAGCTCGTGTACAACAGTACCGTAAATATTGTGAAGGAAAAGGACCAATCGTGGGATTATTGCATCTGACATGATTTTGCTATTGCATTAGGTCAGCAACAACAACGACAACAGCAGCAGGAAGATGACCAACCGCTGTTCAACTTTCAAGGTAAATTTGGAATGGGATACTACATATTTTATTTGAAATACGAAGCTTTAGGATATGAAATGCAATTTCTCGGCACTTATAATGATGGTGATGGTATAGAGGACTTACCGGTCATCAAGGAAAGAGTTATCGAAGCTGGAACTGGTAAGAAATGCATGCCAAGGCCTGATAAGGATCATAACCGCTGAAGCACACAACACATATGTTTATAGCGGCCAAGAAAAAGGTCATGGATCTCTACGCTCAGTTCAAAGCCGGCCGTGCCGCTACCCCTCCTCCTAACCAAGGCTCTTCTATGCCAACGACAAATGCACAGTACAGAGGCTTGCCTAGCGACGAGGGTGACGATTTGCTTGCTGGTGATGTTTCTGCTCTCCGTCTTTCAGACAATGACGTTTATGCGCAAACAAGACCATCCGAAGGACAGCAACAAGGCGGTGTTATACATGTTAATCCACCTCTCAACAGACAGTCCAATCCAAATTTGAATGTGAATGAGCAAATCCGTGCTGACGAAGAACTTGCAAGACGGTTGGCACAAGAGGATCAATTTTGGGAATCGTCAAGAGGTACATATATATATATATATATATATATGCTTTTTGTTGGCACCAAAAACGAACAGTAGCTGACGGATGTTATTTTTTTTTACTAACATGCCGAACCGTAGATAACAATGATAATGCCCCTCAAATGCCTCCACGGAGAACAACGTCACCCGCCATCGCTAGTTCTGAGCTGGAAGGTATTTAGTGGACGATGAAGAATGACATTTAGTGTATTTTTTATTATCATGGTAGCTTACATAGCAATACTAGGTGAAAGCGTGACACTTACTGCTGCACCAGCATCTACCCAAACTCCCACACCAAAGAAACCCGAAGAGCGCGCCGAAGAGAGAAGATCATATGTTATTCAGGACGAAGATGATTCTGATAATGATGACTTGGTTGATGTGGATGCCGATGATTTGCAAAAGAAAGGTATGGATACTGTTAAAATTCAGAGTTGATAAGATGCAAATCATCTGATAGCGACTCCTAATACTTCTTTTTAATTAGAGGATAAGCCTCATGAGAAACCCACCACCTCCCCACATTAAATGATTGAATCTAAAACACCCTCCTTTATATTACTTCTATTTCCCTCACAATCTAACAAATTACTTTTCGCGTAAACAATATCGTCACTACTATACATCCCCTCTTGGCCTTGCTAAGTTTACATAGCATAGTTGTACACCATAGTTTTTAACAACTCGATCTCTTACACACTTCACTTATGGATAGTCTTTCTTTGAAGTGGTTTGCTCTAATCACTGAATATATACTTTTGTTTACAGGCACACAATGGTGAAAGGAGTGGGGATGTTATATGTACAAGGAAAAAATTACCCTCTAAGCAGATATATTCTGTAAGCAGTTATCTGTTATCACTGCTTAACCAAAGAAACGCTTCCACATACTCGAAAGCGGTCCGCCAGAAGGATATTGACTTTGATCAGAAGGTGGTGATGATAATAATGTTGTCGAGGGATAGTCAATGCTTGAGAGGCGAGAAAAAATACCACTGTTTTTACTTCCATCTGTCTCCTTTGATTCCTCCATGGATCCATCCGGATATTTGATTCTCTTTATGGTTTCAGTGATCCCGTTTTGTGTACGAGTCATATAGGTTTCTTCGGTACCATCTGCCTTGACAACTCGGCGCTGAGAAGATGATGAAAAAGACCACTACAAATGACAGGATGATATTGATCATTAAAAATACATCTATCATGATTCCCTTAAATCTTGCATACTATTACTGTACTACTTACACTGCTGTTTTGGGGAGAGGTTGAATCCTCGACCACTTGCCGTGGCTGCGCAAGTATCTCAGGGTCCTCCATTGAATTGAAAAGACGATCGTTCGATGGTAGCATCAAATCCAACAAAGTACCAGTACCACTGTCTCCTGGTGCAGCTTGTCCACTAGGATTGCCAAACATGAATTGCAAAATGTTGGTCATGGGTGGAGGGCCCATATGATGTTGGTTTTGTTGATTGTGGAGTTCTGGATCTTGTACTATTACTGATGCCGATCGCGGGGCGTTTTCTTGCTGCTGTTCATCGTCAATAACGCTGTTGTTCTCATTTGATGGAAGTGTTCCACGACTTTGGCGAGATTTGCTGGAAAGTTTTCTGAAATCGCTTCCATCGCCAAGCATTCCCGGTGGTTGAACGCCGTTGCTGTTAGTCTCAAAGGTAGTTACTGTCGGTCCATTCTGTTCGGGACCCAAAAGAGTATGAAAGAGCATGTTGAAAGTTCCTTGAACCATGCTGTTCATTGCTTGTTCAATCATTTCAAGCTCTGACTGTGGAAAATCCGGGTCATTTTGACGTGGCATATTGAGGTATGTGGCAGCTTGTATAGAAACAAAAAGAAACAAAAATATCCTTGTTGCTGGTCTTATTAAACAAAGTCAGACTGTAACCTCCGACAGCATTAATGCAATTGTCATGTTCCATACATACGATATTAGTCTATTGCAATGTAGAGAAAAACTAAAAAAAACTGACACTTCTATTGAATGCTCATCTTGATAATTATCTACTAGTGTAGCATGTGCCTGGCTCTACTGCGAGAGGTTGGATTACTCGAGACGAAAGAATGGTCCTTGAGCAGCTGACTTTTGAAAAAAAAAATAGGGAAATGCTATGGGCAGGCATAACTTTGGGACACGACGTTTTGTTAATGAACTACTTACTACCTTAGTACAGTTTGCCGTGCGATGCTCAAGCTTTTGGTGGCAGCATACATGTTGATCATTGTACTACTATTTTAGAATGACGATCAAGCTGGCGACAGTATCGTAAGCGAGATAGTCTCACGTTTAGCATAGTATGATCGAATTTGCGCAGATATTTCAAGATTTGCTTATTTTGATCTAATATATAGTATCGCTTGACGATTGCCTAAGCCAGACTCGACCGACGCAGTCGTGAGCCAAGCACAATTGCAGCCATTCAGGCTCCCGCAGCAGCAATTTTTAAGAACTCATGCATAACATACAAATGCAGAACTGCGGCACTGTCATACTTCGCATCGGTTCATTCAAGTTCTCACTGTCATCAGTTCCATATCAGGTTTCAACAATGCCTGCGCAAGGGCTTTTCGCATTTAGGACAGTACACAAAATTAATTTACAAGTGATAGCAATCAAACAAGGTCAATCAACTACAGTGCGAGAAAGGGGACTTGACATTTTTTAGTAGGTGGATCAGCTAGTGCTCTCTATGATAATTGAAAAATAGGCTAGCCAAAAGAAAAGCATCATCCCAATCAGTTACAGTAGCAGCTACAATATCACCCTTAGTCCTGATACAAAATCACGATGATATTTTTCTACTTTAGATGTGAACGAAAACATTATCATTTTGATCTCCAAAAACATATTAGTAATAATAACAATAAAGTATGATAAAATTATACAAAGGATATAGATATATTTAAATGACGATGACAAGTACTAGCAAAATGATCAGGACGATAATTAGACAGCAAATGCAATAACCTGACTTGGATTCTACGTAATTAATGTTATGTTAGAGTACAATTCTTTTAGAAACAAAGCCAAGACAACACGAGCCAAGAAATCTATACCTTCTTCTTGTTTTAATATAGTCTTGACTCTACTCATTGCCCTCTGTAACCGTCCTTGAGAGCGATCCACATGGTCACCAAGATCATCTAGTATCCTAGTAACAGCGAGAAATCACAGTTGGATGCCAGTCAAAGGTGGTCGAGCGTATGTTAAAAAAAACCTACATGGCTTGATCATCAAACTCATGATTCATAGTACCAGCTATTTCTTTGAGATTGACCAGTGTCCCTGACATGCCATCCAAGTGTGTGTCTTGCTCGTTCATCATCATCTATGTATTTTGACGTGAATAAAAACGTTATCTTGGCGCTCTTTCTTTTTCTGGTTAATTGAAGGAATGGATACCATTTGTTGCTGACGTTCGTCCTCGATAAATTGATCATTGTCTTCTTCTCTGACACTTCGATAAGAGCTTGAGCCCTCTCCTTCGGAAGGAGAACCCTGATCGCACACAACATTTCATTAAACAAAATATTCTTGCAGACACACATATCCGATGCCACTTTACTAACTTATTCATTCATTGTATCATCTTACTTTGCCTGCCCATCGTTTCTTTGCTGGTGGATTAGCCATGGTATTTCGTATATTTTGTATCATGTTTCGTGATTCTGTCAAAAACGAGCGTCGAGAGTTCAAATCAGAAGTGTTCAGGTTAAATTTGCCAGGGTTGGCTTGCGATACTGCAAAGGCTTCGTCTAAATCGTCGAGATCCTGTTCGATCGCTTCGAGGCACGAATTGAGCTCATCGGCTGTCCACAAGAGCTCTTGATTTTTGGGAGAAGATACTGTTTGCTGAATGCGTTTCCAAGAATCGAACAAGGTCGATGCGTTATTCAAGGCTTCTTCCACCTGGCTAGAAATTTTACATTGTCATCACTTAAGTTTGTGCACCCATCTTGGCGAAGCCAATTTGTCTGCTATACAAAATTCCTTTCCTCTGGTATACTTACTGCTTGACAACGAGAAACGGATCGTCTTCCATAATCTGTTAAGTTGAAAATGTGAACTGCCGTATGGTTTAGTAGACTAATTTTACAGTGAATGTCTTTTAGTTATTAGAATTACCAATAGTGTGCAGACAAAGCTTAGGTTAAAGCAGCAACATCCATGCGGAGTAATTCAAAGTTTTGCTTGTGCCGGAAATGCATACAATGCGACCTCGGAATGCATAATGGCACTCGGTTCCGAGCCACCATCACAACTCTTCCATAAACGCTCGACTTTAAAAATGAAGGTGAGCATGTGCGATTTCTGATAGCATTTCATATACTGAACCAACTGTTTGTTGCTGTTGCTATCATTACTTTATACTGCATATTTTCCTTGTAAGCTCATTCTGTTCAGAAAGAAAATTACACGGTTTGCGGTTAGCATCCAAAAAATCAAGCAGGGTATTTTTCAGAGTGATGATCACAGATGTAATCCATTACTATGACGACGGGCTAAACTTTCATGCAAGCATTAGCAGCAAATTAGTAAAAGAAAATTGATATCTTCAACGATGGCTAATGTATAGGCAGTCTAAAATAATTGCGAGCTATTCAATTCATGGCGAGAAAAAAAAAAGTTAAACAATTTTCACATCAAAGCATCTTCTGTGGTCTTTCAACGATGGCTTATGCGATGCGATACCTATTCACCCGAACTTTATCAGAAAGGGAGGAAAAGATTGTTTGTGATAGCACTTCTTGACGGCTACTACACAGATTCACATGATATCTGTAATGATCGTTCAGTAGCTTAATATTTAAATATTTTTGATCCGTAATCTTTAATTTTGGAAACGCGGAGCTACCGAAGACTGCATTGATTCAATCTTCTTCTATTGACAGCATCGTTTTTTTTTGTTTTTAATGCTATAAACAGCATCTTTGTATATCGATAGGCACAGCTGTAGAAATAATAATTGATCTCGAGTTGCTGTTTAGCTAATTTGGTAGTATGGTAAATATAGTTACAGGGCTGTTTTCATGTGAAAGAAGCATAAGCAGCCCCTTTGTCAAACTGCATAAGCATGGCAACAACATCAATAAATTTACTGAATAATAATGTTAATCTCAGGCCTTTGCTCCTGTCTTGTGTACATAAAACTACATGAACGACTACGACGAAATGTTCTAGCAGCAAAAGAATTACTTATATTAAGCATCACGTTGTAAAGTAAATATGTCACATAGAGCTGTTGTGATTATGTACTGTAATCATTTCAGCGTCAGATCCCAAGGTAGGAGGTAGTTCTAGAATGATCATCCAGGAAACAGCCATCATTTATCGTAATACCGTTACTGGCTGTAAATGCAGCGGGAAGATTCTGAATGTGCATGTGAAATAACCAACACTGCAATCTGACATTCCGCACATCCAATGATAGCACTAGTATTCATGGGTGTTACAGATAACAATATATCACACTACACGTGGAGATCGTATCTGTCCTCCATATATGCCAATTTATTTGGTTACAATGGCATCACCATTCACAGTAGTACTATGTTCAAACAGAACAGAACAGAAACTCCCACTCTATGATGATAGAACTCACGCGCATTTCATCTAACAATTAACAAACGCCTCGGCGTTCTTCGTTCCTTAAATCCGCGAGTTTGTCGGGAACAAGAATATATACCTTGAAGATCAATAGTAACACAGTAATTCATGCCCAACACAACAGTATCTCAGAAACCAAAAAGAACTCTATGTGCAAGATCAGTCCGCGGATCAACATCACCTACGATAAAAATGAATATTATATTGAGTGACTGTGAACGCTGCGCTCTTTAAAGCATTCTCGCTCTAGTCTCGTCTAAAAGGAAAAGGAAGAAAAAATCCTGTTCGGCGGCAACAGGGAAAAGGGCTAAGGTAACGGGTAGGAACAAGTTGGGGGAGGGGTACTATGGAGGTTTGTCTATAGAGAGGGGTGACCTATACTAATTTATAAGTGGGTAGAGCGATTTGGCTTTCTTTGTTCTTTTTCCATCCAGAGTTAGCGAGTGGAGGATCAAACCACTTTACAAAAGCGCGGCCGGGATCGTCGTCAAGGTACTGTTGCTTATCACTGTCGGGATGCTGGTGGGAGTCGAGTCGGCAAGGATGGTGCAAACGGTTGACCAAATTTGTTGCAAGTAGTGTGGTGTGCAGAGGTGGGTTTGCGTTGCGAAATCTGGTTCAAGATGTACGAGAGCGGGTCGAGCGCTTGTTGTGGCGAGAAGTTAAGTCTTGATTGCATGCGTAGGCATTGGATGGAGTGTTGTTTGTTAAAAAGCTCGGGTGGTTGCAGTCTTGCATATTTTGCGACGCCCACCAGACAGCCATTATAGTCGCCAGCGGACACATCTGCTTCGCTCTAAGGAGGACATCGGAAGCCAAAGGATTGGGTCAACACCAAGTGCTGGTCTACATGCGGTAAGGGCAATCGCACCTGTGGGTACATTGCGAGCTAGTGATGGGTTGTCTCGAAGGTGCTGCCGGATAATGGCTTTAAGGGCTGCAAGGCTGATAATTTCTTGTACTGTATTACTGGCATCATTTGCCAAATGGGGGTGTTGCAGAGTTTGTTCCAATGACTGCTCGTTTGATTGGTAATGGAGGGCAAAAGTGTAGTAATGAGAGCATCCTTGGGCAATAGCTGTGCACGGCACAGAAATTTTATTTGTAAGATAGTGGTGCGTTCGCGCATGTTGGATAAGTTTGCAATATTTCGCAGTACTTTAGTGTCTGAGTAATCGTGAGCACCGTAGATCATACGAAGGCATTTGTTTTGGGCTGTGTCAATTACGTTCAACTGTGCACTTGTGATAGAAGTGATCGCTAGACCGTGTTCGAATTTGGGTCGTATAAATTGAGCAAGGCGGCTTGACAAGAGTCGTGATATTCCAGAGGTGCTGATGCCGATGCTTGTTCAAGATACGCATGCTTTTGATCGCTGCGGTGCTGTTGCGGGCAATCAGTAGCTTGCCATCCAGGTGGCCTTCATGATTGATTGGTACGCCTAGGAATGAAAATGGGGTGGCTGTGGGGATGGTGGTATTGTAGAGTTGAAAGGTATGAATTCATCGGGAGTTTTAAACAATGACACATTTGCTTGGTTTATATCTGTAACCAAGGTGGAAGCGGCTGTCTCGTATGTGTTGCATGGATGTTGTGGTGTCAATTAGTACAACATCATCTCATCAGCGTATAAAAGGCAGCGTATATGAGTCGAAATGGGTGTTGGAAGTAGTGGTGGTCGGAAGTCTTTAGTGAGTTCCATTGTGGTGTTTGATCCTCCAGTCCTGATAATCTTTGACAATCCATTGATATATAGGAAGTACAAAAATGGTAACAAAATGGAGCCTTGAAGGACTCTAGTGGTTGGTGAGAACCGGTGAGACACATCGTTGGATATCGCCGCTACGTTTACCTTCCTCCGTATTCTCCTGAACTGGATCCAATTAAGCAGTTCTGGTCGGTTGTCAAAAGTAAGTTTAAGCGAAATACGTTCCTGGGAAAAAGAATCGCTCATGACTAGAATTAGTGAAGCATGTGATAGCTTGTATTCAGGTGATTTCAAAGGCTTTGTTTCTGATTCTACTAAATGATGTTTTGGTGAGTGTCTCGACAAAGAAAGATTATAGAGTCCCAGTATAAACGAAATAAAAAGAAGAAGGAGGAATTAAGAGGAATAGAGGCATAAGTGGTAAATGTGGTTTCTCGGAAAAAATGGAACCTATGCCAACATTATCATGATTCTGAGAACATTCAACTTCCTGTGCCACCACGAATAATCTAGCCTTGTTATAACCTTCCCCCTTGTTTTATTGTCACTGGCGATAAAGAAAAGGCAGAAGTCGTTAAGCTTGCCTGCCCTTGTTGTATTGAATTGTTGGACAGCAGCACGTTTAAACTTGGCGAACATGTTGCATCTCATCTTTCGAAGAAGGAAAAGGCCAGTACTTCTCTTGAAGAAAGGTAAACTTGACTCATCACGTTTTGAGGAAAGAAGAGCTAGGCTAAGAAGGATATATGAGCCAACTCCCTTTTTCATTTTAAATGGAAGAAGGTCAATTTAGCAACAGCAAGGAATTGGACGGAGAAGGTTACGACTATGAAATGAATGTTCAAACCAAATCCTGTAATATTTCTGGGATAGATTATAAATTGTGTGACATATTAAGAATTAAGATTAAATTTTTATTTAAATATAAAAATAAAGAGGATTCAATAGATATATAATATCCATCTCATCATGTCTGTTTATTAATAAAATATGTATTTTGAAATAAGCTTTTTGAAAAATAAAAAGATCACATTTATGTAATAAAAACAGATAACAATATATAGAGGTAATCGAATTAGCATTTTTTAAGTTTTTTAAAGAATACAAAAAGAACATTTCTATGTTTCACCATATATATCTACTAATGTTTCTTTGAAGTTCAAACATTTTATAAGGTTTAGTGCTTAGGAATCAATTTGAAACAAAATAAAGTTTTGACGGTTATAAGGCGAACGCACCATACTTTTATTTTCGCCGTTGTGAGGAGAAGCTACGGCATACATATAAGTTACATTTTCTGATACAGATACTACTATCTAGCGAGAGCTATACACATCACAACCGTTAGTTGCATGGCAAATGCGAGATTGACAGAATAAAACTTAACACAATGTACATATACTATGTATATCGCAGGACTATGCTGTTATAATGATACAAATATATCATTTAGGCACACCTCATGTATTAAAATATATGTAATCTCATCACACATCCCAACTTACTCTTTTTGCCATCTCTCCTGCCCTTAATTATTATGTAAGCATCCCAGTGGTCTTGGCTGAATCCCTCTATCCATTTGATGGAGCATGTGAAGGTTCCGAATGCCACGTTACACTGATTCCTTTATTCCGCAAGTACGTATGTATATCTTGATCTGGTATGATGGGAATTCGGCGCGCTCATGTAATCTATTAGTGAACAACCTCTCTACGTAGCAGATGCTCTTGTTTGCATGTCACTTTTGATTTGATGTACGATTTGATTGAACGCATAAAATTTATTGCACAAAGTAATTCGAATAATAAATGTTTCTATACACTAGTAGATATACATACCACTGCTAGGAAATATTATGTCCTCATCTCCAGTCCTACAAATGTTAGTCAGTTCTTATCTGCGGTAATGATAGCCCCTTGTTCTTTTTTTTTCTTTTTTATAAACTTTTAAAATCTTTCAGTTTCGGTTTTCTTCCATATCTTCATTTTGTGAGGCGTGACATGTTTTAAGTTGCTTTGGCGCATTGGGTTGGTGCATTATGGTAGGATTCATGCACCGCTCGTTCCTGAGATGATATTGCCTTCGATCCGACTACATTTGTTTCTTGCGTTGTAATAGTGACTCTTGATGATTGTGAGTTCGAAATTTGATTTAGCTTTCGTTTAGACTAAATATATAGATGTGTTTTAATATTGGCTATTGATGATCTCGTCGTAAAGATTAAACACGGCATCATCTTTGCTTCTACTTACCGTTGGTTTCTTTGATGATTACATTGGTATTCAGTTTGATATCGAATGTTGTTTTTTTCTTTTACTTTTGAATGTAACGCTTTTTTAAATTCTTGATTGGATGTTCGTCTTGTATTACTTGCGCAATTGCGTCATTTTTGTAAGATGAATTGTGTTGCAGTAGTGTCGATGCCGATTTATAATGTAATGTTGATATACATCTCGTCGTAACCTTGCTTCAAAGTACTGCTACTGTAGGCTTTTGATGTAGTACTGAAGTGTCTCGCACCATAGATAGTGTTTCTTTGTTTTGGCAATGGTATGGTTCGTTGCATGGATTCCGCCTCAGTTTCCGATCTTGTGCCATTTGTTGCTTGTATTTTTTTCTTTTCTTTTTTTTGTCTTTTTTTTTGCTTTTTCTTTTTCTTTTTTCTTTTTTTTTATCTGTCATGTTTGTGGGAGCTATCATTACCTAGACATTAACTTACCAGTCATTTGTCGGAGGAGACTTGTACGGGACTTCCGGGAAGCAGGGCTTCGTTGTAAGAAAGTTTTCGTAGATAGTTTACTACACTGTAATTAAGTGAAATTTTACTTAGTTATGATTCGAATGTAACAATTACATTTCTTTAGACTGCTTCTTACCATAATACAGATACTACGATCTGTTTGCTACGCTTGGCGTTATCTCGATTCCACTGCAATTTCGATGTGGATAGCCACTGTCTACAGCTCTGGGGACAAGTTTTTCTTGTTATTGTCGAATAGTGAACGGCGAGTAGCAAGTATCGTATCTCGCTATCTCCTCTGTGCTATCCTTTGGCATGCCGTGAGAGCGTATGTGTATGCCTATATTCAAGGTACCGTCGCATAGTAACGTGTGCAACCGTCCTAACCAAGAGAGAATTTGTTAAGTACGCATGATCCAAGTGTTGTTGATTGCTTCATAATTTTCATATTTAGGCTTGATATCACATATTCACCTGTAAGGACTCTCATCAATAACTTATTGCGGCTAGTGCAAGCTAATCTTCCGCCATGAAAATTGTCTCAGCACCAAGAGCATTCGCTGCAGATTCGTTTGAGCAGTTGAACTTGTCGTCCTTGATGGTTCTTGCCGCCATTGGAATGACGCTCCATTTTGAGTTGAAAGTTGTCGCGTCACACCTTTGCTGTCCCAAGAAGAAGAGATTGATATGGGTACCGTCGCCTTGCTAATTTAACATTGTCCAATCGAATAGCCAGGTGTGCTTGCTGCATTTTCGGAACTGCCTCCTTCAATAGTTCATTGCTCTCGCATCTTTAGTCACTTAAGAGGCCATCGCTCCATGATTTCGCCTTATGCCTACGCGTGAAGGTGAATATGCCCCAGACAAATGAATGTATGCGAAATTGGATTTGTAGTATCTGCGAGACGTCGTCAAGGTTTGTTTTTGCTGCCCCTTGTTATGTTGTTGCCAAGCCCGCATTTTTGTGTCAATCGCGCCCTGTTGTCGCTCGTAGTTGCTGCGGGCCGATTCCGTCCATGTGTGCGATCTGAAATTTGTTGCCCATTGCATCTTGTTGCCACTTGTTTTTTTTTGCCATCACAATAAAATAGTTGATGATTGATTGTGGGCTGAAATTGTCGCTTAGTTTCTTGTCACCGCAACGTAATAACGGATAGACCGAGTTACCGTAGTGGCGATTTGTGTATTCCATGTACTCGACCAGTCGAATGTGCTGCTCCGCATCATGCACCGCTGCAAATGTTGTCAAATGAGCTGTATGTCGTCCTAGTTTCTTGCCGCTCTTGCGCTTGTGTTTAATTATTATCACGTTCAAGTCGTATATGGAGATAATAAATCAGCTCCCTTCGTTGATTAAAAGCTGTTCCCTTGATTCTTTGCTTTTTTTTGTCCCCAGAAGCAGCGATACGTAGAAGTAGTCGTCTTGTTGAATGATGTTGATTCGTCGGACAAACCGTCTTGTGTGCTGTCGCCAAACGTCGATGATGTGCCCTTTTGTACTCCATTGCCACCATTTGAAGTTACCACCTTTGTTGATTGAGCGTTGTTGTTGTTGCGACAAGCCCCTGTTGCTTTGTTGCCATGAGCAGACAGTAGATCCGGTTTTTTTTTGCCATCTCATTGATTTGATGCTGATATGGTCCAATAGTTGTGGTGTGCCCAGCTTTGTTGCCATCATATCGGAAATTGACATTGCTGACATTGCTTATTTGTTGGGTTAAGGTTGTCTCGCACAAGTCCTTGAAAAGCTTGAGATTTATGCCGCATATAAATAATCCGCGAAAAGGTCATGTCGCCTGTGTTTGCCACCGATATAATGTTCACCTCGAATGAGTCATGCCAAAGTAGCCTGTTCGCTAGGCCTTGCAGCTGCTTCGTCTATGCACTTGTTGTATGCATATGCTGTAATCTTCGTGATCTGTTTGAGTAATACAGATATCCGCATCAGTTTGCCGCCATAGCGCCGCCAACAGACAATAGATTTGCTGCTTTACCTGGAATTTCTCAATCCATGTTTCATTGAGTATCGCGTGTTCTTGTTTGTAAGCCAATTTGGAAGAGCGCCCGTTTGTCGTCGCCATTACCGTGATAGTCTGTTGTCAAGAGACTGATCAAGCCAAAGACGGGATTCTCGCAAGTCCCGGAGTTTTTTACTCGGCTAGCTGGAAATATGACGCCACCTGTAGCAGCATAACCATCATGAATCATCCACCAAGACCACACGAGACGACGTGATCAAGCCAAAGACGGGATTCGCACAACACCCCGAATTTTTACTCGGCTAGCCTGGAAAGCTGACGCTCTCCATCGCGGCGTACCACCCACACCGCTGGCCGAACACCCCAACCCGGACACCCCAGCTTCACGGAATCCGGAGGCAAAGGTGGAGGCTGAGGCTGGACTAACATGGCTGTGACACTGACTACAGCCGGTGGAGGATCCAGGATATGGAAAGGGCGAGGACAACTCCGGTTGAGCCTTCGGTGGCAGGGATTGGGTGAGCAACATTGCCCTGGTTGCCAGGGCTTACGCAGGAACACCATCTTCATGAGCTGGAACTGACTGGGATGACAACCTTGGGAGAGGAATAAATTCCTAATATTGGGCCCCTCTTCGCCTTCTTCACACCACATCCGTGTTGAATGCGATAAGAAGAAGGGAAGAAGGAAAGGAAAGAGGGTATATCAGTTAGTAAGCCTCTTCTTATAAAAATGGCCGTAAGCATAGTACGTACCGTAATCATACAAGCATGACACCTTGGGTTGTCATTTGCTGTCAAGAACCGCCGCTGTACATGTGTCTCGATGGTGGATTCCTGCTGCCTACACAACCAAAGCGTTGCTCACCTCCCCACCACCGGCTCAACCGGAGTTGTCCCCATGTGCCCCCTCCAACCCCTTCACCCCCGGTGGCTGCAGCCAGTGTCGGCGCCAATGCCAACCCCAACCGCCTTTACCTCAAGAAACCATCCACTGAGATGTCCGGGCCGCACCCCATCGCCTGACGAAGGCGGCGACCGCCAGACACACCAAAGCACCGTGGCCGAGACGACCACCAAAGCCGAGAACCAGACATACGCTCTACTGGATATGAAATTTAACCATGAGCATTTCATCCAAACTAGGAAGCTTCCACAAATACATGATACGTTACCTTCACCAAGAGCCCTAGGACGCGCCCAAAACGACAGGCACACACAAGAAACGATCGCCCAACAACCATGAGCCCAAACCCACCAGGCAGAAAAAGAAACGATGACCGAACAAGGTCACTACGCAGCACGAAACAGAACAGCAAACGACGACATGGTAGAACAGAAGGCATAGATGGCATAGACGGCATAGACGGGCATAGGAGGCATAGACGGGCATAAATGGCGGGATGACAGGAAAATGACGGCACAGACGCGGAAAAAAAGAAGACGACAACACCAGGGGAGAGGACAACAAGGAACGGAATGGGCTTAAACGCCTGTTTAAAGAAGCATTTCTATTAGTATCTAACTTATAGCACGTAACCTATTTCAGACAGTAAAAATTGACATTTTGGCTGTTACTTACCCTCGTACAAGCCGCGAAGATCGCTGTCCTGATGGACAAGCGCGAACAGCTGGCTTAACACCTCTTGAGAATCCTCCAGCGCAAGGATCTCCAGCAACTGCGCGTCGTACTTGGAGATGTTTGCGATATCAACCACCAACAACTCTATGAGTTCCTCTGCGTCGGTCTGTGGTGGTGGTGGTGCGGAAGTGGTAGTGGCGGCAGGAGGCGAGAAAGAAGACGAAGCAATGTTGTCGCGAGCAACAGGCGCAGCGGAAGACGAAATTGGCGGCATTAGAGGTGGAGGAGCAGGCGGAGCAAAAGTGAAGTCGAAGGACGCGGATGAAACTGTGGCGGTGGTGGTGGTGACAGGAGGCGGAAGCAAGAAAACGAACGGAGTTGGTGGTGCGAAAGAAAAGGTGAATGGCATTGTAGCCGGGACAGTAGCGGTGGCGGTGGTGATGTTGTTGTTGTTGTTGTTGTTGTTGTTGCTGGCAGCGGACGGAGCAGAAGAGACGACGGCGACAGGAGACAAAGCGGGAGAGAAGACAGGCGACAGCATTTCCACGTCAGGGGACGGAGCAGAAGAGACGACGACGACAGCAGACAAAGCGGGAGAGGAGACAGGCGACAGCATTTCCACATCGACGGACAAGCTGCGGTGACGGGTGCGATGGCGAGGGTGGCGCCGAGGAGCAAGGAACGACGGCGGAATAGGAGGTTGGCGAAGGTGGTGATGGCGGTGACGAGGGTTGCCGCAAACAGAGCGCGCAACGGGAACGAAAGGCACAAAGGCCAGCACAGCGGCATCTTGGTAGCACGCTGGCTCTTCGACATGATCAACCTCCGAAGGAACCACAGCTGCGGAATCACCCACTGCTGGCAGAGTCGACAGATACTCAAATACCTGAGGCTCGGAGGGTTCGAATGAAGCCTCGGGAGGCAACATCTCCACATCCTCGTCAATAAAGGGAGCCTCGTCAACAACTGCTGAAGAGAGCGAATCGTCAAAGTCAGGAAAGGAGGAGCTCGCTTCCGCCGACACAGCAGACAAGGACATATCAACCGCTTTTGGCGAAGAAGGCAAGACATGACGGTCGGCTACTGGGCTCGAGGGCCGCGAAGCACACAACGCGTCAAGCTGCACAACTTGCACTGCAGGACTTCCACTATCTGCTGGAGTTGCTGTGTCCAGCTCAGGGCAGGCATCACCCGTTTCTTCACCCTGGGCAACCTCAACCGCAACAAGCAAATTGTACTCTTCTGCACGCTTTTGCCGGTAAGCACGCTCCTCGCGAAGGCGCTCCAGCCATTGCTGCTGATAGAGTTGCAGGTTGCGCGGAGAGAAAGGATCGTTCGGGTCACTTGCAGTCGTGCACGACGAGCTACCGCCATGCACAGTCGCAATGCGGGGAGTCACGGTGTCCACAGAAGACATTCCAAACGAATGCGCAACTGCAGGCACTGGTCTCTCCATTCCACGAACAGAGCTTTGGAGCACAGCAGGCTCTTGAGCAACTACTTCTTCAAGGTCCGTAAAGGGACTAGTCGGCAGGAAACTGGACAAAGCATTGGTCAACGAAAGCACCAATGACCGCAGGACAAACGACAGCAACTTGGTCAATAAATGCACCAATGGCCGCAAAACAAACCACAACGACTTGGTCAACCACGACGGTGGTGACGGCAACGAATCATAAAACGCTTTTGCAAAGACAGCAAGAAGCACGAGTAAAACCAGTATGGCAATATACTTAGCCAAGAGCAGTAACAGCATGATGGGAACCATGAGTACGCCGAGGAAGACGCAGAGAAATTCAAGCAAGAACATGACTTTGAGATGTCAGAAGAAACGATAAGGCTTTGGTAAAGAAGAAAAGAGGCGAAGTCGCGTAGCCCAGCTGGCCTTTAAGCCCAGAAATTGGGAGCCCGCTCGCTCTATAACTTTTTTTCGTAATCTGCCCCTTCCTGTCAGAAAGTTTGCTATGGGAACAGTATCCATCGTTTATTACCATGGCGGTTCCTTTATTCAAAAAATAAGCTGTTTGAAAGAAAAAAAAGTGGCTGCAAGTAAGCTGATTTGAGTAACGGTTGGACATAGTTCAATTTCCCAAACTTTTATTAATACGTAACAAAAGTATATACCGTGGCAGCAGCAATTCTCTATGATATCTTATAATTAATGGACACATCGTGACGCTGCTAAGATTCGTCTTTATCTCAGCATTAAAAGAAAGCAAGTTGTAATTGCATACTCAAGAAGTCGAGGTCTATCTTTTGCGGAAACAGTAGATTGTAATCTATACAACCATGTAGGCATATGTTTTCATTTTTGTCAAAAACAACATGTCCCTGTCTATAGTCTATGAATAAGTTTGGCACTACACATATACACCACGGTGAAAAGGATTGTGGAAAAATATTATTCTGTCTGAAGTTTTCTTGTGTGAAGTCGGGTGAAAATGGCAATTCATATATTTTTCACAAAAAAAAATAACAACTGTTAACATTGAATAACAAGTAGTAGTTACAATAATTCACAGAAAAAAAAAGCATCAATTAGTTATAATATATATATCTAGTAAGCAAGAACAGGGAACTCCAATTTTTTTTAAAACGATTTCCACTACTATTAATTGTTTATTTGCTATATACAGCGATACTTCATTGTGGTCCATTGTTACAGCTATGGTTCCTATGCTCCTGTAGCTCCTGATACTGCTATTGTTCTGTTATTCCTTATTTTTTTGGGGGTCGTCCTCGTCTCTTGGCAGGTTTCTGCTGGGTGTTTTGGTCAGTTAGTTACGATGTTAGTGCTGTGGATCTTGCTCGTGCTGCATTGCGACGCTGCGGTCAGTGTTGCTAGCAGAAGGAATCACTTGCTGAGGGGAACTTGTTCATAAAGATGTGTCAGACGGACTATTAGCTTGCTGTATAACGTTATCTGATGTGATGACCGAGTCCACAGGTGTAAGAAAAGCACAAGCACTTGTTCGCAGCTCCAATGTTCCAACATATCCAGCTCCCTGCTGATTAATTGCCTGTGCCGCTCGAGAAGTTAGATATGATTGTTCGCTGGAGGAAGGAGATGGTGATAAAGTCCTGCGGTATGCTGAGGTTTCTTGTCGTGCATCGATGAGTGGTGCAGTGAGGGCAATATCACCTTTGGGCGAAACATGATAATGGAGAATATTGCTTACATGCGACGAACGCTCGCCACTGATACTAACATAAGAAACAAACGCTGTAAGTACGTATAATACCATATTCCCTTTTTCATCCATCACAAAAAGCCCATATCGTCCTTCTTGGTTTGGAGAAGGTAGAGATGGTGTCAATCTAAATATGCAAGAAAAAAAAATTATATAACACAACATCATTGCTTGTCCTTCCTTAGTATACCTTGGATTTTGCAATGTCTCATGTATATCAGGAAAGTTTACTTAAATATTATCGAGTACTGACTGGTGAGAATTCGTAATATCACTACAGACGAAGAGCTGTTATCAGAGAACACCATCAAATTGGTTACTCGCAAATACACATAACCGTACCTTGAAGGGTGAGCATGGTTGTTTCCAGTATCTACACGTGGATCTGACTGTTGTCTTGCATTCGAGCAATTCTCTTGCGGCTGCTGTTGTTCATGGCCACCTTCCTTCACAAAAAGCAGGGTAGAGGAAGAAAGTTCTGATTGATATGACGGAGGTTCTTGACCTACAGACCGACTCCTATAATCATCTGGTGATGGTATTTTTTCATTGTACGTGTTTTGATAGAGAAGTAAAGAGATCATAATCATAACTATAAGTAGCTATGTACCTGTTTCTGTACCCGCGTTTGTTATTCCAAAATGAGTTCATGACAAATGATGCGGCCCAGTTGGCTTCGCACCGATCAAAGTGAATTGAAGTTGATCGCATGGTCGATTGCTTGGCAAGCAGTATTTCGTCTTTTTTATGTACCTTTGGCAAGAACCCCAAGTGCTGGCATAGGGCTCATTCAATGGGAGCATTATCCACATGGCAAGATAGTGTCCCTTCATTTCTGGTTACTTATTCATTTCGTCAAGAGTAACCTTTAGAAAGCTCAAATAATGCCCTGTTACTGTATACTGTTCCTGTGCTTTGGAACTCTCAAACTAACATTAATCAAGCCAGTGGCAGATATGGCACCTAAAATCGATGTTGCGTTCGCCTTTGATGTGGGTACTGTAGCAACTGGAGGAGCTCCCTTCTTTGACCAGGCCATTCCTCGCTTCGAATTGATATGAAAGGCTGATTCATCAAGAAAGACACAGTTTGCCGTAAAATCCAAGTCAGTTTGCTGCCACTTTTGTACCCAGTCATACCTTTGTTGGATCTTTTCTTTGCGCTGAAATTGTGCCTGCTTAATAGATAGATTACATTTAGTTGGCATGAAGTTATAAATAGTGCTACGAGAAGCATTAAGATCCTTGAAGTTTTGCATTAAACTTTCTGCTACTTCAGTTACAACAGTAGAAGGATTCTCATCAATGTAAATTTGAAAGAAACTGCTTATGCTCCTCCCCAAGAATACGACGCCGACCTGACTTTTTCTTCTTCTCGAAAATGCTTTCAGGGTCCTCGTAATAACGTTTGACCCATCTCTGCGTTGCTCGGATATAAATACCTAAATATCTCGCAGCAGCAGAAGCATTCAAGCATTTGCTGGAGATAAATATAAAAATCGAGTTTTGTCTTCCTCAGAGTAAACTGTATAGCAACTCCTATTGTATAGCTCCATATCAACATTATTGTTCATTTCGTCAGTAACTGGACGCATTACAGAGCTAGAAGGTCTTTCTGGAGGTTTATTCATCAAGAAATGAGTACGAGAACTTAATATTTCAATAGCGAATAGCTCCTCGTCAACAACAAGATACGTGTGCTCAACTCCATTCTTATCAACAACATGCCCTTGTCCATCTTCGTATAAAAATTGACTATTCATTTTGAATGTGTGTAAAACGAAAATAGGAAAAATAAAGCAAAAGATCACTTCAAAAATTGCCTTCATCACATGCGAACACGACTTCATTGCTGGATCAACCGATAACATTGTTGAACACACGGTTTTTTTGCACGACATCAATTTCAAAAACCGCGATTTTACTTTTTGAAATGACTGTATAAACAGGCCTATCATCAACATATCAGCGTATCTTGTGGGTTAAAATTACAAGAACAACCGCCCGCCCCCGAGTAGGAGATGTAGGAGATCAGAGCCTATTCTCAGATTATCACCAAAAGGGAAAGAAGGATCGACAATTTTATCATAACCTATAATTCAGCGCCAAAAATTAGAGAAGCATGTGAAAATCATTGATGACAGAGTAGACTTTCGTCTCTTCTCTGTAGATACTATCGAAGACTACTAGAAGAGGCTGGGAAATTCTTAGATCAGCAGCTTCGTTAGTCGCCCAGACTTGCGGGGAGTCACTATCAAGTTTATCTCCAGCAAGATCCAGTCGGTATCCCTTCTGACATAAGCTTCTCACGATCGATAATAATAACTTTGCGCTCCCTCATTCGGGAATACTTTGCTAATTGATTACACCAGAGTTCCTTATGTATAATATACTGAACGTTGTAGATTTATTTCTATATCATGAGATTGTTTCTCTTTCACTACTACACCTGAATTTCTGTAATGGTTTCACACAGAAGGCATCGAACGAATGCTAAATATAGCCTAGTAGTATTCAACCGTCCCCTAAAACCCTGGGGTCTTTTTCATTTTCGCTTTACAATTCATCTATCATTCTATGTAGTATGTCAACAACCGCCATCCAGGAAATGACCGAAAAGTGCAAAAAGCCACATACAGAATTTTCTATGAGTTGCCATGACGGCATACATTTGTCAATCCAGCAGCAAGAAAGCCAAAACTAGCAGTTACAAGTAACTAGTTGGTTCAGGCTTTCGAAAATTTCACAGCATCACAAAAGAACTCGAGGATTATGTCATGATATGTTGTCAAACGATGCGATTTTTAGCTTAATAGACCCGTTTGACGTTTCGAAAAGGAAGCAAGGAGTGCAAAAAAGAAGATTCAAGTGGTACAAACAGCACGCTTTACTGATTTGCCTTGATGTCCACTCTGATTGGAGGAAACGGAATATAGAGTTCAATAATTTGCCAAGTTCGTATCTTTCTGCAAGTCGCCAACGACTGTTTTTTTTTTCAACTTTTCTCCCTTCCTTTCTATCTTTTTTGCTCTTGATGAGATTGATAATACGTCAGGACTACGATGAAGTCTCCACCTATGTTGGCAAGTGTTTACTTCTAATGTTTCCGCTGCCTGCCCGTACTTCTACATGAGCCTGCCACTCACTCATCTTTTTTAACAACCCACCGCCGTTTTTCCCGCAAAAACTATACGTAAAACACATACACACACTACTATAGCCAACTACGTAAAGGAACGCATCAGCCAGTTTGCACCTACACCAGACCGACCTTTTGTTCTCGGGTTACCTACAGGCTCGTCGCCGGTTGCAACGTACCAAAAATTAATTGCTCTGTATAGAGAAGGTCAAGTCAGTTTCGAGAACGTTGTGACGTTCAACATGGACGAATACGTTGGCCTTCCGCGTGACCATCCAGAATCATACCACTCATTCATGTGGAATAACCTATTCTCGCACATCAACATCAAACCTGAAGGCGTTAATATTTTGGACGGCAATGCACCTGACCTGGATGAAGAGTGCAAGCGGTTTGAAGCTAAAATAGCACTTGTTGGTGGCATCGAGCTCTTCTTGAGCGGAATCGGACCTGATGGACATATCGCATTTAACGAGCCGGGTTCCTCGTTAACTTCTCGCACACGCGTAAAGACGTTGGCATACGAAACAATTATTGCAAACACGCGCTTTTTTGATGGCGATGTCGCCAAAGTCCCTAAACTAGCATTGACTGTCGGTGTAGCGTAAGTTTTTTCGTTTTTGTCTAGTTCTCATATGTAAACCGTGCTCCATATACATAGCAGTGCTTATCTGTATGCATGCAACCATAAACTTATATGCGTCAATATCTCAGCACTATTATGGACGCCCGCGAAGTAATGGTCATTATAACTGGTGCACACAAGGTACCGACTGAAATGCTGTAACTAGTTTTATACTAGCTCCTTCTTTTCTAAGCTGGTTGTTATAGGCAATTGCTCTTGGGAAATGCATCGAAGAAGGTGTTAGCCACATGTGGACCGTGTCAGCTATCCAACTTCATCCTAAAGGCATGATTGTGTGCGACGAAGATGCTACACTGGAGTTGCATGTCAAGGTAACAGAGTGAAAAAATACATGAGCATTCCGTGCATGATATATTGATTTCTAATTTTGATGAATATGATTTCTAGACCGTCAAATACTTCAAGTCGATTGAACACGTTCACCATGCCTTGATAGGCAGTGAGAATATATCTTTGCAAGGTAATATATTTAGCAAGAGAAAGCATGAACAATGATAAAGCTATGCAACTCGGAACCTCTTTCTCACGCTGTCTTTCTGTGTGGTATTCACCTTTTTAAAGGTGGCATCAAGCAATTTAAAAATATCCTAGCGGGCGAGCAGCTGGTTATGCATAGCCCGTTTGATTAATACCACGCATTCATCACCCATACATCATCAAAATTCAGAAGATTTATTCCATTCCATTGTAGTATACTGTGTCACATCTGAGTGGATCCCACGCTACAAATAGTTATTCCATCCTGCATCTTCTTCTGTCTGATAAATACCACTTTTAATTTTTCTGTTGCTGTAACTGGTGAGATCAGCTATAAGCCTTTATGGGGCCATGCACCTAGTACCAGCCTTATCGATGAACGAGAAAGACAAAAAAGATTCAGTTCAATTGAGGGTTTTCTCAGGCACTCGATTATGCAACACGGCTTGAGAGCTGACTAAGTAATCCTTTGCTGGTAAATGCGAGTCCCGACAAAGATACCTTTATGTAAGATCACCGCCCTCGCTCGCCAAGAGCATTGTGATCGTTATTATTGTATTAAAAGTAGCACATATAAGCTTCTAGTACTATTATAATCAAGATTCATCTCATATAGTGTCACTAGTATCATATCAAAAACTCGCAAGGAAAAGTGCGAGAGCTACGTAGTAGTCGACTTTTATCACTATTAGTGATATCAATACTTCCTATATAATGTTTATATTACCCAAGATAATATTAGCTCCCTTATTTTGCTTTGATAACGTAGATGAAGCTACTTGACGCTATAAACCCACACATTCAGTGATAATGAGGATATTAGCGTCTGTACATTAAAACATGTTCTTGAATACAATGATACTTTTACCCCTAAAAATTTGATAGCAGACAGACAAAATGGAACTCGAATGCTTTATAGAGATCACACTAGATTAGAGAATGACCCAACACGTTATGCCCATTCGATCTTCAACTCTGAATATCTGTTACAGCCTAATAAACTGTCGTTGTCGGCCACTCTTTTATCACGTGTGATTGTGATGAAGATGATAGTCGTCAGGTACTAGGTCGTACAGCCTCGTTTCGCATTATGATGATTAATGAAAAATATCAGTTCAAGTGGCTAGTATAAATGTAACTTTAAGGTTCTACTGGATAAACAACGTCGTACCTATATCAAAAAGCGATTATGCTATGTTTATGTTTTACATAGCATCGCAGCATGTTCTTTTGCCGCAAGAGTGACAGTCTCTTCGACTTTGCACGAATGTGAACTTTACTAAGTTTGAAGGGCAACTTCCTCAAAATTACGATGTCAATGGTAATTACTGTATGTCCAGAGATGGAGAGCACTCTAAACGTAGTGTGTGTAATGATTATTTGGTTGGCTTTGCTTCTGGCTTAGGTGAAGAATACGTTAAGATACAAGAATAACGCAGGCGACAATAATTTTCTATATGAGTAGTGTTGTAATAGAGTAAAAGTATAGTAAAAGCTAATGGTACTGGTATCGTCCTTATAATCGTTGATCTTTAAAGTTGTGGATCGGTACAGTAATATAATAGTTTCTTACATCTGAGGGGCTTACTAATGGTTTGAGCAGGAATAAAGGACCCTTTTTTTTGTCCTTTGCTCATCGATGCTAGTAAAAAAAGGGGTACTATGTATGGCGCATTATACAACATCACTTTTCAACTTACGTATCTCGAAAGTTAGCCATCTCTTGACGGACCTGTATATAATAGCTTACTCAATTCTAAATAGTAACAGTTCTGTATGATTTCAAGCCCTCTCAAAACTCAAACTCAATGAAGGAACTTGATAGCTTCAGTGAATCCAACACACGTTTATTAGAGCGAGATTTAAAAAAGTTACTGACTTGGCATGTGTTTTGTGGAAAGGATGTGTTCCACGCTATTAAAACATCAAAATTCATGCACACAAGTTGGATCAATAGTACATCAAGAGTACTGAAGGCTCACACGCCCTTTCGCGTATATCCCCTAGTAGAACGTAATTTATCTATCCGCTACTATACTTGTTGCTTTCGGCTGAGGTAAGACTCCCCAAAGTGAACCTGCCCTAGGCTCCTTAAACCTTGTTTTGCTTACCTAAGGTTTGTGATGAAATAATAAAAAAGGCGACCTTGAGATGGTCTCTGTGAAGCTTACACAACCTTCTTTTATTCTTTTTCCTGCTTCCATACTTTTTCCTCAACAGACTAACTGCGAATACTCAGTAATGGGGGATCACAGTAGCAACAACTTCAGCAATAACACAGACAATGTCGATCCCCTTTTGATGATCGCGAACGAATTTGATCTGGATACGGGCCAATTCAAAGCCATTGTTGAAGGATTCAAAGCCGAGTGTGACCACGGACTTAACACGACATCGGCATCCGGATTAGCCACGATGATACCTTCATACGTCACACGAATGCCGACGGGCCAAGAAACAGGGACTTTTCTAGCGCTTGACCTTGGTGGCAGTAATTTACGAGTATCTGCTGTCGAGCTCTTAGGCAACGGTCAAGTCAATGTCGTGAGAGAGATTCGTAAAACGGTCTCTGACATACAACGAACAGGACCATCCACTGACTTTTTCGACTGGTTGGCCGATGCAGTGGGTGAGCTGCTGAGCACTTTAGCTCCACATCAAAGCTCAAATGGCACCAGCGACAGCAGCAAGTACAGCAGACAGAATGAACCGGAGAAGCAGCGACCAGTAGCCATGGGAGTGTGCTGGAGCTTCCCGCTTGAGTAAGTAGCAATAGTAAGCCAACAGGTGCACATCATCGAGCTGAAACAAAGATGATCGATGTGTGACCAAGGAAAAGTGCTGATGGTGGGCGGGTTGTACGTGTGTAGATGACGGAATAAAAGATGGGGGGTAATAAGTGAGGGGAAAGAGCAACCCACCATAACTGGTAAAAATTTACCACGGATATCGTCACTTTACATGCAAGCAGTGCGAAACCAGGAGTTGCAGTAGTGGGATGTGTGATGTGGGAGAAGAGAGTGGGATTATCACCCTTAAAATTCGGTCTTGTTGACAGCCGTGCTAAAATCAGCTACCGCCCTCTTTTCCTTTTAGTCAAACCGATATTTGTCAAGGCAAGATATTGCGCATGGGTAAGGGCTTTACTCTGGACGATGTAGACGGTCAAGATTTGGCGGGTCTCTTTCATGCTGCTTTCAAACGAAAGGTGAGTAGTGGTGGCAGTAGCAGTTAGTGAAATGGTGCTAGTTTTACATGTGTCAGTTTCGTCCTTTCTTTCTGTATTTGGCTTTATCACGTTATGCTGAGTTGTGGTGCTGCTTCGCATGCATGTGCATGCGCTCGTGCGCCATGGATGCTCTGTGGTCGTACATGGACGATCCATCTGGAATATCGACCAGTTGCACTCTGGCTTCCTTTCCTTCTTCAACACCTCTCCTCTTTTATCCTCCTGATAACTGCTTATTGCAGACAACCTTTTCTTTCCTGCCTTTTCTTCTCCTCCCCCAAGTTTTTTTTTCTCACTCCTTAGAAACTGCGCGCGCGTACCCACCAGTACACAAATAGTACAACGCGTACATGCGCTTAGCCTGTTGAATCAAGCTACTCATTTGCTCTCTGCTTTGTTTGCTCTAGGACATCAATGCCACTGTCACTGCATTGCTCAACGACACAGTCGGAACTTTAGTCGCCCATGCTTACAGTAACCCTGGTGCGTGTGTCGGGTTTATTCATGGGACCGGGGTTAATGCTGCGTATCCTGAGAAGAGGTCGCGTATCGTCAAGCTATCATCATCATCATCCGAAGGAGCAGCTGAAACCACCGGTGCAAACGGACAAGTAGAGCAGCAATTTCACGAGAGCGCAGAAGACATTATGCTCGTCAATACAGAAATCGACATTTTCGGTAGTACAGCTTACTTACCCCTCACAAGATTCGACAAAGCCCTCGACGCGCACCACTCACAGCCTGGATTCCAACCTTATGAAAAGATGATGTCGGGTGGCTACCTGGGCGAACTTGCTCGGCTGATAGCGATGGAACTGATCATTGATCATCAATATTTATTCGACGGAAACTTGCCAGAGCGCTTAAGGCAGCCTTGGTCATTTACTACGGCTACCATGAGTGACTTGGAAAAGTGGGCATCTCTTTCAAATTTAGCAACGCTGCTGCATCATGCAGAGTAAAGTATAAAAAAAAGCTCACCATCAGTGTAACATACAGGTTGGAGACAAATGAGGAGAAACTAGCCAGGTTTGGCGAATGGCTCGAGACTGACTGCATAAATGATTACGTTCCAACGATCGAGGACATGCGGATCCTCTCCCGCATATGTCGTATCGTCTCATCCCGAGCAGCTTCCTTGGCTGGAGCTGGAATTGCAGCTATTATCGAGCACCAGAACATCATCACTGCATCAGACGGGCCAATCATAGTTGGGGTTAACGGATCGACATTTGAAAAGTATCCGCATATGGCGGAACGCGTAGAAGCAGCAATACACACGTGGTTTGATGACAGAGTTTCGCAACGCATACGTTTAGGTGTAGCACGAGACGGTGGAAGCATTGGCGGAGCACTTGTTGCTATGCTGTACAGTAGCAACGATAAGTGGTAAGATTCAACACTAAGGCTGCAACTACTATCGCTATATTACAGGTTTTGCAACTGCTGAGCACCTCCTTTTACTCACATCAATCAATGACCCCTTATTTTATTTTTACTCTAACCCCTTCCCCAGTAGCGGAAGAAGCAGCTCATCAAGCAGTAGTAGCAGAAGTGAACCAAAAATAGATTCATCGACCTGTTTCCCACCATTTCACCGTGTCAAACAAGCTTCGAAACGCTGGATCAAGTCGCGCCAATTTCGGAAGAAATCTTCATCGCCCAACAAGGAGAAGCAGCCGTCGTCGTCATCGGCATGATGCAGAAAAACCAAAAACTTGGCTTGTTGACCTCCTTTTACACAACATAAGCATCTACTAATTTCCTCCCCTTAATGCCCTTTTCTTTTTGCACCGAAACTTGTTCTTTGACATCATCAATAATAACAACTTGTATCATTACTTCCATTTTCATGAACTAGCTGCTTCTTATTGATTTCATTACACGGTCATCGTCGATATCGATACTCCTCTCTTCAGTGCCCCCCATGTTGAAGTCATGAAGTCATCGCACATTGCAGCTCTGTCAGACGAAAAGCGTCATTGCTACCATATTCGCTAACTCGTGTTAAGGTGATTATATGTAGTAGGGATGTGTCGATATGATTTGGACCCATCCTCCTGTTTGTGACTAAAAAGAAACTATGTTATAGCAGCAGCTCAATTGAGATTGTCTTGTTGCATACACACGTACATCATGCTCCGTAAACTCCTTCCTCTAAAAAACTACAATTTGCATTTGCATACACAAATCCATAATTACATACCGTTCCTGTCATGCACTTTCTTCTTGGCTCAATCGAATGATCAAGCAAGTTCAGATGCTTGCTTTATCAACAAAACTATAACAGAAACAGTATGATCATACAATGTCTCCTTTGAACTCAATAGTATATACAGTTGTGTGAACACGTCGAGAACTATAAAAGTGCGATTCTCAGTATATATTTATACAGTCAACCCGTTATCTGCAGGAGAAATTGAGGTTTGAAAAAAATAGTGCACTGTCACAATAATGATACGGAGAATACCTCAGCAACAGATTATAAGCAGAAAGTATTTATCTTTAGCTCATAATTGTATATTAATGAAAAATATAATAATGACAGTGTTTTAAAACATGATGATTAAGATTGATGAGAGGAATGAGAGAGATGTTATATTACATCATAGTACATAGAAAAGTTGAAGAATGGGATGAGGATGGTAGTATGTTTATGGCTGTACAAAATATAATGAGTATGATGGTTAGGTTAAAAAGAATAAGTCGCGGTATAAGCATGCTGAAAACGTCTACGCATGAGTCCTGGTAAAAATGTAGTTAATGGATTTGATATGTTTTGCTTCAGAGAGCCATCATTACGCAAGACAGTCCAGCAATAACAAGGGTGCTGAGCATGGTGATAGGGGTAGGAGCCTTAATTGCAAAGCTTTCACTAGATTCGATGGGGTTCCCTTCGTTATCCAAGATATCAATGCTAGCAGACGCAGTTGCACCAGAAAGCTCATCAGCGGCCAAAGTAGCAGCAGGAGCAGCGGATTCCTCGGAAGAGTTTGGTGAGACGCAAGTTTCCGTGCCATCGGCAGCAATGTAGAAGGGTTCAGAAGAAGTGCTACAATAATTTAGGAAATGTATAAACGATGAGTACGCCGATATGGCAATCAATGATCTTGGTTATATACAATAAGTTACCTTTCATCGTTGTATTTGATAACAATCTTGTGCTCAGAACAATTGGCGATGTTACCAGGGATGTTAACCAGGTAAGAGCCCGTGCTACCGTTTATGTCATTGGCCAGGTTGATTCCATCACTTGCGTCTGAGCTAGCGAGATCAATGGATAAAGCAGTGTTTTCGCCAGGTGTCCACGCTATGTTCATTATAACGAATGTTAGTAGCCGATTTAATCATGTAATCAAGACCTTATGTTGAAATGAAATGGACACTTACAAATGGTGGTACTTTTATAGAAAATAAGAAGGATTACAGAAGAGAGAAGAAGTGATAATTTAGCACATTTGCCTTTCTATCCGTTAATCCGTATACAAAACCACATCAATGAGACCTACAAACACTTACGCATGGCCAGCAATGACAATGTCCTTGGCAGCAGGGGAAGAGACCGTGTAGGTGGGGGCTTGTTGTTGCTCCTGTCTCTCGATAAGAATAGGCGAAGCCAATGCGGATGCCGAAGCAAGCAAGAGGATGGGGAACGAAGTGAATTGCATGATGATGATGATAGTAGTGAGAGGTATGAAAGTAAGAGAAGCTGTAAATTAATAGCTAGTAGTGTAGTAATCGAAAGGAAGAAGCTCTAGTTCTTTGATGACGGTTGAAAAGTCGCGTTTGTCATGCTGCTTATATAAGGTTGAGCCAGATCATCGATCACGGTAACACAGACTATTCACATGTTAAATAAAATGCCACGTTTTCAGTAACTTGACGCCCAGTGCCCGTCAACAATTTTTTCATGTCCGGCGTCGTTGTTTTTCTACAAGATCTTCCTGTTTTTCGAGAACCCCACTCAATCTGAGATACATAAGCAAATGGCTGGGGGGGGCAAAACGAACAGAAAATGTTTAGTCGATCACTCTACAAAGTAATCGGATTTCCTTTTCTTCAGCATATATAACATATATGTATTCGCTTCACTCTCTTTCTTTTGCAAAAGCCAAGAATGACGACAGCAACTCAACGGAATGACCCATCACCCGAAAAGTGGGCGGATATGAAATTTTGCTGCTTACTGAATAGGCTTTTGAGCCACCACGCTAGCTCTGCGCGTTTCCATAAAAGGTGTTTTAATGTGACATGTGAATGTTTAATATTTTGACAGCAGCCGAACGACGACGGAATGGATAAGCATCATACGACAGCAAGGAACAGGGATGAAAAAAAAAGATATCGTCATTGTGGCACGGTCTGTATGTTCTGGACACTCTTTTGCATGCATATTATGACATCTTTTGTTCGGCTCCAGAAAAAATGCTAGCAACGTAATATCATATAGGGAAAAGTTATCTGCTGAACTAATATTACGATGTTGCATTCCGACGGAATCCGATGGATCCCGCTCATTTTCCATTTTCGTCAATGCTGCTTAAGTAACGTAAGTACCAAACAAAAACGGCAACTTGCGTGTTCGTCCTTGATGCATTATCACTAGGATTGTTGTGATTATGTCAGGCTTACACTTTGCAGTTACTTGGCACTCAACCATTTTTCGCTATATTTGTATACTACTGTGAAACTGAAGCATTTGAAAACGCGATCTAACAGAAGCAGATGAAATTTATTTTTAATACACATGATCAATTACACTTGTCAGCATTATCATTACATAGTATAATCACCAGGATGATTTTGTCATATACACCCAATGGATAAGCCCAGCAGCAAAAGAGCTCTCATCCTATATACTGAAGCTCTTTCCAGACACAACACGTATAGAAATTGATTATAAAGGCTGAGAATTAGATATGGTTTGAAGAACGCGGATCTCTTGAAAAAAACCTGTAACACAATTGCTTCAAGGTGTTTGGTGAATTATCCAGCTTGCTTATGGGTTGTCAATCGTGCAATCACCAACATTCTATTAGCGGTCCTAGAGACAGCACCACTCTACCACTTTAAAAGGATAGGTGCTATCCCCAAGCTTTTGAGCTTCGGATTTTGGAATATCTGCGTGATATTATTGCCCTTTGGTTTACGTGCTTGTCGATATTCAGCCATCGATTAGTTTGAGGACGCTATGTTCTCTTGAGTGATCGATAACAGGTAGCATGATCCAGACATTATTGCATCAAATTATCATACAATCTCTAATTATCACTGTAAAAGCTATTATAGTTCAACAAGCTGGTCTGAAGTTGTATACAGTAACATGTCGTAATGTTCTAAACGCGGATATATTACTTTACACGGCACAGATAATAGCTGCAGGGCCTGCCCTGTGCATTGCCAATAATGGGGTTTTACAAATGACATGTGAAAATAAATTTTGACAGCATTACAAGCTGGGTCAGCATCATACGACAGAGTAAGACAGCCTTCTTAAGGGATGCCGGCTATTCGTTTTGGCTGTTATGTTACATGTCTAAAATTCGTATCACAGGTCACTCTTGAGGTACGCACCTTTACATCACTCTCACTGTGTCAATCCGGAAAGTTGTTGGCACAAACATAGAAAAAGTAACATGGGATGACCCGCAAACTACATTAATCTAAGCAAGTAGATATACATCTCAAGCGCTGCCTTGGCAATTACATACTAATATTTGAAAGAGGCGACAGTGGTAACAGCAGCAGTATAAGATACAGAAAATCATGGCACAGCTTTATTACTACTATTTCTATTGCAGCAACATTACGTTTCTAATGGATGTATGCTTTGACTGTTTAAATTTTGGTAGCGACAAATTCGCCCCAGCTCTTGACTTCGTTGGGGATGGTGTCGGCGCTTTGTGGTTGCACTTGGCGCTTTCGAATACATGCGTCAGCAAACAATCGGGACACTTTGGAATCGTTCAAAAGTGGGATGCCAAAGTCGACAGCAGCGCGTCTGCAAATGTATCCTTCGTCATACTGCGAGGTGGGTCGCTCCTTGGCCAGGTGCATCACAAAATCGATATCGTTATCCTTGAACAATCGGTGGAGTTCGCGCTTGTTGTCGGCGTTAGCAGCCACTGGCAGCACAGTTGTGGAAATGCCAGCAAGTTCCTTGAGGAAGACAGCGTCCTGCTCAGTGGGTACAAAGATAGGATGCTCGAGTGGGCCATGGAAGGCCTTGGCAATGTGAACATAGTCCTCGGGTTCAGTGACAGCATCACCACCAATAAGCACGCCAGCCTTTGACTTTGGTATGCGGAAGTTCTGCGTGGCCTGCATTGCGGCCCAGAACGCCTCGTATTTGTCTTTGCCAAAGCAGGCTACTTCGCCGGTAGAGGCCATTTCAACACCCAAGAACGGATCGGCTCCTTGCAAACGAGTCCACGAGAATTGTGGGACCTTGATCGCTTGATAGTCGTATGTTTTGCTCATCAAATCAACTGGTTCGGGCACATCCTTGTCCGCCAAGGCACGCGTAGCAATATCAATAAAATTAATGCCAAGAACCTTGGAGACGAATGGGAACGATCGTGAGGCACGCAAGTTGCACTCGATGACTTTAAGAGCATTGTCCTTTTGCTTAATAATCTGCATGTTGAATGGACCGGTGATTTCAAATGCTTCTGCGACCTTGTCCGCGATATCCTTCAAGCGAGTCATCGTTTCTTGGTCGAAATCCTTGGGTGGCAAGATAAGCGTAGCATCGCCAGAGTGAACACCAGCGTTTTCCACGTGTTCAGAAACAGCGTGGACGAGCACTTTTCCACGATGAGCCACAACATCCACATCGATCTCTTGAGCGCCTTGGATAAACTTGGTAATCACAACAGGGTGCAACGGCGAAACATCAGCTGCCTCCGTCAAGTTCATTTCGAGAGCTTCAGGAGTGTAAGCAACATTCATTGCAGCACCAGAGAGGACGTAAGAAGGTCGAACCAAAACAGGATAGCCGACCTTGTCAGCGAACGCATGGGCTTCTTGGACGCTGGTGAGTTCCTTCCAAGCAGGCTGATCGACGCCAATGGTGTCCAGCATACGAGAGAATTGGAATCGGTCTTCAGCAGCGTCAATCATTTTGGGAGATGTACCAAGAACAGTCATGTTGCTCTCGTGAAGCTTGAGGGCAATGTTCTGTGGAAGCTGTCCACCAACGCTGACCACAACGCCCTTGGCTTGTTCCTTTTCTGCAATGTCCATCACACGCTCGTAGCTGAGCTCTTCAAAGTACAAGCGATCGCACTCGTCGAAATCAGTCGAGACGGTTTCAGGGTTGTAGTTGACCATGATGGTCTTCTCGCCAATGTTGCGCAGACCACGGATGCATGAGACGCCACACCAATCGAACTCGACGGACGAGCCGATACGGTAAACACCAGAGCCAAGCACCATGGTACCCTTGTCATCAAAAGCAACATCATCTTCGGACGCGTTGTACGTTGTATACAAGTAGTTTGTATGGGCAGGGAATTCAGCGGCTAGAGTATCAATACGTTTGGTGAATGGAGTAATACCGTAGTTCTTGCGCACCTCACGCACGGCCAATTCATTGGAGTCGAGTAAAATAGCAATCAGAGCATCAGAGAAACCGGTCTTCTTGGCAGCAAGGAAAACGTCCGAAGAAAGGTCTGCGGCATTGGTACCCTTCATATCAGCAAGGTAGTGATGAACAGTAGCGATGTTTTGGAGCTTGTACAAAAACCACTTGTCAATCTTAGATAGGTTGTGGATGTAGTCAACAGTGTACTTTTTCCGAATGGCTGGGTCAGACGACAGCATGACTTGACTGATGGCAAATAGACGACGATCCGTTGGATTCTTCAAGATATCGTCAACGTCCTCAAGCTCGGTCTTGAGCGCGTGGAAGCCTTCCCAACTTGGATCCACTTGACGAATAGCCTTCTGCAAACTTTCCTCCCAAGTGCGACCGATAGCCATCACTTCACCGACCGATTTCATGGCAGAGCCGATATGGCGATCAACGTAGTTGAACTTTGCAAGATCCCATCGAGGTATCTTTGTAACAACGTAATCAAGCGAGGGCTCGAAGCAGGCAGTAGTTGTCTTGGTAACGGCATTTTGCAGACTAGGCAAAGTATGACCCAAAGCAATCTTTGCTGCAATGAAAGCCAGCGGATAACCTGTTGCCTTTGACGCAAGAGCACTAATAAAACAAAAGTTAAGAGTTAGATGTGATGATTAATAAGCAGACAAAAAGCTACATTGTTTACCTGGAACGACTCAAACGAGCGTTGACTTCAATGACACGATACTCCAAGCTTGTTGGGTTCAAAGCATACTGGACATTACACTCGCCAACAACACCCAAATGACGGATGATCTTGATGGCAGCTGTACGAAGCATATGGTACTCTTCGTCACTCAAGGTCTGCGATGGAGCAATGACAATGGACTCGCCAGTGTGGACACCCAATGGATCAAAGTTTTCCATGTTGCAGACGGTAATACAGTTGTTGGCAGAATCACGAACAACCTCGTACTCAACTTCCTTCCAGCCCTTCATGGATCTTTCAACGAGCAACTGGGACGTAAGCGAAAGCGACTTTGCGGCGAGAGAACGCATTTCAGCTTCATTGTTGGCAAAGCCGGAACCAAGACCTCCCAGAGCAAAAGCAGAACGCACAATGACTGGATAGCCAATTTCTTCCGCAGCTGCAAGAGCCTGTTCAACAGTTTCCACAGCCGTCGACTGTGCCACGGGGATGTCAATTTCTATACAAAAGCAATGTGCGATGAGCATTCATATTACGCAAGATTTATCAGATTTTGTCTGTCCAATAACATACCGTTCAGAGCTTTGACGAATAGCTCACGATCCTCAGAAGTGATTAATGTTTGAATAGGCGTACCAAGGACCTTGATATTGTACTTGTCAAGCACACCCATGCGATCCAACTGGATACCACAGTTCAAGGCTGTCTGACCGCCAAAGGTCAAGAGGATACCATCGGGACGTTCGCGTTCGATGATATGCGTGACGTATTCGGGAGTCACGGGCAAAAAGTAGACGGCATCGGCCAGTGAGTGCGAGGTCTGAATAGTAGCAATGTTTGGGTTGACAAGCACAGTCTTCACACCAGATTCACGAAGGGCTTTGATAGCCTGAGAGCCTATTTTCGTTTCATTGAGTTATCAAGTTACTTTCAAGATGTACCTTTTTTTCAAAAAAGAAACAGACCCAAGGCTGAAAGCTACAAACCTGAATAATCAAACTCGCCAGCCTGACCAATGCTCAAGCCACCTGAGCCAACGACGAGCACCTTTTCAACCTTGACTAACGGGACATCGCCCAGGATTTCCTCGGACACTTGCACGGCGGAACCATCGCGTTCGAGGCGAGCTTCAGAAGAAAAGGGAAGACGGCCGGCTTGCAGAGGTTGGGCAGTACCATTGGCGGCGACAGTAGTAGCAGTAGTAATAGTAGCACCTGTGGGTGGAGCGGGCGGAGAAGAAGTGGATGAAGTATCCAAACAATAAGGGGTAGGGGTGAGGACGGCACCAGCTGCAAGGGCTGCCGATCGACGACGAGTGTTGGCACCCATGGTGGAGCGGACAGCAGAAGAAGAGGACTTGATTCCTTGTTTCAATTGGGAGTAGACGCGGTTATACATTATTTGTAGACTTGTTATTGTAGTAGTTGTTGTTGTTGTAGTAGTAGTAATAGTAGTTCGTGTTGTGTGACGTTCACTTGATCAGGATATTGTCAATGTAAGTTTTATCAAAAGCCAAAAGACCAGCAGTAATCAGGAAAAAGGCAGAATTCATGTAAGGCAGAAGCGGGGGAAAACAACTACTTTGTGTTTGGCTTCAAGCGTGTGTTAAGAGCGTGTCTGTGTGTGTGTCTGTGATAAACAGAGAAAAAAGTGATAGAGGCTTTTTTTTTCGTGTGTGTTGGGGCGGATAATAGAAGGCGAAAGAAAAAGAGGAAAATGCGCGGGACAAGTTTTTTTGCTTTTGTTTTTTTGTTTTTCGCTGGCGTCTATCCCATTTTAGGAAGGTTCCTTTGAGTCATTTTGTATCGGCGAACGGTAGGAACATGTCCGGTCTTTCTCCAACGCTTCTTCGTTAGCGGCCTTTTGCGTACAGTTGTTCAAAGTGACAAGCTTGATACACCATATATATGATTCACAATCTAGAAAAATCTCAGACAGATGAAACTTCCAAGTGCCTTGTGAGCAATTGAACACTTCCTTGGGTTATTGAATGTTGTTGCCATGGCTACTACAACATACCATCGCTATCAGGAAGGAGCTCAAGAAGCTACCAAGTAGAGGCTCTCGTGTAGAGCATTGTCAAGAGCAACAATGAGCCATGGCACGAAATGATAAAGAGAGCACACTGTTGTAGCACCCAATGAATAAAGGCCCCGGAGACACATAAAAAAATGACAAAAAGGGCTCTGTATTGTTTATCACGTCCAAATTTGGACATTGGAGTTTTGGGGAGCTGCATGAAACACGCCGTCATGGCTTTAGACACTGTCTCGGGCCCTCTCTGTTTGATTGCAATCGCTCAGTCAGCATTGCTATGGATCTGTTTTCGAATCTTGGTGGAAAACGGACAAAGCAAGCAAAGAATGCCAGTTCTCGACGAGGCAATTCAAAATCTTCTGCCGCCAATCTCAATTCCCAACAACACTCACAACAACAACAACAACAACAACAACAGCAGCAGCAGCAGCAACCATACCAACACAATAGGAAAAATCCGGGCGTTGCTCGTCCACCACCGTTGACAACGAACTTTGCTCAACCGGGTACCAACCTTTTGAGCTTGCTCAGCACACCACGGTCGTCCAACGAAAGCTCAGCTCAGGGTGGTCGCAGTGAAGAGTCTTTTCGTGGCGGTGAACCGTTGTCTCCGGGTAATGCAAAAGAAAAAAAAACGAGCATCATATCTCGTAACAACAACAGAGCACTGATAGTCAAAGGAAATCACAATAGTGTCATCCGCACCCAGTACAACCAGCTCTGGTCGACCGGGAATCGGCATATTTGGCAACAGCACAACCACGCTTACGAGCACTCAACATACCCCACCACCATCGACTGCTTCTCCAAAAAACCGTCCATCCGATCGGGAAATCGAACGTCTTTTTGCACAAACGGCCGTACGTTTCTCTTCCTTCGATTGGACTTGAGATACACATTCAAAGAAGACGTATGTTTGTTTACTAACTGAGAATATGATCATTTGATTCAATATAAATCACAGAGTCGCCTTAATTTGGATTTGGGAAATGCCAGTTTGAGAGATATGCCTGTGGATAAAAAATGGAGGATTCTGTGCTACGAAAGTCAAGTTACGCCTCCTCAACATCATCCAGAGACTACCGCGTCTGCGATAAATGGGCCACGGCATCTTGGCAACAATACCAACAAGAGCCATCACATTGGCGAATTGGATAAATCGACTCCGGGTTACTATGTTGGTTATTTTCTCAACAGAAGAGGCTCTCCTTCTCCTGCTAGACTGCTTTCGGATCTGGCTGTGCGACTGAGAACCATGCCGCTCAGGTAACTTAGCATACTTGCTTTATCGAATGAATGGGAGCCTGCTTACTCAAACACACCAATGTAGCTGGGTGCGACAGTTTATAGATGAAAATGGAATGCAAGTCATTTCAAACGAATTGACACGTATGAGTAAGCAACATGTTGAAAGGTATAATTCAAATGATATGTTATCGAGACAGTTGAGAGAAAGCATCCTGCAAAGTCCGAGATGAAGATGCTAAAACAGAGCCATCGTGATAGTGGAACTGTTAGCAAGAAATTCGCTGATTCCCAACTAGAGCTTGAAATTATCAAATGCCTACGATCAATGCTTAATAATGCGGTATGTGCATGTAGCCCAACATGGAAAAAGAATGCAGTAGTAGTAAAGTGCGCGTGACCACGCTTAAAATTAACGCTCAATTTAATAGTATGGTATCCGAGAAGCATTAAGTGCTCCTCATTGTGCCCAGGCGCTTTCACTCTCGCTACTTTCACCATTCATGGCCGTGCGTCGTATGGCCTGCGAGGCACTGACCTTCTTGTGCTACTTTGAGCAACCTCGCGGTCAATCTGCGGTGGTGCGTGGAATCGAAGCACTCAATGCTATCGGCCTAAAAAACCCCAGTAGCGTTACCCAACAACCCGGAAGTTTTGGCAGCTGGCTAAGAGCGCTCGAGCAGATGTTAAATGTACGCGCTCATAATGCTCAAAGCGGCAAAGTATCGGCAAAGTCTTTGGGTAACAAGGATGTGCAACTTACTGAATACGCGGTAAGATTACAGTTGCAGCTTAAAGAAAAAGAAATCAGTATCTAATGTATTAAAGTACTCACGTATCCCTTGCAGATTGCAAACATGCTTTTGATCAATGCTGTTGTGGATCCGGAAACTACCGAGGATATGACCCATCGAATATCACTCAGAAATCAACTATACCAAGGCGGTCTAGACAAAGTTTTTGAAAAAATGAAGGCCATGAACAACGAATTATTGGGGCGCAAGATTAAGGAGTTCAACCAAGCCGAAGAGCGCGATAATGCTACAGTGTATGGCGGGCTTGTACTTGGCACAAAAGATCCATCTGAAATTCTGGACAAAATCACCGAAGCAATTAATGGGACACGAGCATACCACTCGCTGCAAAGCATTTTGCAGCACCTGCTTCTGATGCAGCAAGATCCTGAGAAAAGGCATGCCATTAATTAGTACGGATGCATCATTTTTTGCATGACGATAACTAACTACGATGACTGTTGGCAATTATAGAACACGCTATTTCCAAGTGATTGAATCCATTGTTACGCAAATTGCAACAGATCGCAATGACGTGCCTAGTGATTTTGGAAATACATATGGATTAAACGTCAGTAACTTGATATCCAAATTCGTGGAAGAAGATGAGCTATCGCGTGCTCTCCAAGAGGCTGAGGAAGCCAAGGCTATGGCCGCTCAAGCTATGGAGAGAGAGGCAGAGTTGAAATTACAAGTTGATCTCAAAAGCGGTAAGTGCAGCACTAGATTATGGAGAGCTATCGTAAGAGCTATTTAGCTAAGTAAGACATCATAATGCTTAGATGGGCTTGTTGGGCAGCTCAGGGTCAAAAACGAGTCTTTGGAACGAATGCTTAAAGTGGCAAACCAAACCAACAATGTTTTACAGCAGCGATTGGGAGATCTTGAAATGGAGCATCAGCATACCCTCGAAGCCATGGATGCTCAAATCCGAAGGCTCTATGACACCATCAAAAAGCTAACAGAACATAGCTCCTCTCCAACAGAACGATCAAAGGCTCGTAAGCCTGGGGATATCAAAATGTGGAACCTGCAGAATGCAGAATATGACCCAAACAAAAAAACGCTATCTGTAAGTTCTACTATCTTGGGGGAGGAGGAAACAATGCATCGCAGGATATGTGTCAAAATGCTAATAGTGTTTCCTCTACTAGGTTGATCCTGGCGACGAGCCTATCCAGCTGGCTAGCTCGAAAGGATTCTCCGAATCATTCAAAAAATCACTACGTTCAAAGCTTGGCTCTCGTATGAATACCTTGGTTAAACGATCGAGTGGGGATGATACCAGACAGCTGAGCCGGACATCAAGTAGCAGTAATTTACGCCAAAAGAAAAGTATAGACGAAGTTCAAGCTGATATACCAATGACGAAAGAGCCTGAAAAAATGAAAGACGAAACTCCAGCCACATCCGCTACAGAAAATGCACCAGTAGAACCTGTATCTTCAAAGGTATTACCGGCCCCTCCGCCACCACCGCCGCCGCCACCGCCAGTTCCTGGAACAAATGCAATGGTACCTCCTCCACCACCTCTTCCACCACCACCACCACCACCAATACCAGCATCAAGTGCTGCTGTACCTCCACCACCACCACCTCCTCCTCCTCCTCCTCCTCCTTTGCCGGGATTCCTCGCTGGATCGCCGCCGCCCCCACCACCGCCTCCTCCTGCACCAGGTTCCGTTGCATCATCACCACCTATCGCAAGCGGTTCCGAAATGAGCTCAGCCACGACATCACCACGGACTGGTGCAGGCACGCCTACTCTTGGCATGGCAAGCCGCAAGCCAAGCGCCTTCCAGCCGAAACAGCGACTAAAATTCCTAGAATGGGAAAAAATGAACCTTGTCAACATTGGTCAAACCGTTTGGAATCATCTCGAAGACGTCGACAACGATGCAGTGACTCAGGACCAGCAACAGCAGCAGCATTCATTCGAACACTCGATTGAATATCAGCTGGCTGAAGCAGGCGTATTCAATGATATCGAGAAAATGTTTGCTCAAAAGCAGCCGACTACGCAGTTGAAGCCTCAGCATGCAAAAGGACCTGTACACATTTTAGACTCAAAAAAAGCGTATACCATGAGTAAGTGACGACCGATGATATCACTCTAACTTACTCTATAAGTAATGTATCAATTAACCATTCTATAATCTTTTGGTGATGCGTTTACTCGTGAAAAAGATATCTTTTTAACAAGTATTGCCAAGAAGATCCCCTTTTCAGAAATCAAACCTAGAATATTGGACATGGATCCTTATTTCGACGACGAACAGATTCTGTCCAATCTTCTCAAGTTCGCACCAACTTTGGAAGAGGCTGGTAAATTGAAGCCCTACCGCGAGGCATCGGGCGAAGAGCTCAGCAAGCTCTCTGTACCTGATCAATTTGCACTACAAATGTTGGAGATCCCACGCTTTAAAGAGCGAATTGAGTGCATGCTATTCAAATCAGTATTTTGGGAAAAGCATCATCAGTTGAAATTAGTAAGTAATGCTTGCTCCTGTCTTTCTGCGCTCTCGTATTCCACCCGATATTAATAGTAAACGTTTACAGCAATTAGAATCAGTGCTTCAAGCCTCTGTGTCATTGAAAAACGCAAAACATTTTAAAGATCTCTTGCAGGTAAGATAGCTCAAGAAGAAGCAAATACTACACGCCTTCATATGTGATCTGACAGTAACGGTAGTTGATTCTGCTCCTTGGGAACTTTTTAAACGGCAATACTTTTCGGGGTGGAGCATTCGGCATTCGCATTTCCAGCATTAACAAGGTGAGTATGTTACCGGTGATGGCATTTCATATAATTATCTTAGCTATACTTATCTCTGTGTTTGTTATCTATAGCTTCTGGATACTAAAGGCGTTGCAGGCACCACAACCTTACTTCACTTTCTCATCGACACTGTAGAAAAGAACTTTCCAGAGATGGTTGAGCTTCGTATAGAGATCGAACCGAGTAATGAAGCTGCCAAAGGTTAGAATATATTTATATATTATGAAACCAGGCCCTCTTTCGTAGAAGACTAAAACTTGATGTGTTCATTATTTTTAGTGTCAAAACCCGACGTCCAGCGAGAACTACATGAGCTCAAGACCGGGCTTGAAAGACTCGAGAAGGCATTGAAAGAATATGGCGTACAGATACCTACAGATGAAGATGAGAGTTACAGCGGCGAAGAAGAAGGAGAAGACGAAGACAGTGGGAATGACAGTGGTGATGAGAGCAATGACTGTACTACAAGGCGGGATCAATTTGGCATGGTGATCCGAGAGTTTTACAAAGAAGCGACCAAGCAATTCAGGCAGCTGAATGAGCTTTTAGAAGAAGTATCAGAGTCGTATGAAGCCGTTGCCAAATATTACGGTGAAGATCCAAACAAGACCCAGCCGGATGTATTTTTCGGCATCTTCCGAGAGTTTGGAAGTAGCTGGCAGGTAAAAGTACAGTTTCTTAACAATTCCCATTGTTATATGACTCTATTGCTAACGTTAGACTTATAGAAATGCCATGCTGAGCTAGAGGTGTCTAGGCAAAAGCTGGAACAAGCCGAAAAGCAAAAGAAACTGCAGGAGTGGCGACGGATCAACGAAAAGAAGTCGGCTGAATGTAAGAACATAAAGAGTTATGCCATGCCAAGAACAGCCTGGATTTAGTGGCCCCAGACCGACTAAGAAAATCAAATGTTTAGATAACACGAGCAGTGATGAAATGGAAAGCTTACTAGCCAAATTGCGGAACCCAGGAACCGAAGGCAAGGTGCGCCGTCATCGTCCCACAGCGCGACGGAAGCGCAGCCAGTCACTGTATTCTGATTCGGTATCATCGCTGAACGCCTTGAAGCTTCTCAGATCTATCCGGGACGAACACACAGGCAGTGATGAAGAAACCGATAGGAATGATAAGGATGATGGCAACGACAAAGACTCGCGGGACAGCAATAGCTGGACAGAAGAAGAAAGCAATAGCCCGAGCACAAACTCGAAAACATCACCACTTAGCAATAGCAGCAGTGGCACAAACACATCTCTCAAGTTGCGCTCTCGGCCGGCCAACACGCGCCTGAGTCCGAGAACCCGCAAAAGCGGCACCAGGCGATCAACAATAGATAGGCGTAGAAAAGTTCATGCGCACTTGTAGTAAACCCCTTTCCCCTGGTCTCCACACACGCATACATACATACATACATATAAACCCCACATATAATTACACGCATCCTTTCTCTTTTTCTCTCCTCCACGTGATAGTCCTCTTTTCTCCTTTGTTGAAGGCAGAAAGAAAGAGCTACCTTTTTTTCTCTTCCACCAATTCAAACCTCTCTTTCTTTCTCACCATTGGAAAAATAATCTCTTCTATTTAAATAATAATTCTCTTTAGTCATATCTGTTCACTCGAACCATTCCCCCCTTCTCTACGTCTGTTGTCAAGATCATACGCAACATACAGCAACAACAAAAAGACAAAGAATAATTACCAGCAAAGCAATTGATGTGCGATTTACCAACCTATGTCTTCGCGTCAGTTGTCCTTTTCTCTGCAGCATTCACCGTCTCTCTTCGGTCATTCATGTACTCCGAGTTATGGTACAGTGTCAAAGAATGCTACGCCGACCTGGAATTGTCAGATCAGCTCTTCTTTGGTGTGAATCAGCCTACGTTTGCATACAGTCGGCAGCTACCGTGCAGAGGTTACGTTGCAACTTTCTTCAACTCGATCGAAACTCAAAAGCTCAGTTTACTGGTATGTATGTCCAGATCGCTTTCTAGTAAACAAAACTATGGACGCCAGAAAAAAAAAAGGCGAGATCTTTATTTTTCTGATCAGTTTCTTGCGTGTAAACATAGATCCATATTAACATGGCTGTATGCTGCTTTGTGCTGCTGGGTAAGGCCGTTATTGCGGTATTCTTCGGTACGCTATTGCCACTAGAGAGTCAGGTATAGTTGGCATACATAGAATTCAACGTGTCCGTGTAATGACGCCAAGACTGGTAATAACTTCTTGTGCTCTTGGCAATACTATAGCATCTCTACGATCGCATGCTCAATTTTTTGCTGTTCAAGGTCATATTTGTTGGTGCGATCATGGATCCGATATGGATACAGATTGTAAGGCTCTCCATATGGATCGCCGTACTTGGTTTCCTGCGCATCTTTAGCTTACTTAGCAAGGATCGTTTCGATCATGTGAGTTTGTCTGGCTCTCCTATACGCTCTTGTTTGATCCAACGCTGACAAGCTTTGCTGTAGCTTACTACAATGCCCTATATACCTACAGCGGAATACAACAAAACCACTTTCCTTTTATGTTGTATTTTCGTATGTAATTTGGTATGGTACGCCGCAAGTTTCTACTTTTTCCCAGAATCCATCACCTTTTTGACGCTGGAGGTAAAAAAAGTTTGATATCAAGATGTTAACATTGTGGGGAAGAAGGATAATTGATAACACATATCGGACCAATAGTTTCTTCCCGTTGCTTTGGATACTCTGCAAGTCATGACAAAATACTTTTCACAGCTGTGGGACCAGTTTAGCGAGCAGGGCTTTGAGGGCAAACGGACTATCAACTATTATGCTGAACTTGGCACCGACATGCTGGTACTTGGCCTAACCCTATTGCAATATCTTCAACTTATGGTAAATAACAACCACCACTGCTATCATATCCCTCAAGAAAGGCAAAAAGTAATTAATTCGCAAAATGGAATTCTGCCAGTGGATGCATGGAATGTCATTTGGATTGGTGGATATCGTACTGATACTTAATGTCCGGAGCGTACTGAGGAACCTCTATCGGAAAGGCATGGTACACCGCGACCGTTGGCGTGCCATGTCCTACGTCAAAAACAGGTTAGTGGCCACACTAGGTGTACATGCACACGTTCCAAGCTAAACGCTTTGTGGGAAATACAGGTATGCGGATGCCACACCGGCAGAACTCTCGGTTCGTAACGATGATTGTGCCATCTGTCGGGAAAAGATGAAAACTGCCAAAAGGCTTTCGTGTGGACACCTGTTCCATCTGTAAGTATTTAGTCCGTTTTACTTTTCGGGTGGTGTTGAACGACTGATGGATTGTTGCTGATGAAATCGTTTTAGACATTGCTTACATTCATGGATACAGCACCATGTCTCCCAGCCAACATGTCCAACGTGTCGGCGCCCACTTTCACCACCATTAAACAACAGTAAGGAACCTGATTTAGGTAAAGGATCAATTTGTGCGATCACTTCCCCTTAAAACTCATTATCCAAATAGGAAACCCAATCCGAAGCTGATGCGCGAACTTCTTCGTACCTACTCCTTCATCCACGCCACCTTCCTCTTGCTCTGTTTCCGTATAATTCTCATTCTTAATCTTCCATTTTCTTTATCTTTAATCAAACTGCATAAACTTCCCCATCACTACACATTTGCAAAAACGCATTCATCTCCCCCAAAACATTCGGATATACACACATAACTTCCTTTTTTTTTATATAATAATCGCCTGGAGCGGCTCTCGATGAAAAGCAAAATAAGTGGGCTGTCTAAAAATCTTTTTGTTTTTTTGGTGGACTTGGAGAATATGTACAAGAGATTTATTGGCCGGGTGCCATCTAAAAACAGACAACCACATATCAATATTGCGATCTCTTCTTTTTCGTTCTGTCCATCAAGTGATTTATTTTTTACCTGTTGACTCAGTTCAGCAAAACGAGCACCAACGCGCTCAGAGTGCTTCAAAAACTTGTCAGCACACTTGTTGATACAAGCTTCCTGTTGTCAATTTCATACCATAAACATTAGCGATCTACTACAATAGCAACAAAAGCCAATAACCAACACCAAAAGTGTCCATAGGGCTAGCATCATTACAGAGAAAGAAAGAAAGCTATATACGCACTTCCTTGCCAGTAATGGCCTTGGAGGTAAAGTCGTTGGCGCAATCGTCAAAGCAGCGTTGCACCAAGTTGCTGTACAGTCGCAGGAAGTCCTTCATCTATATATAACGCGAAACACACATTAGCAAAGGATCGACTTTTACTTGCTCTCGTAGTCCTGTAGTTACTAACCTGCTTGTGCTCAATCATGGCGCTGATCTGGGCCTGTTCGGCCTGGTTGTAGCGAGAGAAATCCATTGTAAATTATAAAGTTTGTATGTGTGTGGAGAGAGCGAGTCTTTACACTAATCGACAACACCCCGTCCGCTTTTTGAGACGGTTTAGTAAATAACCGTCACGGACTATCGGAATGCCGGTGCCGGGCTTGCCGAATTGATGGCCGCTTTGACATGAACGTCTGGAAAATGTGCGTAACCATCTATGTATGACTAGTAAGATAACTCGTTGCAAGCTGTAATACGACCACAAAAAAGAAGAAACGAGCAGCTATCTATTCTCCGTAACCCACCATTGGTGCTTTCACGATTTACGATCTACGAAAATTAGCATCAGCAACAACTAAACTTGATAAATCTGATCTTTTCCCTCAATTTATCTATGCGCGTATACTGCCTTTTACTGTAAATATATTTAATGCAGCAAGCCATCGCTCTGACTCACTTACTGAGTGATAATGAATGACGCCACCGATGGTAATGTATAACAAATGCTACGGTGTAGTATTTGTAATAGTATAATTACGTGGCTATGAGCATCCAGAGTTTTAGCTTATGTAAGTGTTTTTGATATACAAGGGAAATAGGAAAAGGATGCATACGGCCCTCATTTATTTGAAGGTGGAATTACTGATTGATTAAGAAATATTATTCTACTCGTATTACAAAAATTACTTCGATCCAAGAGAATGGAAATCCTTTTAGAAAATAAATGCTGATTTATTATAAAACTGTTCTCAAAGTTGGGCATATAAGTATGTGTACATCTAGAGGTATATCAAGAATAAAACGAGAAAATATGAGAGTGGGCATAGGTTGAAGAAAAGGCGTAGAAAGAACTTCATATATGACAGTTTTTCTTGGGTTTACAAATGGGAAATGAGGCTGTCGTTAATATAGTACTGCAGTATAAATCAATTCATCAAAGAGATAATGATAAAGAAAAACATCCAGCTAGCAATATGCGGCTCAACGCAAAAGAGAAGATTGTTTGCACCGGATCAGTAACCTCGTCTACCAATCACCAGTGTCATGCCATTTAGAAGCATGTAGAGGCTACCAGCATTAACGTAAGCCCAACACCCATTGACATAGACACGACCGTGAGCGCTAGCTCGCCATAGGTTCTCCACAATTCGGTTGGTATTGGCGTCAAAAGGCATCCATGTACTGCCCGACTGGTAGACCCACTGATAAGTCATAGTGCTAATAGTATGAGCGAGTATCTTTGTCCTGGTTACTGCTTGGTACAATTACCTTAAGTTGTGATATAATAGGCCGTATTTATATATTAGCATAAAGATGCGGTGGCGTCTAGAAGTATTCGTATTACAGCAACCGTAGCGTATTGAGTGGCAAGCTACTAAGCATGTATTGGCATCAATGCGCGCCGCTATGTACGTTTCTCCAGTCGAACGTTTTGTCTTCTGTAGAGTAACATTATTTTCTACAACTCTTTGATTTTAACACACTCTATAAGGCTATACGCATAAACACAATTTGATTTACATGGGATTCTACAAGTTTCAATACCTCCGCGAATAATTGACCAACATGGAATTGCTGTAATGATGAGTGGCATAGAAATTTGGTAGGCATCTGCATGGCGCTCAATCATCTGAGAATAAAGCGAGGACAGTAGCAGTAATGGGTCATTCGACTTCTTGACACTAGATTGACTGCGCAAAAGAGTACAGGAGTTCTTTTTGTTAGCCATTATAGTCACCACATCATAATAATGGAGTATTCTATAAGGCCAAGAATTAAGTAATAATGTATGTCATCTAAAAGCTACTAAAGATGGCTTCATACACATGCGAAGTTAGAGGAAGGTGGCACCAGACCCTTGTCTTCGATTGGGCGGCATTGCTCATAGTAGTTTTAGTGCCACATCGGCTCGTTGGTCACTGATATCCTAATTTATACACTGCTTTCCTTATCAACAAACGATCAGATAACATAGTGACATAGTACCATTAATCAATAATAAAATGGTTGGTGTTATGTCTTTCAAACTTTAATTGACTATATTTTTAAGCACGATAAAATAAAAAATTGTTTAATAGCTTTGCAATTCCATTCCATCCACAAAGGATTTTTTACTTTAAAATTATCTATTCAAGCAACTGATATGATTACGATGAATGATAATAAAGCACATTCTTTAAAGTATCACTCCTTATTTGTATTGCCTGAACACGTGAGGGAGTAGCGATAAATAACAAATGGCGGGAAGAAGCAGCTATCATACACAATATGTCACGCGCCACTTAGCCAAACACTTGAACGGTAAAATTGCTAAAAATTGTTGCTACATGATATATTGCCACAAGTGAGAGTAAGTCACAAGGATAACAAGGATTGAAAGGCTGGAGTTTTCACATGTAGCCTTGACAACTTGTCATGCGCAGTGTATTGGCGACGGCGGAGGTGGCGGCGGCGGGCGGATAGGATTTTACAAGCATTGACTTGAAGCGTAGCAACCGATTACTACACTCAGTATCTTTGTCATCAAGTGGTTCCGCTGGAAGTACATATCGCACCAATTGGGTCGGTAGCCAAGAGTCAGAAGGATCCGATATAATATTAAACGGCGGTGAGGATATGTGATAGACATTGATGGCGCGCTGCAGTGGCATAACACTTGTATCTGTTGATGTATGCATGCATATGCTCATAGCTTACTGTAAACGACAGAATCGGCTCGATCAAGGATTCGTTTTTAGTTGGATGCAACGCATACCCAGAGATTGATAAAGTAGACTGATAATGACGGTATGTGGCAACAGTAACAGGTTACCGTTTTAGAAGAGTAGATTTTTTGCAATAGCAAATAAAATCATGAAGGAGTACCAAGAAAAGTTGAATCAAGTGGACAGGAGGCAGGTGGAAATTACTTTTATTTATACCGTAGTAACAGGGATGCAGCCTCAACTCTTAACCATATGTGCCTCCTGGGAAGCTAGGATTTAATCCAAACGTTCAGAAGAAACTTACAGTTATGTTGGCAAGTTGATCGCAGACTCGACCGTTTGCATACTGTCGGAATAAAAAGCCAGGATATATAGGATTAAAATTACTTTTAAAGCTGATGCTATTAAAAGCAATGAGATTTGGATCATTGCTACGCAAAAATGCGACGAATGAACGAAATGGTAGCCAACTGCAAGTGGTGGCATCACAATCTAAATACAATCGTTTAAATAAGCTGTATGTACAGCATTAGCATTTGTAGACCGGAAGTGCTAATGAAATACATAGTATGCGATTTCGCCAGCTGCTTCAGTGATTTTCAGTACATCGGCGCGTCAATGTCTGTTATTGATAAAAGCAAACATTGTACTAGACGTAAAACTCTGGTACTTTAGTATCTATTCGTGATTGTTGACACACATCGAAAGAAAAAGTTAGAAAACCATATAAATATCGAAATTACTATTGAATGAATAGTTCATAACAATATTATCGGTGTTCAACTAAATGCTGTACGTAGGTTCTCGTGAAACCGATCAGATACATTCCGAATATCGCTCTTCTTCCAAATGTTAAAGACTATTTCGAGTGCCATAACGATAATGGACATCGTCATCTACTACAAGAGACCTCGCTTGATCAAAGAATTTCAGAATAAAACAGTGCTATCGTGTGCTTTTGGCAAGTACATCAGACGGAATTCAATTATTTGATGGCCACTTATAAAGTATCTACCATTATTGTTACCTTGTTTGATTTGCTAAAAACTAGCAAGTTGTGTCCATATATGAGATGATTGCTCCTTTTTGATGGTTGTGTTACAAGCCTATATGTTACCAAACTTGATAGCGGTTAAATAAGAGCAACTTCTATTTTCGTTGCATGAAAGCGAAAAACTGAATGATATGACATCACATAGACAAAGCTGATCGGGTGTTGTCTAATGACCTCGAAACAGTATCTATTTGTTCCACCGTCATCTTCTCAGCTCAAGTAATCACATAATTTATTGTCAAAGTCTTCCTGTTCTTCATTGCAAAAACAATAAAGATGCAAAAGCTTATCCTTTTAATCTATTTTCATAACACTTCTCATAGCGAACGAGGGCTACGCTAAAATCTAATTTAGTATATAAACAGTAATTAATCCGATTCCAAATGTTTAATAGTATCGGCTTCTGTCGATAGAACCACTGCGATGTTTTTTGGTTCATTGTCTGACAGCATGCGCATTGTTCTAGCTGTTGTTGGGAAATCGTTCTTAAATGGATGATTTGTATGATTTACCCCAGCCGAAACCAATCTGCATGTCAAATTTAAGCGCTGGTGAACGATGCGTACATTACGCAAAAAAATCCTCGTAGGGGGAGTTGTCGTATGGACCTTACGAAGCGGCCAATAGACCGATTGAAACACCGCTCGACGACATTTCCTTTCGAGAACCAGTGTATTTAGACGAGTTAAGCTCTGGCAGCGCTTAGATTCGGTGCTCTTAACCGTGCTCGCGGAAAAGCCAATATACCGAGAATGTATGGTTTGCGGTCAAGAAAAAATCTACAGATTGGAACCATCGTTTTGTTATGTAATTGTCGCTTCAGGGTACTCTCTCAAACAGGGAGATATTCATTTATTCTGTAATGCCATTATTATTTGCAAGACGACTGTTCCGCATCTCGAACTACTGTGTTTAACGTTTGAGGCAACTTCGCGTGTCGCTCTTCGAGACGAAATACATACTCAGCTATGCCAGTCGCAAACGCCGATTGCCTCGCTTACTATGAGGATCTTAAGGCTTGAAAATGTTGCCCACTTCTTGCTGCTCGGATGAGAAAGTAGGTGGTGGCTTTTCCTTTATTGGGTCTAGTATGTAGCGCCCGTGAAAGTTTTTACTGTGCTAACTCTTAGAGGAGAAAAAAACCTATTCTATGAACGATATCAATCGTTTATAATGCTCTTTGGATCGACTGATTTGCCTCGAGCCAATTGGTGCCAAGCATTCGCCCTATAGTTTTGCAACGCTATGGTTCACAGGTATGGCGATAAGCATGGT